CTAGAAACATAATCGGGGCGAACCGGGATTCGAACCCACCACCACCATAGGTTTCTGGCGTGCCCAAGGGACGCAACTCTGCACAGCGAATCGCGGCGCCTTAGACGGCTGGGCCACCCGTGCCCCCTCGGGTTATTAAGGTTATCATGATTATGTTCAAAGTAGTGGCCAAGCCATTCAACTTCTTCCAATGATATAGCAGAATGATCACCCGAACGTATACTCTATAACAAATATTCAGGAGTCTCACTACAAATGTTCTCTATGAAAGGTCAGATATATCCCTTATCATTGCCAGTCAAAGTACCTTCAGAAGTGCTGAGTTCAGCAAAACACCACTTTTGATTGTTCTGATAAGATTTCACCATGTCACATCTGAGAACATGACAGATGGCAAGCCATGAGAATGCTTATCAACAGCCACATCAGAGACTTCTGAGAACCCCTCATCTTTCTACCTGTCCCATCAAGTGGTGATTGACTTGCAGGTCAGTGAAGCACCATACAATATTGTTCTACCGGCAAACGTTTTGCTAGAAGCAACCAATAACAAGAATATAATACTCATATCCCCTGCCATGGGTGCTTTTGTATCCACGTGCAGAAAATATGTTTGTTAAATCATCTGAATAGAATCCATCAGAGCTTATATAACAAAATGACTGATAGTTGAATTATTCCCATTACAAAAAGTTCCAAAGGAATATTTCTCAGAAAAAGAGAAACATCACCCAAAATTCACAATGTGTGACATATTTCATGAAAAACGGAAAAATGAAAAATATCAAATGTCCTGACTGGTTTCTATTGAAACCGGTAACATAAAATCTCCAAGTGGCAAAAGGCACCAGTTCAGCACCCAAATGATATGTGTGCATTGTTTGGCGAGGAAACATTGAACAGTTTTTGAGCTCTGCTTCGGAAATCAAATGTGACGGACAGACAGAATGAAGGACGGACAGCACCCATTCCTATATCACCCTCCCACTTCAGGATCAACCAGAGAATCCAGGGATTGACATTGGGAACACTAACCCACTCTGTTGAGTATGACATGCGAAGACACAGGGAATGTCCACCCAATCATGTGGTCGCCCCTGACAACCAGCACAGGCTGCCCGTCACGAAATCTAACCCGGAATCCCCACAGGGGATTTCAGTCATAAATGTGGGCAGAATACCCTACCTATGAGCAAGATGTCAGGTGTACCCACTTTTAAGGAAATATTTGTTGTTTGCTTGTTGTGTAACGCCACACTCGGCAATATCCCCGCTATATTGGACGGTGGTCCGTAAATAATCGAGTCTGGACCAAACAATCAGGTGATTGACATCATGAGCATTGATCTACGCAATTAAGATACGATGGCATGCATCAACCAAGTCGGTGAACCTGACCACCCGATCCCCCTAGTTGCCTCTTACGACAAGCATTGTCACCTGTTATGGCAAGCATTGGTTGCTGAAGACCTATTCGGATAAACATTGATAGCATTGTTAAACAAGTGTATAGTCGATTAAGTCATCTATATCCCCCGCCTATTTTAACACGTTATGGTCCCAAACCAGGTAACTGACCCAACATTTCTCTTGGCCCATGTCAAAATAGCTGCAAAGGAAATTCTAAAATAAACATTTCTAAAACTCCTAAATATCAAATGGCACCAGTTCTGTTCATATATAGACATGCAATGTTTGGCAAGGAAATATTTCTGGAAATAATGCCCAGTAATACGAATTTCTAGAATTCATAAATAGCAAAAGGCAACAATTCAGCATGTGTCTGATAGATGTAGAAAAATTCCTCCGGAATCGAACCCTACCCGTATTGTTTTCTAAGTCCAACAGTATGCCTGGTAGACATGCAAAGTTTTGTAAGAAAGTATTTAACGGTTTTTGAGTTACGCTCCGGAAATGAACACCACCCTTATAGAACCTAAGTCCAATTTGTTGTCATGGAACGTAAAAAATAAAAATGTCTAAAATTCCTAAATAGCAAAAGGCACAACTTCATTATTTGACTGATAGATTGGCCAAGTTTCCATCAAATACACTGAATTGTTTCCGAGTTCTGCCCCGGAAAAGGAAATGATTACAACTTAATAGACTTCTGTAATACAAAAGATTATCTGATGTGCAGAATGTGGAAAACAAATAACAAAATCACAGTTGTACTGAATTTCATATTGGATTAATCTCGCATCCATTTCATCAATCTGAAAGGCACATTTTTCTTATTGAGATTGAGAAAAAAAAGTCAACAAGAGGTCAAAGTCATCAATATCCCTTGCAATGGTAAATACTTGTGAATAAATATGAAACTTGTTGCCATGGAAACTAAAAGATATATGTATTTATAAAATCCCAAACCCATCAAGAGGAACCAGTTCATAACTAGACTTATCCATATGCCAAGTTTGGTGAAGAAATCTTGGAATGTTTTCAAGATCTGCACCAGAATCGAACAGTACAGCCATTTTGCAGTTGAAGTCAAAGATGTTGTCAAGTCCCCAAATCCTTTTTTTCTACAAATCCCAAACTTTCAAAAGGCACCAGTTCACCACTAGATGTATCTATGTACCAAGTTTGGTAAAGAAATGTACGATTTTCAAGACCTGCTCCGTCTTAATCTTAATACCCCCCAAGCGTTAGAAATTGGCACTAGTCCTATAGTCCTTGCATAACTGCCCAATAGTTAAGATATCATAAGGAATAGTAGAAACTTGCCATTTTTAAGTGTTTGGCTATAATGTTATCATTATAAGGACTAGTGAACAAAAACTAGTTTCTGTCGCTCCCCGCCACAAAATGCGTTGTGGGGGATAGTTATTGGTAGAGCTTACAACACGAAACAGACCTTTACTTGTCTTGGGGTTTAGAATGTGGCTAAAGTCAGAGACTGCAAGGCCAACAAAACCAGCTTGGGATAGGAAAACTCAAACATAGATGTGTAGCACAGGCTATAGAGTGAGGCCACCAAAGAATGTACACTTCCAGTTACCTTCTTGCCTTATCCACCTGAACTGTTAGGAATTTTTGTGATCATTACATATCCCCCCTGAACTGGTGCAATTCGGAAATGGAGTCTGGCTACTTATAACCCACTTTTGGCTCAATATCATTGGATATTCTCAGTTCAGTAAAGAATGCTGTTTTGCAATGTTCACAAAAGTCAACGGATGATGACAAATCCCCAGGGTCATGAACAGTCAAAGGTAAACTTGTTGCCATGGAAACAGAAAAATTATTTTTTGTAATTAAAAATCCTAAATAGCAAAAGGAACCACATCAGTCCTTGATTAATACATGGATGTACCAAGTTCAGATGAAAACTGTTGAATTGGTTTTTTTCAGTTGTTCTGGAAATGACACATACTTCCATTTCAGGTGTCAACTTGTTACCATGGAAACAGGGAAAAATATAAGCAGAAACATTCCTAAATAGCAAGTGGCAGCACTATAGCCCTTAGTTAATACATGTACCAGGTTTGGATGAAAAGCCTTTACACTTTTCAAATTGTGCTCCAGAAACGACACCTACTCCTCTCTTTTGAGGCTAAGTCCAAATTGTTTCCAATTCCATGGAAATCGAGAAGAACAAAAAGGCCAAATAATCTGCAACTAGCAAAAGGCACCACTTCAAGATCTGTTTAATATATCAGCCAAGTTTTTTTCAAAGATATTGAATATTTTTTTTAGTTGTGCTCCGGAAACAAAATCCAGGCCCCTTTTGGAGACATTGGCCCCTTAAGTCCACATTGTTTCAATGGAAAATCAACAAAAAGATAAATGCCCAAAATCTGTAAATAATAAAAGGCATCACTTCAGGATCTGTTTGATATAAATCTCTCTGCCAATTGTTGCTGAAATATATTGATTGTGACTTGGGTTTAACACTGCTTTAACGCTGCAGGTTAAGTATGCATGTACATTTGAGTATGTTTGTCTGCAAATAATCGAGTCTGGACCAGACAATCCAGTGATTGACATCATGAACATCGATCCACGCAATTGGGATACGATGACATGCATTAAACCAAGTCAGTGAGCCTAACCACCCGATTGTGTCATGTTGATCCTCTGGATCAAAGTTATTTTGTTTACTATTGTTCCCCCACTTCTGCCACCAAACAGATCTCTACGGCTTACAACTAAAACGGCACCGATTGGCAAAAACGTTACCTCACCTAGAGCGAAAATGACTACCATTGCTTGGGGAAAACAGCACTTTATTTTGGGGGTTCTGAAATATCTGCTGATGCGTAAATAAACTTATTGTGAAAACATCACATGCTTTGATTACCAAGCTGTCAAGCTGAAACTGAATCTGGCGGAAATGTCAAGAAATTGGACTACAGGTATAATATATATTTAATATTTATTTTAGTAAATGGCAGTTTTATAGATATTTCATATATAACTCCCCATTCTGCCGGCAGCCGACATCACAAGAATGTTTCAGTCGATAACAGACCATGTCCCCACCCAAGGAAATCATATGCTACATGAGATAATAAAGCATGTAAACAGCATAAATACTACATAAATTGTTCTTATCGTTAATAAAAATGTAGGTGCTGTTTTCGTCCAACAAGTAGTCACTGTTTTCGCCAAATGAAATGCCATTTTCGCCCGAGAAATCTGCAATGTTTTAGCCTGCACCCATCTATACCATGCCAAATAATATATTAATAAACAGGGTTACTAAAAACGTGCTGTCGTTTTTGTTCCTAATTTTAATCAGTTGTTTTCGTGGATCTCTCAATAAAAATGTTCACAGAAAACATTGTGGGATTAATAACGTGCATAGATCTATTTGCTAAGTCTAGAGCACATAGGAGTATATATATATATATATATATATATATATATATATATATATATATATATATGTGCGATTATATTATATAAAATGACATGTCAAATTAAAAATGACGCTCAGAAAATGGAGCCTTGGTACATTACCAGAATCCTGGATACACAAGAGCAAAACTGATATCAACATTTTACCAAATCATCGATTTATTGAGTCAAGTGGCTCATTCCAAAAAAGTACAGGAAATTATTTCAAGCAGAGGTCTTAAGTTAGCACAACATGGATAAATAAGTTAATGTTACTTATTTTATAACTGTTCATACAACATGAACGCTAATTAACTTCACAAAAGTTAACACATTCCTGTTCGATGTCTTCGGATGCACCACATGCGCCTACCGGTCACTAGGCCTTGCCTAAATACCGAACAATGGAATGCTGTGTTCTTCGATCGATCTTCCTGTCAACGTCACGAAATCTTTATTTTGCATCTTGATCACCAAAACCTTTACAAACAAATATCCATCGAAAAGTAGAATAATCTTTGAATCAAGTCCAAAATTGTGGTACATATCACTTCAACAAGTCTTCGACGAAAGGATCAGCTTCACATAAAATCACCCGCCACCCGGCCGACCACGTGGTAACCCAACAGGCCGACTTCCGGTTTACGTTTTCAAACAAGTGTCACGTTTAACTGTGGGAAAGTATCAGAATTGTTCATGTCCATGTTGGAAATAATATTCTTATTCCTTTCCTAGTTTGACAGACACGATAACCTCTTCGTCCATAGCCTTGAGTACAGCAGCCATAGTAGGAACGCCATCCTTCAGTTTACTTTCGATATCTTTCTTCAATTCGGGATCTTTATCACCTACCTTCAGGTCATCCCTTATGTTATTCTTGTCGTCCATTAGAGTCAAAAACCCATCACTGTCCATATCAATCAGTTGATATTCTATTCTGCTCACATGCGGGACATTCATATTGTGAGTGGACGGGCAGACATCTTCAAGCTTTTTACTAGTAAACAAGTCCGTACCTACTATGTGCACCTTAGCATGGCCATGTTTCCCGGTCTTCGACGTAGACAAGTCTACGATCTTGCAGGGACGATTCTTAATGAGAACGTATTCGTTCTTCCTCAGGGCAGAACACTGTTTCGGATACGAAGCAGATGCTCCGCTCCCCGCCTGTTCAAAAGTCTCGTCCGCTGCATCCGCCATCTTGTTTTACGTGGATGGGCCTGCTTGACAAACTTGAGGCTGTCGTCAGCGAGAGTGGTGGGTGTGTAGCGATACCGCGTTCCTTCCAGCATAAAATAAAGCAATTTATCGACCCGCTGTACTTTCCGTATCGTGATCCGGAATTTTCTTACTACACACTTGGGTAGAACACATCTACGCTGAAACACACCTAACGTGAGGCTCAATGAACACGAGGTCTTGGTGTAGAAAGTAGGTCGCCAAAAGTAGTTCAGGTGGAGGCGGTACGTGGACTGTACAGTGCGACATGCGTGAGATGGACAATATCCTTGTTCGTGGCTGTGAGGTCAAAAGGCAGGGCCCAAGACAAGCTTAATGATTGTCACACTGCGGTGTTCATGTTTGGGTTGAATACTGGTTTGGTGATAAAACTTAGGCGAGCCAACCCAGCCGTATGGTTAATATTGCGCGCGCCGATCTGTGTCGCACGATATTTTTAGGAAATGGTCATATATGTTATGGATGCGATCATATCCTTTTGATATGGAGACCTATAGATACTATCTCTTGATTTTCGAACGTAGTTTGACACAGACTCACGGAATATGACCACGAACGTATTTTAAGTGTTGCAATTAAATACACAGTGAAATATTATAAGAATTAAACATTGCAACAGTATATATTATTTTCGAAATTGCAATAACTATAAAAATTAATTTAAAATGTCTTGTCATGCCGTATTATATATTTCAATTATATATTTAATAAAGAAGCATGTGTTTGTATTGTTTTGACCACGGACCTATAAACAAGTCCGTGTTTTGACTGAACATTTCTTGCGATATTTCAATTAGTTTTAGCACTCGCCAATGTATGTGTTAGTGGCATTAATGTGAAACTAAGGGTCATACGCTTAAGACTTTGATGTAAAATTTAAATGTGGTCCATCATTTCTAAAAAGGCGTCATTATTATTGTTTACAGTAGAATCTTGAAACGAGTGACTCTTTTTCCTGCGTCCCCGTTCCGTGTTATGACCGCTAACAGACCGGCATTATTTTAGGGGTGGGCTCTAGGTGGGTGTATTCTCTACAGAAATCAAATGGTCGGTCCCTGTTTCCAAACAGTGATAACAAGTGTTTTGAGTTTTTAAGGTACAGCTAATCCGCTTTAATGTCACTGTGGTTCGTGATGTCATTTGTGACGTCATCGGTTACTATGGCGTCACAATCAAATGGTATGCAAAGCATTGTGATGCAATTTCATTGTAGCGATATCTCCCAAGCCATATCAATCTCATTAAAATCAGATTTTAGTTTTCGCTATCGCTTTAGCGGTAGCGAGAACTAAGTTATGATTTTAATTAGATTGAAGCCATATAACCCATGGAAGCCAGTTTGGGATTAATAATTAATTTACCCAGAGATGCAATCCGTAATTATGATAACTCTCCAGCTGAAGGGTGTTTCGAATAAACATCGGTGAAGAAACGCGTGCTTCTTGCAAAACTTGTGTTGTCACAGCTTATATCAACTTCCCTGTGGATACTATTACGCGTGTAAAACAACTTATCGTTTACTCAAACAATAAGCCATGGGTAATAAAAAACATGATAAAGCCCTAAATGAAAAAAAGGCCCCAAGAAGAGGACAGAATACAAATGAAGGTGTTAAAAAGAACCTTGTTGCATATTCAAATACACGTAAAATGTAGTATAATAAAAAGATTGGAAAACATGTTAACAATTGTTGTTTTCTGAAAACAAGCCACGCCGGCCTTGGATAGGCATCAGTTCTGTAAGAATTAAGAGTTAAACGCGCGCGTGGGGATTACGGGTAAGAATATAGGTCCCCGGCAACCTATGCTTGTCGTAAGAGGCAACTAAAGACTTGGTTGATGGCTCATGTAATCGCATCTCAATTTCGTGGGTCGATGCTCATGATGTCAATCACTGGCTTGCATGGTAGCAACTTGATTATTTTAAGAGAGCCGTCATACAGATTTTGTATTGGTGATTGCTGATTTAGAAGAAAACAAATATACTATAAGAAGTAAATATGCATGACAATCTTCTCAGTATGGTTTGTACTTGATTTGACGATTTTGACTTTTCAGTATCATAATTCCCAACTACCATTGTTGGATTGGGAACCTATCTGTTACAAACAGAAGTAGAATAACAAAAAATGTAAATATTGCAATCAAATTACAGGCACCAGATTATATTTTCCAAACTATGACGAACAAACTCAACAACAAAATTCAAATAAAGATTTGACGACAATAGCCATGTCTTATATCGTTTCAATTTGAAATTGTTATTTACGGATATATATCTAGTAATATTAAATTCAATAATTCGAGACAATCCGAATCAAGAATTTTACGATATGTCAAATTCAGTTCTTGTTATCTTGAAATGAATTTGAGATATCTCGAACTAAATTTGGGAGTAGTGTAATCATAGAGTAAAACATACATTTTACACTACTTTTGAGATATCTTAAATTGAAGTCCAGATGTATAGAACTGAATTTGAGATGTCATTGTGTCATTTCACATGTAGAATTAATTCTGGATTTGACTTGCACGGTAGTTTCACGTATCAAACAATTTCCCGACATCCAATGTCTGTGTATATATATGTATATAGAAGCCACTGGTAATCACATATTTCCAGAAGTGGGACAACAATACTTAATATGCGAGACACGGAAACTCTACTGTCACGTCATGTCCCAAAATGTTAAATGTGTTGACTGTTATGTAATAAATACAGTGACCATCAGCGTTACAACAGGGGGAGTGGGTGAGTTTGGTTTGACGTCACTTTGAACTGTATTACTACCGTATTCGACTTAATAAGCGCCCAGGGCGCTCTCAAAATTAGAAAAAAGGGGCTCTTATTAGATTATTATTTTGGTGCAAAAAGAGAGTTGTAAGATAAATTTCGTGGTTTATGCTGACAGCCTGAAATGTTTATATGCGACAGATATATTTTTCCAGAATTTAATTGCGCTTATTACGTCGAATACGCTATTATTGCCTCGTGTTGGCATGATGGACGTCTTACACGTGTTTACCACGTTGGTGAAACCTGCGAGCAAGACGACATTCAGAGGTACACACAGACGTTGAAATATAGGTTTACACCTTTAAGTGGTTTGAATGGAATGCATTGCTATGCATAGTGGTATGATAAGCTAGCAAGAGTGCACGGCCAATTAAAACCAATCGGTATGGGTTGTATTAAAAATAGTAAATGTTAAACGAAATATGATTGATTTAGATCCACCAGAGTAATAAACTGGCGGTTAGTTATAGTGAGTGAGTGCGTACGGGTTTACGCCGCTTTTAGCAATATTCCAGCAATATCACGTCGGGGGACACCAGAAATGGGCTTCACACATTGTACCCATGTCGGGAATCGAACCCGGGTCTTCGGCGTGACGAGCGAACGCTTTAACCACTGGGCTAGGTTAGTTATAGCCATTATCGGTATATTATTACATGTTCAGCATACATGTATTTCTAAAGTATGGCTAAATGCTGGTATGCTTTTTGGTGAGAAACAGGATGTTTCTTTTTCAGTAACTGCTCCAAGACATTCAACCTTTTTTCAGGAAGGTGGAGCCGAACAAGGTTTTTGTTTACAATACGTTATCACCTATGTCCAGCTAACCATTGTTGTTTTGGTGTAAAATCGGAGGGCAAAATTAATGATTTTTTGCAGGGTATTTCTTAACCAAAACCCCGTGTCCATCACCCGTGAAGATTCCGGGGTAGAATAGGTCTTCAGCAACCCATGCTTGCCGTAAAAAGGTGACTGCTTGTCGTAAAAGGCGACTAACGGGATCAGGTGGTCAGGCTCGCTGACTTGGTTGATGCATGTCATCAATCCCAATTGCGTGGATCGATGCTCATGATATTAATCACTGGATTGTCTGGTCCAGACTCGATTATTTACAGACCGCCGTCATATAGCTGGAATATTGCTGAGTGCGGCGTTAAACAACGAACCAACCAACCAACCAACCAACCGTGTCAATCACTGGCTTGTCTGATCCAGACTCGAATATTTACAGCCCGCCACTAATATATTGTTGTGTGAGGTGTTAAATAACAAATGAACAATCCAGCGTCTAAGAATAGCATGATCAATAATGAATGCACCTCAATTCGTTGACCGGAGTTACGTCCCTTATCCATGATCCGCCTGTCTCGGGTTCATATCCTGGATTCGCTCCTATAAAAGTCTCTTGGTCTGATTGTTCCATACCGGGCGATAGTCGGGTAGTTACAGCGTTGGCTCATCACACCGAAGACCGAGGGGCAAGTTGCCACAGGGGCGTGTTTGTGAGAAACCCGTTTGTGATGCCCCCACCATTGTTGGACTACCGGCATACAACAAGCGGCGTATGACCCTACTGTATACAGTATACACATGTGACAAGTCATGTACAGTTGAGTGTTTGTAATTGTTTATAATATCAAATGAATGTGTGTAAAAACAATGTGCTAGTTCTAATGAACATGAAATTGATGATAATACCGTAAACATATTTCACTCATACACCCACCCACCCGACCACCAACCCGACCACACACACACTCACTCACTCACTCACTCCCTCAACCATCCAAAGCTCACCAATCCACTCCCACAAAACAAACAAATGGTTAAACCGAGTTATCGATAATTTTCTTACGATAGTTAAGAGTGGATTTTAACAGATAATTCACAACTATAACATCGAAACATAACGAGTGGGTTGGTAACAACTTTGACGGGGTTTTGTCTGGGGATACGGATCTGCCATCACAAACTTTCAAAACTTTTGTATGAAGATAAACTTTAAAAAAAATGTTCTTCTCATTCAACTTATTACATAAGGCAAAAACTTTAGGAATATTTATGTAGGCGTGAAAAGAATCGTCATTTCTCTCCACCTTTTTTCTTTCTGTATTTCAACCGACTGACAAAAGATTAAAGAGATGTGATCATTTTAATTTCGACCACTGACTCTATTGCCGTTACACAAGCGATGCATAGTTACCGCTATAATATATTGGGCCGTTTCAAACCTGTCAAAACATGTCTGTGAATGTCGCGCTCGATCGATCATGAAACACTACAGCAGAACAAGCGGCCACAATGGCTGCGAAAAGAATGGACTGTATTTCAAGAATTAGCCAGTGAAGGTTTGTCAGTTTCCATCCACTAACTGTAATATGTGTCATATATGTTTTGGACGTAGCGGAGTGGTTTGTTGTGGTTTTTGGCAAGGGGCCGAGTGTTGTGATTCACGGACCACGTCGTAACGTGTCCAAGCACTAGAGTAAACATTGATACACAACACTCACCAACAAAAGGCCTACGTTGTATATCCAAAATACTTCAACTTTGCTTCAACAAAACTCAGATTTTAACGCAAATATGCAAAATAATAACGAATGCATATTTAAAAATTTACTTAAAACAGTTTTAATTTGTCTACTGGGACTCGGATTTGTGTGACGATCACAGTACATATCGTCACGTGACCTTGTCTGTGAGTTATTCTTAGCGCGTCATGTGTATATAAACTCGAACTAGGATGTAAACACAAACGACGGAAGCATAACTCTTAGTGATATACGAAGAATATACGACTATTGGCGAAGACGTTTTTAATATAGAAAAGGTATGTTTATTAGATATGAAAATTGTATGTTTGATGTTTCAATAGTTTTATCTATTATGAAATAACGAGTATATGTAATTTTCATATGATATTTAAATTGCATATTAGACATTTGATTTGATTTACATTATTGCTACTGATTATTTGGTGAACGTTAATCAGGTATTATACATGAAGATAAATAATACATACACGTTGTATATAACAAAATACATGTATCTGTATATGGTATAATATGTTCATTTACGACAGCACATAATATCACATTTTGTAGGAAAACATTAACGGGGTATTATATTTTGTTATAATGAAAATGGGAAATAATCACATCTGTCCGCTCACACACCAAGTCATTGAAGGTATTTCTAATACAGTTAAATAAATGGTGCAGGTTTTATTTTATTTACGTTATTTAAAACTTGGTATTTGGTGTAACCTGTGTGGTATATATTATTTGTATACGCATGTATATCTGATATGTGCCACCCAGTTGTTTACAGTAAACTACGTTTATAACGAACACGCTTATAACGAACTGACGGATATAACGAACCTACTTTTTTGTCCCGACTGTTTGCTGTCGTTATGCTGTATATATGCTTATAATGAACTACGGTTATAACGAACTAAAATTAGTGGTCCCTTTGATTTCGTTATAACCGTAGTTTACTGTACATAATTATGTTACACCTTTGATTTGTCTACACATTAACAATATACCATAATATTCCGTTTGTTTACCAACTAAACAAGTTTATAACTAATTATAGGCACACATTAAATGAACACCACCAGTGTGTGTGAAAAACTGTTGAAAGCAAATATTGAAGTAAGGGCGATCAGCGATTATGTGTTTCCCCGTCATTAATAATTTGAATACAGTCAATCTTTTTGAAAATTGCTACAGACTTGTTTTTGGGAAACTAGAATGAGCAGACACTTACTATTCTTTAGATTTAGATTTAATTCGAGGTAGTGTTTTGTGAAGTAATATACACCTACAATAGAGGCAGAAAAATTGGCAGGAAGCCATCTTTGTTTCACAACGGGTTCGTCTAACAAAAGAGTTAGTCATTTATAACGCGTGGTGGTAAACTCGATTACCTGGATACCATCATGGGTTGAACAGGGTCACTCAACTTATCAGTGAAATGTCTTGCTGGCTAACTCATAGTACTGGGTTCTGTAGCCGGTCTGTAATAAATTGTTTTATTCAGTTATATATGACCCCCCACCCCCCACCCAACACACACACACACACACACACACACACACACACACACACACACACACACACACCGCCCAACACACGAAACCAACGCCAATGGTGCAGCTGTGAAAAAAGATCAATATAATAAACTTTTGTTCGTTTTATTCTATATATTATGTTATTCAGCACCTGTATAAAAACAAGGCACTTTTTAATAATATTGCCCCAAACTGTGCAATGAGATCATGTGAAACTGGCGTTTAATTATTTCTTTTAACATGAGATATCTATTCCTCATAAATAATTTTGATAGAAACAAGCAACTACATTTATATTAAAAAGGAGACCTAGCGAGATGGGAGACTGAGCCTGTGGACAACCTAGACTTGCTTCATTTCAGGCCTTAGCATTACACTAACGGCTGGCCGGAAAGGAAAATAACATGGTTCAAGAACTGTGAGACAGACAAGGGGCAGACACCTTATATGGTAACTTTGCCCAAGGCAAAGTCACTTCGTCATTTTTGTGTCTCCCCGGTCCCGTTCCAGAAACTTTACGCTATGTCGCAAGTCAATATATAGAGAATCTCACCCTCGTGTCTTTTGATATCAAATATATCAACACGAGTTGATAAAAGTGGAAAAATTCCGAGGCTTGCCGAGGATTTTTGCCACTTTTATCAACGAGTGTTGATATATTTGATATCAAAAGACACGAGGGTGAGATTTTATTTATCATCCAACATCATTCTTTCAACTTTTTCAATTTGTAGACAGTAATTAGCAGTGACTTCAGTGTAAAAAGTACTGCTAACAGCTTCAGTAGCAGAGCCATTAGTGATGTCATTTGATTGTGATGTCATGGTAACCAGTGACGTCACAATTGTCTGCAAAGCATTGTGATGTAATTTCATTGCAGCGATATCTACAGTGTAGATATCGCGTGATCTAATCCAAGCGATGTCTCCTGTGGGAGCCAGTTTTGGATGATAAATGGGAGTTACGACCATATCAGAGCTAATATCGCTTTGTGGAACAGGACCCAGGTTGATAATTTGTAGGCCACCCTGAAATACTTTAATATTCGCTACATATATTAATAATGTTTAATTCATTCAAATTGATCATTACTTAATGTATATTCTAGTTATGTTCCTTTATTCTCCAAAAGGGTTCAAGACCAGGCCACCATGTCAGAGGCGGGAGATGTCGTAACGGACGGAGGAGATCCGGCAGGCGCGTCGGCAGGAGCCACTGGACGCAGCTTCATCGTCGACGAGGCGACGTTTGAGGAACAGTTCCTCCGGTGTCAAATATGCCGTGATAAATTTGACAACGAAGAACGACCACCGAAATCTTTACCCTGCAACCATACCTTCTGTCTTCCATGTCTGAAGCAGGTGTTTGACCACAGCCAGCCCGCAACCAGACGCGACCGGTCATGGCTGGATGAGGGTCTACACGGAGCTTTGAAATGTCCGCAGTGTAGGGTGGAGATTTATTTAAGCCGGGGAGGAATCGCCCAACTCCCAAATGACCACAGGGTCATCCAGATGATGGACTTCCTGTCCCAAGCTGTCGCCAAGTCGAAGAATGTGTGTTCAAAACACGAACGCCAGCCTCTCAATTTCTTCTGCAAGAAGTGTTTTCTTCCCGTCTGTCGAGACTGCACCGTGCTGGACCACAAGGAACAACAAGGTCACGTCATTGTCGACGTGAGCGATGCCGTCAGCGAGAGTTCAGAAGAGTTTGATACGATGGAAAACAAGACAAAAGAGATCCTGGACAAGATGAAATCGAGATGGGATTCCTTAGCCAACGCATCTAAACGTCTGGACATCCTCGAAAGACATCTTCGAGTTTCAATCAAAGACACCTTCATTGAATATCGTCTGCTCCTTGAAAGGAGACAGGAAGCCTTGATAAAGATGGTGAAAACTCAAGTTAAAGACAATAAACAAAAGATCAATGCTCGATTTATCGAAGTCAACGAGTGGGGGACCCAGCTGCAGAAGTTGTATGACAGCCTGACCCAATCCCGGGCATCTAATGACCTACAGCAGTTGTTTACCATCAACCAAAAGATCAAAGAGAAGGAGGGAGAATTTAACAGCGCATCTCAGGTCATCGATGACGACTTGTTTGTATCCTGTACGTTTGAAGTCCCAAACGAGGGACAGTTTCTCTCCGAGATGAGCGGACTTGGGGAAGTTTCAGACAAGCCAGATCTAACTTTAAAAGAAGCGGTCCCGGCCCAACAGCTTGTGTTGTATGACATGGAGGAACAGCGTGAGCGTGAACGCCAGTACGACAGGGAGCGACCCTATGACTGTGACTCTCTGATTCCCCCTCACGGGGACCCCGATCCAGATTCATTTGACGAGGAATTCCTAAGAGCCATCACATCCCGTCTGCGGTTGGCACAAACGCGAGAACTGTTAGCCGCAGAAAGTGCCAGCGATGATGGCGAGGATCCACCGGAAATATCCGATTTACCTATAAGCCAAATCCTCGCTCAAAGAAGGCCCCGCACAAACAGACGGCCTCTCAGGGACGATAACTCTACCATCGAGCAGACGATACCCCGGGAGCTTCTTGTGCCTCACTCCCCCAACAGGAGTAGGGGGGATAGGGGAGAGGGGACGAGGGCAGCTCGCGCCAGGAGAAACCAGGACTTCCGAGTCGTCCGCCACCCACGATTCAGCCAGGGGGATCAAGGAGAATCTTGAACCACTCGGCTCATCTCAGTCCAATATAGGACCTCCGCCAACTCTGACAGGAAACCATATTGGATTTCGTGCACGTGACCATCAAATGACACAACACAATCGTGAAATTATAGAACTGTTCAAATTGTGTCCGTTTGTCCTTTTCTGGAAAAAGTGTGTACCAAATTTCTGTCAGAATAATATGTTTTCAAAAACGCCCGCGTGTAATACGAACTTCATGCAGCCAGATCTGGCATTACAAGGTTTACATTGAATGCTTGCAACACCACTACTCCATTGCTGCCCTATGTTAAAATGATTGCGGAACCCCAGGGAACCAAATGATTGTATTGTAAATGGAGATTCAGATACTAAGCTTTAGTGTCAAGTCACATAAAACGTCCATTCAAGTTTCCGTTTGCATAGACATTCACTAATTTGTCTTGTGACTGCTTACATGTCGAGTGATGAATGTGAGTGACTTTAATAGCTGTGTTCAATGTTGAACCCGTCTTTGTTCGTAGTTCTATATTGGGAATGTCAGGAACAGGAGACACCGAAACTGCAGCTGTGTTCAAACTGACAGTTGCATCTATTTCCCCCAAAAATCTGTTTTCGTGGGAAAGGATTACTTTGGCTTGTGACTGCATCTTTCTGGATCGATAAACAAGGGTGACGTTGATAGAGCTGACTGTTGTCAAGAAATCCTGCTCCTTTCGTTTTGATCATAGACATGTGTGACATGTGACTCCCTCGACCATGGTGGACATTCCTCGACATTGGGACCGACCACGTGCTGTATTTTGTAGGCGCGTGTGTATGCATGTCGCCTACGTTTTGATTTAAAAATATTTTATTGCCTGAAAGATGCAAGTTCGCGATCTTAGGGACAGACCACTTGAATTTATGGAAGGGGAAGAGAGTGGGGTGGGGGTGGGGATGGGGATGGGGAGTTATTTGGAAAAAAAGAATATAATACAGATACAATTTGAAAGAAAAATGTCAGGCCTTTTCCAACTAAAATAATTGTTCGCTGGACGCGTTCTGAAAAATTATGTTGTAAGAAGAATTGTTCATCGCAAGCTTCCACATAAAAAAAACCAAACGTCCAGTGTGGTCAGTAGCATCCGTGCCTTCACTTGTTCATGTCGCTTGTATATATTTGTTCATGTGTTTATGCAATGTAGGATAAAGGTCATATTTGTATTCCAGTTGTCATCTTTCTTAGTGGCAGGGTGTGAGTGAAATATTGATCATAGTGCGGCCAAATTCACTCACTCACTGTTTACATGGGCTCAGGTCAGTTACACTGGAAGTTAAACTCAGATCCCGAAGCAGAGTTGTCGACCATATCCATGTTAGGATCCGCTTCATGGTTATGGGTTGCTCCCCTGGATTTTTATTTTATTTTATAGAAAACAGTTTTATTTGAATCATGAAAATACAAGTTGGGGACAAGTGATACTTGTACAAATATTTGAGATGTACATGCGGTGTACATAAGACACGTGGTGTAAGCAGCTCACTAGCACAATATGATAACGTAATTTTGTATCATTGTGTTAAAAATCAAGTCTCGATGTGTATCAATCTCTCTAATTAAGGACTCTCTCTATTTAGGGGGCGGTCGGATTGCCTAGCGGTTAAAGCGTTCGCTCGTCACGCCGAAGACCCGGATTCGATTTCCGACATGGGTAAAAATGTGTGAAGCCCATTTCTGGTGTCCCCCGCCGTGATATCGCTGGAATATTGCTAAAAGCGGCGTAAAACCACACTCACTCACTCTCTATTTAGGTCTTCACAGTGCGGTTGCGTTCACTGAGAACTAATTCTACTACCTGATATGTATAGCTGATAACAATAACTTTCATTAATGTTTAAATGTCGCGCACCTGTTTGCTGCAACAATGTACGTACATGTATATGACCCATCACAAGTCCCGGAGTCTTATATTTGCAGGGAAACAACTCGTCATAACATGAGTTTCTTGTTATACTTTTCTTATCGAGATTCTTTAAGATATCCTATTATTTATTATTTTGGGGGCTGGGATTTCTGTTAGGAATAACATTTATTTTTCGTTTCTGTGACTGCTTCAAAACACTTTTGTCAAAAACTAAGTTCTTTTCAAAACAGTGAATATCTGTATCAATTGTATTCGGGAACAAATTATTTGTATATTTATTTCTATAATACCAGCACATAATGTATAAAATATAACACACGGGTGATATTTGGATATAAACACCCAGAAAGCTCCCCATGTCTGCATGTTAATATGGGGCTTATGAAATGGGTATCGACCGGGATTAGGTGCACGAAATATTCTGTCGGAAAACATAACAAAACAAAAACAACAGTTAATAAAATATAATAAAAAGGAGCCCAGAGACATTCTTCATTTTCAGATACTGCAGTAATCTAGACCTACCCACTACATTAGATTCGCATGGGCTGCATTGGATATATTTGTTTTAGGATCTGACAGATTGGTACCCATTCATGAAACCCGGAAAATGTCCTTAGTAGAAATGTGTACAGTAAAACATGTTTTTTCCCCGAACCTAGCATTGACGTGCGTTTGAAGCACTAGCAGTAGAATCTGAACCCAAATTAATTCAAATATCAACACGTTCAAATTGCAAGCGCAGCTCAGTAGCCCTGTTGAGTATAGACCAAAAGTATTGAGTGTGGCGTAAAACAAACCATCACTCACTCAGTCTCTCTCATATTAGTCTGGGCCTGGTATGCATCATTTGCCATCCAGCTAGTGAGATAAGTATTGCTTTGCCATGTATCAGCTGAATTGGGCATATATTGAGCTACCCTTTGTGACCCCGGGTTAGAACTGGTCTCCAGCAAACTATGCTTGTGCCAGACGACTGAACGGCTGGTGCTGACCGTCACTTGTGTTCATCGTACAACGACAGCGTGAGGTGTTCCTCAAAATATTAATCACTGTTTTTTTCTGGTCCAGACAATTTACACGCACTGTCATATATTAAACATATTAAACAACTAACAAAACAATCTTGATTGAGCACCCTATATGGCGAAACGGTTGTTTACAGATAGAAACTGATAGCCTCGGCTGTCGTGTGCATACCCCAGGCGCTCGCAGCGTTGCTCTATGCCAGTGACAGCACCTACCTATATCTATGTATATACCCTTTAGACATATACACGGGAGCTGTCTTACCATACGGCAGCGATACGCGCGCCCGTGTGCTCACAAGGAGCCATCTTTTTCGTGAGACGAAAATAAATTAGATGACCAGTATGCGGGGGGGGGGGGGGGGGGGTAATATGGCGACCCCGACCTCGCTGACCGGCTCGGTGATTATACAGAAGTATCACTTGTTTGATAACGGTGTTAGAACCTACACCGAAACGTCGCTCCTATATGAAATAAAGAAGTTGTTCATCCATATATCTTATCCTTACTTATAATAGAATAAGAGATGTTGACTGTCCAAAACAGATCGGCTTTCACATAAGCAAAAAATATTGTAGGTTGAAATATAGACGTGCACAAATCTCTGAGGCAATAGCTATTAGTTTGAATCACATAATTTCTGGATTATATAAATAATAACAACAAGTTGTCGGTATGTGGTATCTGGTTGTCCCTGTAAGACTTGCCTATTATGAGGATAGAGCTACTGTACATCCATGGACCTATCGTTCAGTACAACCTTGGAACAAGGCCAGTGGTATGACTGCACACGGAACCTATTATTAGCTCAACTGGTACAGCGACTGTCGTCCATCCCCGTTTTCGTTTCCAGGCGATAACTCAAACAACGCTGGACTTTTCCCCGAATTTTGTGTTCAGAGCGTGACCATGGTGACTCGGGAAAACAAAATCATGATCGTTTCTAGCCAAATCTCTAAGGGAGAAACCGTTTGGGGGATTTGGGTTTGAGATCAGCTTTAATTTGTAAATGTTCATGAGCTCAATTTCGCCCTTCATAAACAGGTGCTCAATTATTTTTCATAAATAGAAATAACGAACTGCATTCTTTCGACACATGTCTGCAGGAAAGGGGCACATTATGTTTTTATTCCTGCAATTCGAGGTATACATGTAATTTCTTTCATTAAAAGAGGGCCAGTATTGTTATATTTTAACCCACACCACCGAAAATCAAATGGTTGCTCCCTACAATGTCATATGACCAGGCTACAGATAACCTGAGACCCAATTTGTAGACTCGGCATATGTGATACAGACAAGTTCAATACGGTCAGATGTCATATGCTAATGATTATAAAAGACCATAGACGAGTTTCTGGCGACAAACTTCAACCAAATTTGGGTTTGAACACCAATCGCCATTAAAATCAGATCTTTTACTCCGATCTTCTCAACATCGTATCGGAGTAAACGATCTAGTTGTATTGAGATTTGAACAGTCCCTGATAACGTTCAATAGGCAGCCCTGGTTAAAAGTTAGGTCGTCAGCGAAATAAATCAGTAATATCATGATTAATGAGGTCATTAGTACATGTCCTGTTTAGGCTGAGGTGAGAGTGGTTTCTGGGGGAAAACTCGAATAGATAGAGATACATTGCATGAATGTGTGTGTGTGGCTGCTTGTACTAGCACAGACTAATGCCGGTTTTATAGTGCTAGCCCAATGAGATGCCTAGCCGCCATCTAACGTGGACACCCCACTCAGACACAACATACTGACTCCGAGCCGACCAATCCTTGTTTTATCTCATCATGCAGTCATGCAGGGTAACAAGAAGTACCATGATTTTTTAACGTCTTTTGGTAGAGGCAGGGGTCGAACTACCGAACTTTCGCTCTGGGGGCAGACACTGTATACAAGGTGGCGGTTGTGAGATCAGTGTGAGATGAAAGTCGAAGTGATGCATGTCTTAGATGTCACTTTGGTGACACCCACGAACACCGGAATGGTGCTGATGAACCTAAAAAGATAATCCGAACGAGCCGGAATCCGAACCCGCGGGCATACGTTATTGGCGGAACGCAACTTGCACAGTGAATCCCGTGTCCCCGATCTAGCGATTAAGATCCTGGTTTTTATGCTTAAGATCATTGGTCAAGTGCTTTGTGTCTGAGCAGGTTAGCTGAAAGTTCGTTAGAGGTCATTCAGTAAATGTCTAAAGTCTGCTTTACATAGGTAATGATACGTTGAGGTCATAAGCCGTCGTTAATCCATATCCTTGATCAAACAACATATGTCACAGTCCCCGCACATGTATAATACATTGTTTCTTAAGGATTGCCGGATAAGCTGCACACTCCGTCACTGTAAGCAACGTTACTTTCTGATAACAACTGAACACATCAGGTGGCACGTGTTGGTCACCGGCCAAGCTTACAATATCGTTACGATACTAGCTTCAATCTTAAGTAATGTTACGTCAGTCTGTTGTGAAAGGGAGCGTTTTGTTAGGCCATAATTAATTATCGTTAGATTGTCACACATCCCGCCCCGCCATGGGAAATCGCTACAGGTATTCCCTTGTTTCTTAACTGGATGAAATACACCATACACTAGTATGTCTCCCAGAACCAAGAGAATGCAATAATAAATCTAAACTTTCAAACAGTTCTGTTGTATAGTTACCAAAACTGACTATAATATATATGTTACTATGTGCATTTTATTATTTAGCAATTTTTATAATTGCAAACTGTTGCAAATGTTTCATAGTGTTCCTCTCTGTGCTGAAGGCATGTTGGAAAGACATTGCCCTGTACAGAGCTATGATGTGAGGTGAGGTGAAATGGGGATGAAGGTTCTCCAAGATTATTGCACTTATATATAGCTACTGCATGGAATGTGTTTGTGGCTGCTTGTGCTAGTCCAGACTAATGCCGATTTTATAGTGCTAGCCCACAGAGATACCATGCCATAGTTTAAGTTGAATACCCCACTCAGACACAATATACAGAGTCTTTGTTTTATCCGAGCGCCAGGCAGGGTAACAAGCAGTACTATCTTTTAACGTCTTTTGGTATGATGCGGCCGAGGATTAAACCCCGGCTTTCCGCACTCCGGGCGGACGCTCTACCACTACAACCATGATGCAGGAGGTAGACACAGATGCAGGAAGTTGAGCTGACTGCTACAGATGTTGCAGGTTTGTATGTTTGTTTGTTGTTTTACGCCACACTCAGCAATATTCCAGCTATATGACGGCGGTCTGTAAATAATCTAGTCTGGACCAGGCAATCCAGTGATTGATATCATGAACATCGATCTAAGCAATTGGAGTGAGTGAGTATGGTTTTACGCCGCTTTTAGCAATATTCCAGCAATATCACGGCGGTGGACACCAGAAATGGGCTTCACACATTGTACCCATGTCGGGAATCGAACCCGGGTTTTCGGCGGGACAAGCGAACGCTTTAACCACTAGGCTACCCGACCGCCCTCTAAGCAATTGGGTTTCGATGACATGCATTAACCAAGTCAGCGAGCCTGACCCCCCGATCCCGAGTCGCCTCTTACAAGCATAGCCACCTTTTAAGGCAAGCATGGGTTGCTGAAGACCTATTCTATCCCGAATCTTCAGGGGTCTACAGGTGGTTCAGTTTCATTTTGTACATTTGTACAGTTATCATCAGGTTACACTGAGTTAGAGAAATCCTGCACCAGTTTGTGATAAAGAGTGATGGATGGTGAAGTCACTTCTGAAAGAGTGAGTGAGTGAGTTGGGTTTAACACTGCTTTTAACAGTATTCCAGTTATATCGTGGCATGAGGAAAGCTCGAAGTGATGCAAGTCTCAGACGCTTACCAGTACGGTGAAACCCACCAGCAGGGGTATGGTGCTGACAAACAAAGAAACATAATTGGGGCGAACCAGGATTCGAACCCACAATCACAGGTTTCTGGTGTGCCCAAGGGACGCAACTCTGTAATGTTGATCAAAATGCTTATGCAACAGTTGTGTAGACGTCAGACACACACATGCCAGACTTCTTCAAAGTTATCAGTACATGTTGTCATGTGCATGGCGCTCATCAAGCCTGTTAGTTTGTCCGATCTTGCAGTCGTACAGTTTGATATACATGTATTGCATGCTGAGGACTTGTTAGTTTAGTCACTTTTTGAAATGAAACAAAATAAGGCTTCTTAGTTTTGATTTATTCTACTTCTGTCTTGCAGTTTGATGTCTTGCATAGGTTTTCCTCTATTCTGTTAATCAGGGGATAGTTAATCAAAAGCCTTTTCCTGTTAAATGTCATCCCCATACTGCCTGTTGATAATGTTTGTGTTCACAACTGGATTTTTAACCAAATCTGGTGCTGATCAATCCAATTATTATCATGGCTTATCGGGATTTGACCCCAATATCAACAGACCCTGGCACATCCAAGGGCTGTAAGTCTGTATATTTACAGAGGTTCCTTATCTATCAGTCATCCAAACATCAGTGGAGTCAGTTGGCCAGTGTGTAAGTCAGACTATGCCATGGCAGCTTTATGATTCAACCGTACCAGCTGCATGTATGAGACCAAACTCTGGATCGATGCTCATGATGTCAATCACTGGATTGGCTGGTCCAGGCTTGATTATTTACAGACCGCCGTCATAATTGTGACGTTAAACACCAAACTCACTCACTCACTCTGCAGCCAGTTGCAGTGCCTTAGATCACTGGGCCACCGTAGAGTCATGGGAGACACAAGTCTGTCACTGCATGAGAACAGATAATAACTCATCTTTATAATAACACAGAATTTATTGGAACAGCAGGATGACTTCAGTGAAGTCTTTATTTTGTGCTGGAGCAATATTTCACACATACTCTGTATAAGCATTCCCATATGAACAGAGTACCTCACACTCACAGTCCATCCTCCATAGTCCAGGGTAGTATATCACCATTCTATCATAAATACCCTGGACCCATTCGCGGACACACCTTTGTTTTAAGTCCAATTTGAATGACATGAGCAAGCGAGAGGAATTTAGTAGTAGTTACTAGGGTGATAGAGATAGTGACATCAGTTTCCAACCGACGATATGGAACTTACATGGTAGTGACTGGATCAAGGGTATTCATAATAAAATAATACCCTGGATAACAGAGGATATCAAGAATCAGGAATCTTACTGTTATACGTAGAAACTTTCATTATTTCATCCTTGTCCATTAAGGAACAGCTAACATTGGTTGTCACTGCCTTTAATTGAACCAAATCACTTGGCTTATCCTCAACTCAATGCTGGAAATGATATCAAGTGGCTGGCATATTCATCCTCAATTCAACAGGAAATGACAGCAAATCACAGGAATCCCAAAGCTCACTAAAAAGGCTGAATGCGTTTTCAAAATATGTATGTAAAAATAAACATAGTTCCAACTGTCCACTTGACAAGGGAGGTCTTCAAGATTGGTAATAGTGATGTGAGAGGTGATTTCAGTATTTCTTCCATTCCAGTCCATCTGGTGGCTTGACGTCGACTTTATCTTTGCCAACTTCTGTCCAGTTTGTACTCAGCACCGTGCCGCCAGACTCGTACTAAAACCAAACACACAGTACAGAACAATGAACTCAGCACCGTGCCGCCAGACTCGTACTAAAACCAAACACACAGTACAGAACAATGTACTCAGCACCTTGCTGCCAGACTCGTACTAAAAACAAACACACAGTACAGAACAATGTACTCAGCACCTTGCTGCCAGACTCGTACAAAAGACAAACACACAGAACAGAACAGAACAGTGAACTCAGCACCATGCTCAAATCAAACAAGCATTATCAATGCAACCTAATGTTCAGACCACATTGTATAAATTTAGATGTGCAGCAAACTGTTGCACATAATGTCTGAAATAACAATACAGTAAACTATGTTTATAACAAACACGCTTATAACGAACTGACCGATATGATTACCCGTTTTTTAGCCCCAGCCATTTATTGTATATATGATGCATATATGCTACGGTTATTGCGAACTAAAATTAGTGGTCCCTTTGAGTTCGTTATAACCGTAGTTTACTGTAACTGTTGACTCACAAAAGATTTCAGCATGGCTCGCTTAACGTCGTCTGTACCATCCGAGTAGATCTGCTGGAAGAGGGAGTTGAGAGCGGCATCGCCCTCCTTCTTCTCCGTCTTCTCTTCCTCGGCCACTTCCAGGGCCAGCTTGTCCCAGTCACGCGACACGGTGCTTGAAGACGGATACTGAGATGTCGTCGGCGCCGTCGCCACAGGAGCTGGTGGATAGAGGAGACAGTTATACGATGTACAACTGGGTTGATAGAGTGAGTGAAGAGTTTGTTTAATGCCACCATAAACAGTATTTTAGTCATATGACAGCATCAGCCATGATTGTCTACCACTTTGATAAAACACTGAATACGTGTATGGTGCTGACAAACTTAGAAACAATCTAGCTGAACAAACAACCACAGTTTCTGGTACTAAGGGCCACAACTCTGCAGGGTGAAATGTGGGGCCTAAGCCAACTCGGAAACCCATGCCTCCTTGAAAGTGTGTGTGTCACCAAAGCACTCTGAGTACTATGAATACCACTAACCTGCCATGTATGCTGTTGGTTCCTTTGGCTGACCTTCACCTTCAAGCTTCGTCCACTGGATGCCCTCCTCCTTCTTCAGCTTGATCTCTACCTGCAACAAGACTGGCCTTCTGTCACTAAATTCTCAGGAGACCCTTGAAGATCTGGGGAAGGATAGGTCTTTAGCAACCCATACTTACCGTATATGTGACTATATGTGTCATATGAGGCAAGTAATGGGATCGGGTGGTCAGACTCACTGACTTGGTTGATGCATGCCATCATATCCAACTGCATGGATCGATGCTCATGATAATCAATCACTGGATTGTCTGTATTGGATTGACACGATTATATGTAATCAGAAAACCAAAGCCTGTTACTTTATTCTAAATGTAGAAATATGTCATACTTGTGTTAAGAAAAGGCATTTTGATTTGTTGTTAATTTCAAGCTCATGAGCACAAAAAGTTCTGTGGAAAGTTAAGTGATACGAGAGGTGGAGATGATGACATCACTTCCAAAGCAAAGCTATGGGTTGGGTATCATAACACAAAGAAGATATGATATGCTGGATAATCAAGACGACTAGTTAACGTGCTAGTTACCTTGGTCGACATGACCTTGTAGTTGGACTGTGCCGGCACGATCGGGTGGGCCAGGTCCAGCTCCAGACTGTAGTCCGTCCCACTGCCCTGTCTGATGGAAACACTGACCTGCAACACACACGTGCATCATGTGTAACATGTACTGAAAGTGGGGAGACACCAGGTATTGGTGCAAACATTTATACCATCAGTGGGGGAGACACCAGGTCTCCGGGTGAGGGTGAGGGTGAGGCCACTTTGAAGAGTTGTAGCTAAAAGTGGAAGGGAACCCCAATGTATGGATGTGATGCTGACAATCTGGGGTTTGAGACTTCAATCATCTGGTCTCAAAAAATTGCCTCACTTCCCATTTACTTCCACTAAGTACAAACCTTCACAACCTCAACATATTAATATACACTGTAAGTAGATGATGAGGGCAGGATAAGAACAGGATCCAGATTCTTCATTATCATTGACTGGCATATATAAATCAACAATTTAACTGGTATTATCATTCAAATACATATAAAATACACATGCTTTTCAAACTGGACATACATCATGATGAGATTCTTCCCAGCATCAATTGGCAGACACATGCTTAGTATGACAGACACAGTTACCTCCCCTTGTTTCATATAGCATAGTGACATCACAGATCATGGGGAGGTTATGCCGACTATAGTAAGAATAAGGTCACAATGACTGACAGGTCACCTAGGAGATTGTATGTCATTGTAACCCCAAGGTGATACTCATCACTGATGACATAATACTCTGGCGAAAAGGAACATTACCGGACACTAATGACAAATATTGGAATGTGTGCTTTTCAAGAAATATCCTTTTTGCTAGTGATCAACATCAATGACTGCGAGCAGTCATATTAATCAGTGCTTGTACCTCGAACCAGGTCAAAAGCATTTTGAAAACATCTGCATGGTTGTTTTGTTTCAGTGCATACCGTGCTCTTGACCTAGTTCAATATTCACACACTGCTAAATATAACCGCTTGCATTTACCAGACTGACGAAGACTTTCCGGATTGTAAACACGTCATCAAAACTAAACGATTTCACTGAACAGTTAGGGGCTGAACTCATTGTTTTGGCCGTGAAAGCATGGATAACAATAAACACTAACATCAATTGATCAGGAAGCCAAATTCAAGCTTTGGGAAGTCAAATCAAAAGGTTTGTCACCATTTGTTGTTTGTTGTTTGTTGTTTAACGCCCCACTCAGCAACGTTCCAGCTATATGAAGGCGGTCTGTAAAAAAATGGAGTCTGGACCAGACAATCCACTGATTGACAACATGAGCATCAATCTACTCAATTGGGATCAGATGATATGCATCAACCTAGTTCGACCCTGTTCGTCGCCTCTAACGACCAGCATAGACGCTTCTTAGGACAAGCATGAGTTGCTGAAGACCTATTTTAAGCCGGATCTGTCACCGATTGAATGAGCACTTGATGCCTTGGAGCTACAGTGACCACTGTTGATACCAGATGAAATTCCAAACACTCAATGTTGACCTCCTAATTCCTTCACTCACTCTGCAGCTGTTTTGTGAGCTTTTCCGCACACACCCATCAGTGACAACTCTAACTTACTGTGTGCTCTTGGATGTCTGCAGTGAAGTCTTCTTTGGCCACATTCTTAATCAGGATGGTCACTATGACATGGGTGGCAGTCTGGTACCAATCATGTCTGAAACACAAAAACATCAACATCACTACACCAACAATACATACATCAACATCACTACACCAACAATACACACACATCAACATCACTACACCAACAATAGACACACACATCAACATCACTACACCAACAATAGACACACATCAACATCACTACACCAACAATACATACATCAACATCACTACACCAACAATACACACACATCAACATCACTACACCAACAATATACACACACATCAACATCACTACACCAACAATACACACACATCAACATCACTACACCAACAATACACACACATCAACATCACTACACCAACAATACACACACATCAACATCACTACACCAACAATACACACACACACATCAACATCACTACACCAACAATACACACACACATCAACATCACTACACCAACAATACACACACATCAACATCACTACACCAACAATACACACACATCAACATCACTACACCAACAATACACACACATCAACATCACTACACCAACAATACACACACATCAACATCACTACACCAACAATACACACATCAACATCACTACACCAACAATAGACACACATCAACATCACTACACCAACAATACACACACATCAACATCACTACACCAACAATACACACACATCAACATCACTACACCAACAATACACACACATCAACATCACTACACCAACAATACACACACATCAACATCACTACACCAACAATACACACACATCAACATCACTGCACCAACAATACACACACATCAACATCACTACACCAACAATACACAAACATCAACATCACTACACCAACAATATACACACATCAACATCACTACACCAACAATACACACACATCAACATCACTACACCAACAATACACACACATCAACATCACTACACCAACAATATACACACATCAACATCACTACACCAACAATACACACACATCAACATCACTACACCAACAATACACACATCAACATCACTGCACCAACAATACACACACATCAACATCACTACACCAACAATACACACACATCAACATCACTACACCAACAATACACACACATCAACATCACTACACCAACAATATACACACATCAACATCACTACACCAACAATACACACACATCAACATCACTACACCAACAATACACACATCAACATCACTGCACCAACAATACACACATCAACATCACTACACCAACAATACACACACACATCAACATCACTACACCAACAATAGAAACACACATCAACATCACTACACCAACAATACACACACATCAACATCACTACACCAACAATACACACACACATCAACATCACTACACCAACAATATACACACACACATCAACATCACTACACCAACAATAGACACACATCAACATCACTACACCAACAATAGACACACATCAACATCACTACACCAACAATACACACACATCAACATCACTACACCAACAATAGACACACATCAACATCACTGCACCAACAATACACACACACATCAACATCACTACACCAACAATACACACACATCAACATCACTACACCAACAATACACACACATCAACATCACTACACCAACAATACACACACACATCAACATCACTACACCAACAATATACACACACATCAACATCACTACACCAACAATAGAAACACACATCAACATCACTACACCAACAATACACACACACATCAACATCACTACACCAACAATACACACATCAACATCACTGCACCAATAATACACACACATCAACATCACTACACCAACAATACACACACATCAACATCACTACACCAACAATACACACACATCAACATCACTACACCAACAATACACACACACATCAACATCACTACACCAACAATACACACATCAACATCACTACACCAACAATACACACACACACATCAACATCACTACACCAACAATACACACATCAACATCACTACACCAACAATACACACACATCAACATCACTACACCAACAATATACACACACATCAACATCACTACACCAACAATATACACACATCAACATCACTACACCAACAATATACACACATCAACATCACTACACCAACAATACACACACATCAACATCAACATCACTACACCAACAATACACACATCAACATCACTACACCAACAATACACACACACATCAACATCACTACACCAACAATACACACACACATCAACATCACTACACCAACAATAGAAACACATCAACATCACTACACCAACAATAGACACACACATCAACATCACTACACCAACAATACACACACACATCAACATCACTACACCAACAATATACACACACATCAACATCACTACACCAACAATACACACACATCAACATCACTACACCAACAATATACACACACATCAACATCACTACACCAACAATACACACACACATCAACATCACTACACCAACAATACACACACATCAACATCACTGCACCAACAATATACACACATCAACATCACTACACCAACAATACACACACATCAACATCACTACACCAACAATACACACACACATCAACATCACTACACCAACAATACACACACATCAACATCACTACACCAACAATACACACACATCAACATCACTGCACCAACAATACACACACACATCAACATCACTACACCAACAATATACACACATCAACATCACTACACCAACAATACACACACATCAACATCACTACACCAACAATACACACACACATCAACATCACTACACCAACAATACACACACATCAACATCACTACACCAACAATACACACACATCAACATCACTACACCAACAATACACACACACATCAACATCACTACACCAACAATACACACACATCAACATCACTACACCAACAATACACACACATCAACATCACTGCACCAACAATACACACACATCAACATCACTGCACCAACAATACACACACATCAACATCACTACACCAACAATACACACATCAACATCACTACACCAACAATACACACACATCAACATCACTACACCAACAATACACACACATCAACATCACTACACCAACAATATACACACACATCAACATCACTACACCAACAATACACACACACATCAACATCACTACACCAACAATACACACACATCAACATCACTACACCAACAATACACACACATCAACATCACTGCACCAACAATACACACACATCAACATCACTGCACCAACAATACACACACACACATCAACATCACTACACGAACAATACACACATCAACATCACTACACCAACAATACACACACACATCAACATCACTACACCAACAATATACACATCAACATCACTACACCAACAATACACACACATCAACATCACTACACCAACAATACACACACATCAACATCACTACACCAACAATACACACACATCAACATCACTACACCAACAATACACACACATCAACATCACTACACCAACAATACACACACATCAACATCACTACACCAACAATACACACACACATCAACATCACTACACCAACAATAGACACACACATCAACATCACTACACCAACAATACACACACACATCAACATCACTACACCAACAATACACACATCAACATCACTACACCAACAATACACACACATCAACATCACTACACCAACAATACACACATCAACATCACTACACCAACAATACACACACATCAACATCCCCACCACCAGACAGTCATGTCTGAAATTTGTTTGGGCAAATTGGCAGTCCCAGTAAGTTTGATTCAAGTCATTCAAAAACCACCTTCTTCATGTTGTCCTTCTGCTAATTTGTATACCGTATTTGACATAATAAGCACCCAGGGCACTCTCAAAATTAGAAATAGGGGGCTCTTATTAGAATATAATTTTGGTGAAAGAGTTGAAAGATTGTAAATTTTATGGTTTATGCCGACAGCCTGAAATGATACAAAAGAATAGTCTGTGCTTATTATACACGACAGATATATTTTTCCAGAATTTAAATGCCTGGAATTAAGGGTGCATAGAACAAGAGCGTATTATACACAAATAAATAAGTCTTGTATACATTGATCAATCAGAAGGGGTGCTCATTGGGATTATTCACTAGCCAATATATTGGCAAATATCGCCGTGGGCGCTTATTAGAGTGAGGCGCTTAACGAATCAGGTCTCCAGGCTTCCAACAACTTGGAATGAAAACTTGCCTGATTTGAAAACTTGGATACATTTTGATTCAACAATTTATAAGTCTGTTAATAACATTGATCTCAAAAGTCAGAAATTTAATATTACATACAGATTTTCCTTTGGCATAAGAAATGACATGGCCAATACTTCATGGGGTTGTGTAAAATAAATAGTCCTTATTTTAACCAATGAATCAAGCCATGGCCTGGTTCCAGCAAGAAGGATGATAGCGAGCACACAGAGTAATGATCACTCAGAACAAATCACACAAACAGTGTTTCTTGTACGATATGTTCAACATGTGCCACAGCATTGTATCAATCTACACGAGTCACTGCTTCAATGTCAGGCTACGGTAGGGATCACACAAAGTTCACGCACGTTGGGCTTAAACAAATATTAGTCTTGGTTCTCAGGCACCAGCAGCATCACCATAAAGTCAGCCACACATTTCATTCTTATTTCTACTTTTTAAACAAAATTTTTAAAATCCTAATATCTTAAAAGATTGTGATCCAATATAGCACACAGTTACTTCCCTTTACATGCGCACTGCTTTACTGCACATCTAGTATTTTGGTCATGGTGGTGGTAGGAGTTTGTATGCTTGTTTATGTTGTGAGGCCCTTTACCAGGTTGATGGTACATAACTGTTTGGTTACATACTAGTTTGAACAAGCCAAAAAAAACCATCGCCCACCTGCACTATATTTTCAAAAGTCATTGCCTGAGAACCAATTCTTTTATTTTTTTAAGCCCAGTAGGGCACATGATTTCCGACAGTTATACACAGCCTCATTACATTACGTGGCTCACAGCAGATACACGTCACTAATAAACTACATATCTGTTGAATTTCGCCACAGGTGATGGAGGAATGTAATGCATACAAACCTGTGACATATTGATAATGAAGGATTGATCGTTCTTGGTACAAACGCTGACATACTTTGTTTTTGGTCCTGATGGCATCTTGACTGGCTCTGCTGGTGGCATTGTCGGAGGCTCCGTTGTTGAATCTGAGGGAGTCTGCGCTGTCGGCTGAGTTGAAGGCTCCTCCGTAGGCTCTGTTGGAGCTGAGGATGCCTGTTCTGTCGAGGACGAGGATAAGGGAGGCAACTCTGCTTCACATTTCTCAAGCCACTTTGCATAGCTTGAATCTGCTGCTGTAGAAACCAAATATAATATGCTTTATTGCCTGCAAGTTGGTTGGTTGGTTTGTTTGTTGTTTTACGCCACACTCAGCAATATTCCAGCTATATAAGGGCGGTCTGTAAATAATCGAGTCTGGACCAGACAATCCAGTGATTGATATCAGGAGCATCGATCCACGCAATTGGGATAGATGACATGCATCAACCAAGTCAGCAAGCCTGACCACCCGATCCCGTTAGTCGCCTTTTACGACAAGCATAGTCGCCTTTTACGGCAAGCATGTGCTTGCAAGTGTATGTGTCAAGTAGCCTATTCCAACATAGTTTCTTGACTGAAAATGCAATGCACATAGGACTGAAACGATACATATGACACGATCTAGCACTTGGTTTTAATAAGAATAAATAATAATCATATCTTAGAAGATATCTGTAATAACGCAGGTCTCAGGGGTGTACAATGAAACTGGTATACTGGCATATTGTGATACGGCTGTCAGCAATACACGCATCGCAATACAACCCTTGGTTATTGATATTTCCAAATACAGTCACAGAAGAATTAATATATATATATATAATTATATAAATTATATCTACTACAGGGTTAGAACTTAACTCTAGCCCACTAGCCCTGGGCTGGAACAAATTCCTGCGGGCTAGTACAAATTTCCAAATTTCTCCATTGTTTTAACATTACACAGGTTTCACCCGGGCTAGTAAAGCTTTTGAGTTTAGTTCTAACCCTGTACTATCTTGAGGCATTTGGATGGACTGGGTTCCTAGCTAAACCATGTTAACAGCACACTCTTTACGCTGTTTACATTTACATTCAATATGATGAAATAATAGGTACCGGTAGTCTCATTTATCCATACTACCATTCTCAATTTGAATAGTACAAATGTATATAATTTGGGCCCCAATATGTATTGCAATATGTATCGCAATACAGAGAGCATACGGACAGTGAACTGACCCCCGACATGTCCCCAACAGAGTTTACGCCAGAGACTGAGCATCCGCCACCGTGGCCCAGCCTGGGGTAGCTATTCAGGCGGAATGGCGGGCAATAACAAGGGCAACCATATCCAAGTTAATCAACAGTATGCCATCTTGGTGTCATGCATGAATCACCAAACATGGTAGGCACATCAGATATTGATCTACACGCCCAAACTAAATTCTTAAAACATTGATTGTGATTACACCTTCATTATAATTTGAGCCGTTCCCTTATGTTCTGGTTGGTCGTACATTGGAATCCTTAGATCCCCCAAATTTTCATCCCACAACATTAGAAATATGACAAGGACACTTTGACTTTCATGCCTTATTTTGAACACTGTCTTTGTTGCACAAGCACTTACAATCTAGGGACTGTCCTTCTCGGAAAGCATCAATAGCATTTTTGTAATCTTTAAGATGGAAGAGTGCAATTCTGAAAAGAAAACATTCATATATATATATACAAGTACACACATTTTGATAATCAAAGCCTAAAATAAGTAAAGGATTTGCATTTACGGTACAAAATTTAGTTTCAGAATTTTGCTAAATCAAAATGTAGTGGATCGTACATTGACTTTCTGGGTCACAACTAATGGCTGATAAAAGGCACCAACCCACTCTGTGTGCACATGGTGACATGACAAACATGGGGTAATAAGGTTTTGCCAGTTTGACCAAATATTCTAGTATAAAACAGAGTGAACTGGATTTCAGAAGGCTGCCCAGCAACACCTATTCCCAACATTCCCGACAACTGCCTCATTCATTTCTGTCTCCTTCGGCTAAATGTTGCCATTCTGACACCAAGACACCAAATTTGACCACCCAACATAAATAGTGAGTGAGTTAGGTTTAACACCGCTTTTAAAATTATTCCAGTTATATCACGGCGTGTCAGCTTAATGTGGGAAGAAAGCCCAAAGTGATGCAGGTCTCAGATGAGCACGGGTATGGTGCTGACAAACCTAGAAACATAACCGGGGCGATCCGTGATTCAAACCCACAATCATATGTTTCTGACGTGCCCAAGGGACGCAACTCTGCACAGCTCTGCACTGCGAATCGCGGCGCCTGAGACGACTTGGCCACTGCAATCTCGGGACTGCATATAACAATTTTTTTTTTAAATGTGCCTTTGATATGACACGATATAGAACAATTTTTAAAATGAGAAAGCTATTTTAATCATGTTTCAGCTAAATAAAAGAGTACTTACCCTTTCCTCAAATGTGCTTTTACATTCTTTGGCTTAATCGTACAGGCCTTGCTGCAATCATTATAAGCCTCTGAAAATCAAAGTTGAAAAAGGATGAAAAACATATTTGCCATTTGCCATAAAAATTAATTTCTAATACCTGTTTGGAAACCAGGGGCCCGTTTCACAAAGAGATCTTAGCGCTAAGACGGTCGTAAGTCTATGTTAAAGTATAGGAGTTACGGTAGTCGTAGCGCTACGATCGCTTTGTGAAACGGGCCCCAGACCCCAAAGGAGTCTATCAAACACGACTACACAAAAGTTGTCCTCCATCATTGTCATAACAATCAGTTCTTTTATTCTGATAGGATACCTCGCTGCAGTGACAATGCGACAAATCCTCCCAGCAGGTGAACTTCCATCAGCCAATCAGCGTCGAGACTTCAAAATTTTGTGCAAAGTTCTTAGAGCATTACTGTATTTTATATTTCTGTTACTTGAAAATAAACAGCCAAATTGAAATAATAAAGGCTGCATGTATTCTGTGGACATTTTATATATATTGTTGTCTCTGAGCACCATGGCATCCAAACCCAGCTGCAGTTACCGGATCCCCTTCTCTGTTCTTCAATTAAAATACTGTAACTTTTACATTAACTTGTGTCTTTATATACCTAGCAAATCTCACACTGTGCATTTCTTCCTTCTTCTTTTGATCATATGTGGAAACGTGCTTGAACAAGGTTTTCAGCTTTTAAAAAAAAAAATCACCTGAACACAACCTAGCATCACCATTGTCACCACCCAGGCAAACGGTTCACACACTGTAATCCCGTGCATAACGACCCACATGATGTGATCACATGACTATCGCTGCCGAATCATTTTCTTTCTTAGAGCTAACAGGCCAGAGGAGCTGTGATGTGGGGATTGTTGGGTGGGCATATAGCGTGTGAGAAAGGATAAGTATATAAGTATATCACTGTATATAAATATACAATTTAACTTAACATTAACTAATTTTTAAACTTATCCTATCTCACACTCCGCTTTAATTCCACGGTTTAGCTGGTGCTAAACAGTGAGATAAATAAAATAATCTATAACACTGCCTAGTATTGTAAAGACAAGAATGAGCATGCTACATACTTTCAGGTATGACGTAACATAAACGACGGTGTAGCTGGAAAGAACAATCAATACAGCAATCCCCACCCAATCGATTCTACAACACAGGTCTCATCTCTGCTCGGCATCTCTTCTAACACATCGACAAAGCTATCAAACCGCCTAAGGGATTGAAGCATGCTAAGATAAGAAGAGGAACGATCGTCAATATCCACAAGAGGATCTTTGAACCAATACCTGGACGCACATGCCTCAAGCAGCGGTGACCTAGTAAGGATTCGGGACGCTGTCGAAACGGCCACGCCTTTGGCTACTTAGATGTTGAAGACCCAAATCTCTACCTTCATACCTGGTACACAGTCTGAGAACCTGACTAATGACATACAATAAACACAGGAGTTGATGTTCCGGGATTTATTCTGTATATACACCGTACATAGTATGGTAGCGGGTACATGCATCAACTATCTGCGCTGGTGTGCTGTCGACAGGACCAAGGGACTGATTTGGTGTAGACCCTGAACATTGGTGACTAAGATGTCACCTAGAAAGTGGGAAGTGAAGATAGCAGGAGACTTCCAAAATGAACACCCCCATAATGGCAGACAGAGTACAACTGCTGCGCTGGGCCGTAGTAGAGGTGACAGCTCACGTCTCATGTGGATTGGATGTACTGGAGGCAATCCAGTGAAGGTGTGGGCTCGGAGAATTGTCGAGCTGAGCAAGTGGTATGGGAGACTTCCATGGTGGCCACTGTGGAAAGTGGGATGAAGAATCTCTTACAAGTGCATTCAAGTGAGTGTGCAGCCTTTGGGTAGATGCTCTAACTGGGCACAAGGAGATGTCTTCATGGTCATCTGGGTTGATGGGCGGTCCGGTAGCCTAGTGGTTAAAGCGTTCGTTCGTCAGGCAGTCGACCCAGGTTTGATTCCCGACATGAGTACAATGTGTGAAGCCCATTGCTGGAATATTGCTAAAAGAGGCGTAAAACCATACTCACTCATCTGGGTTGAGGATTGATGCCAACGACAGGATGGTATACAGACGGTCTGCGTGTCGCGGAAGCTGATACTTCACGAAGTCCCAGAAAGACCTTCCCATACTGTGTCTTCTCAAACTGGACCTGGTTAACATTGAGAATCGAGAACAGGGATGAAGAGAGGCAGTAGTCGGCTTGGTGATATCACAAGCTCGACAGTAGGCTTTGAAACGCATTCCATTCATGGTTGTATGGGGTATTATGGGAGGTATGGTGAGTCTCAGTGATGGTCTTTGCTACTCGGCGGAAAGGTGTAGACGTTTTGGTACTCCCATGAGATGGCAAGGGTGTCGTCGTCCCATGCCTGAGAATCTGGGATGGCAGAAATGAACTTTGGTAGCTGAGCGTAGAACTTGGTTGCATGGCCATCAATGTCTGGAATTGGGTAGAGGTGGCAATTCACCAAAATTGTCAAGTGTTGGTGAAGATTGGTCTGGTCCAGATAGGGAGTCAGCTAAGACATTGTGGATCCCGGTATTGTGCCTCACACGGATCTGAATGTTCTAGGAGCCGATCAGCCGAAATTGAACGTCAGTGATAGGAGGGATGTCGGCTTGGTGGAACCCATTTGTTGATAAACAGAAAGTCTTGGCACTGAGATTGGAGCCATAGGAGCGGTATTGATTCCGGCGACGACAAGGATCTGCATAGCATGTAGACAGGGAATGATACCAGGTTGACTATTGACCCACGGAATCTAAAAAATAATCTTCTTCCGAAAGACGGCGATCACCATGACGAGTAGGAGTGGTCTGTGACAAAAAGGTGGCAGCCATGCGAGATCCATCAGTCAAATGTTGACATGAGTAGGTCGATCCATGTCAGAAGCATGCGATCGATCCCATCTACATCGATCCTTGTTAGCGGTAGATGACAAATTCATACAAATCGATCTGGGGCAGGGTTGGAATTATCACCATCAATTTGGGGACAACTGTATCCTGGGATGAAGTGGTGGGTTTGATGCTGACTGGACAACGACTGGCGTTGATGATCGGGAACATCCTTAGAGAGAACCATGCAGACGTCCAAAGCTGCAGGTTGCTCCACTGAGGTGTGGACCTGGACACACTGGGGACAGGCGGAGGATGCTGTCGGGTACCCAGTCTTGGGAGCTGAGTGCCGTCACAACATCGAGGTCGAACTAGAAGTAGCAATCCAGTCACTTCAAGGTAAAAATAAATATAGATCTACATGTGGCCCCGATATCAATGTTGATGCCAGCCCCAATGCTGAGACGGAAATTGATGGCACAAAGTCAATCCTGAGGTTGCTCCCAGGTTGTGGGTCTGGGTCGGAAAATCAAGATCAGCCAGGGAGGATAAGAGCTGGATTGACGTTGTCACAGCTGCCAGCACACGAGCCGGGAAAACGTCATGATCCAAGACAACGTCTGGAGACAGTATAAACCTCAGGTTCAACAGAAACTGCGGAACCGGAGGAGCGACATGCGCAGGAGTCTAAGTGTTTTTTGGAGGTGGAGATGACGACCAAGAACAACAAGGAGAACGGCAATGCATATGAGCGTCTGTTGGTGATGAACATCTGCGAGAAGGAGAGGGGTGTTGAAGCTCATCACGGTGATGGTGATCAAAGGGTTGATCCCGATGAGGAGATGGTAGTAATCAGCACGGGAGCAGAAGATGATGCATTGCTTAAGGGTAGTTCGCCAAACTATGTGGGTGGTCTCCATAATCACTGTACCGAGAGCAACCCCAAGCGCGAACGTCCTGTTGATGATGATGACAATCATGCTGTGTAACTGGAGGACAGAGAGCAACACAAATCTGACGAACGCTCAGTCAAGTCAGTATAATCGTCATCCTCTGAATCACACCGAACAGGAGTGGTTCGTGATGAATCGGTAGAGTCCTTGCAAGAGTAAGAAACTATAATCAATTGCATTTTTTCTGTATGTGGAAAATCTTCGAGTCCATTTCTCTTTTAATGCTAAATTGGGTTTTAAAATCAGTTTTTTGAAGAAATGACAGACAGACTAAACTAAATGATCGTCTTGATGTAATAATATATACAATAGAGTTCCGGCAGTGTTAAACCATGGATCTGAGTTCAAGAAGTCCTGATCGTTGGTCAACCCATCTCACCTGTGTACTTCTCAAGCTTGAGGTAGGCCTGGGCTCTGTTCACATAGAAGTCATCTCTATCATCTTCTGCCTGGATGGCCTCCGAGTAAAGCTGAAAGTGATACAGAGTGAGTGAGTGAGTGAGTGAGTGAGTGAGTGAGTGAGTGAGTTGGGTTCAACGCCGCTTTTAACATTATTCCAGTTATATCACAGCGTGTCAGCTTAATGTGGGAGGAAAACCTGAAGCGATGCAGGTCTCAGACGTTTACCACTTCGGTGAAACCCAAGAGCACGGGTATGGTGCTGACAAACCTAGAAACATAATTGGGACAAACCGGGTCAGGTTGATGAATTGGTCCACACACAACATTTGATTTCAACACACTGTACACATCTTCTGATGAATGCAATAATCTTGAAAAGTGTAAACATGGCGTTGGCCACCAACCAGTGATCACCATTTTTCATGTTTTCTATTGGAAATACCCTGTGCATTAAGTTGACTGTACAGATAAATTTTGTATGTGAAACTATAAACAATTGCATTTTTTCTGTATGTGGAAAATCTTCGAGTCAATTTCTCTTTTAATGCTAAATTGGGTTTTAAAATCAGTTTTTGGAAGAAATGACAGACTGACTAAACTAAATGATCGTCTTGATGTATTTTTGTTTACTCATGAATTAGCCACGTGATACCCTTTTCTAAAGTTGATTATCTGTTTGTGTGTTTTTTCATAATTCCTGGTATGAGTCAATATAAATATGTCTCTCTTCGAATGAGGTGAGGTGAGGTGAGGTTAGGTGGGGCTTAACATCGCGTTCACGATTATTGCACTCATATAGTGATGTGCATGCACGTGTCTGCGTGTGTGTGGCTGCTTGTACAAGTCCGGACTAAGTTTATTGTGTTGCCCACTGAGTTACCATAGCGCAGTATACACACAGTTACTCTGGACGAGGTCAATATGCAGCCAAGGTACAGTGTCCTAATTCACTAGCAAGGTAAGGCTATACATTGTAGTTATACAAGGCATAATATCACATTTATTATCGTAATGATGGAAGATAGTTGTGGTCAATATGACAAAACATCCTGTATTTGGCTGTAATCTGAGTGTGGCATTGAATTCTAGTGCTGCGTCCAAACCTCATAATGAGTATGAGTGAGTACGGTTTTACGCCGCTTTTAGCAATAATCCAGCCATATATCATGGAAGGGGACACCAGAAATGGGCTTCACACATTGTACTGATGTCGGGATTCGAACTGTGGTCTTCGGCGTGACGAGCGAACGCCTTAACCATATAGGCTACCCGACCGTCCCTCCGAACGTCATAAAACATACAGCAACCATGTAGTTCTCATAGAAGGCCATGTTGTTTTTTAAGCAATCTTTTTTCGGAAGGAAACTTTGACATTCTTTCTCAAATAAATCAACTTGTTCAGTGACAGATCATTGTCAACAACGAGACCTTTTGTCGTGTAGGATTTCTCAATGATATCGATTCATAACCTTCCACGAATTCGGGCAAATATTATCAAATATGCATGGTCAACCAGCTGCATCATTCTCTCAACAGTCCAGTTATGAAATATAGAACTTTTGTAGGAATCTAGCAGCCTACATGCGTCACAACATGTTTGTTTACCTCAATAGCTCTCTGATAATTCTCACTGACGAACTCTTCGTTTGCCTTGCTGCAAAAGAGAGTACATGAGATATATAACTGCTGCATAATTCACCGCACTGTCAAATTCATAAGTGACAACAAAAATGACAACACCGGTGTGTCCTTCTTATCGTGGCCTACCTAAACAGTTCAGCCGCCATGTTCTTCTAGAATTTTCTGCACGACTCAACTCTTTTACAGATGTGTTCCAAATATGCATGCGCCATTTTGAGGATCTCGTATTTTAGTCGCAATTATGCAAGATCAAAATCTAATCCATATATTAGTCATTACCGAAGTATCACACATGAATGGGGAATGCTGAGGTCTAATTAACAACATTGTTGAACTTAACAATATAGGTTTAAGCTATTGTAGGAGTTAAGCAGATTTAATTAACTTAGTTGTTCAACATATTAGAGGTGATTTTACATTATGCCTTAGGGCAAAGTAGGTATAGTTATTGTTAATTAATAGGACTGCAACCACCTCATTTCTGTTTCCTTTTATTTAGAATCCAATAAACAAATTAAATTCGAACTACGTATGAAGACCAAATGAGTTTTTTGTGACAATATATAATTATTAGCAACAGAACAACGAGAATATTGTAGTCTTGTATTACGATTTTCCAACAATATCGATTCATAGATTTCCAGACTCTTCCCAAAATGTGCACCGACAGGCTGATGTAACTTTTGTATAATGGAATTCTTTTCAAACAAAAAGGGTAAACCAAGACCTTACTTAATTGTTTTATTTTCATGCCTGACTTTTGGCACCAATATAGCCGATTTGAAGTTGTGGCCGAATGGCCTTTTCACCAAATGGTTTCAGCTCCATATGAGACGAAAGACGGAAGTTATAGAGGATATTTCATGTGTCGAGTGAAATATCATATGTTTTGAAATGTAAATGCTCCCTACCAAACGCACAGGGACGGTTCACCGTCCCTTGCATTTGAAACATAAATAGTAGTTTCGTGTTTGAAAATTCTTAAAATAAAAGTATAAAGAGACATTTAGGGTCAATTCTTTATCACACATTTAGATATGATTATATGAAAAATCAACATTAACAAAAGCATATTCTTTAAAGCTACGAGACCGCTGTTAAACGCGAAAGAATGCCTGTTTAGGTAACAAAAATGTCGCTTTGCGAAACGTTATGTTATTCCCTACGAAGGCAAACATATCGGGATTCATAAAAATCATTTATTACTTGCCCGTGAAGAGATCACCCGTTTAATAAACATACAGCTGTATTACACATTGTGTAATACCAAAACGCGTGCTCATGTACTCTCGGAAAACGTTTCGCGAACAAATATTGAAAGCTCTCAACATCCCTTGGCTTATTCAACGACATTTTGTGTGGAGTTGATAGATCACTGAGAGGAGCTTATGCACACTCGGTGACCCCAGCAACCTTGTTGCTAGGCTGACGTCACATGGCATTGTTTCGCCGATGGATCTTGCAACAAAATTCCACAAATTACGTCATCGGGTATTGTGACGTCATTGTAAACTTGGAGATGCAAGGCCCGTTCCACAAGGCGATCGTATTGTAGCGCAAGGACAGTCGTTAGTCTAAGTAAAGTATGTGAGATGCGATAGTCTTAGCCCTACGATAATTTTGTGAATTCTAAAGGTGGACCGTTGTATGGTATTAAATTCATACGTTTCAACTTTTGACGTGTTTGAAGTATTATTCTGTTAAACTCAATTGGACTATGCCGTGGATCGTGTGGGTGTCAGCCTTTTTAGTACTCAGCAGTATAATTAAAAAAACGTTATAAATGGCAAGTTATAAATAAAATACTAAACTCGCTCCCGTGTAAAACCAATTTTATGAAACTCGTGAATAGTTGTGGTATCTGACGAGCGAAAGCGAGTCAGATACCAGAACTATTCACTCGTTTCATAAAATTGGTAATACACGGGAGCTCGTTTAGTATTCTATATATGTGTCCCAGTGTCATATCACGTCACGAGACAACAGTGTATTGTTTCCGTCATCCGGACGGCATTGCTGACGTCATTCGAATCTTGTTGTGAAATGATGTCGAAATGACGTCACACTAGAAACGACGTCATAGCTGAAGATTGTTGACGTCATTCGACAAATAGAGGTTATGGCGTGATAACCTCTTTTTATTACTTGCCCGTGAAGAGATCACCCGTTTAATAAACATACAGCTTTATTACACATTGTGTAATACCAAAACGCGTGCTCATGTACTCTCGGAACACGTTTCACGAACAAATATTGAAAGCTCTCAACATCCCTTGGCGTATTCAACGACATTTTGTGTGGAGATGATAGATCACTGGGAGGAGCTTATGCACACTCGATGACCCCAGCAACCTTGTTGCTAGGCTGACGTCACATGGCATTGTTTCGCCGTTGGATCTTGCAACAAAATTCCACAAATTACGTAATCGGGTATTGTGACGTCATTGTAAACTTTGAGGTGCAAGGCCCCGTTCCACAAGGCGATCGTACTGTAGCGCAACGACAGTCGTTAGTCTAAGTTAAATTATGTGAGTTGTGATAGCCTTAGCACTACGATAATTTTGTGGGACGAACGCCTGAATTCTAAAGGTGGACCATTGTATGATATTAAATTCATACGTTTTAACTTTTGACGTGCTTGAAGTATTATTCTGTTAAACTCAATTGGATTATGCCTTGGATCGTGTAGGTGTCAGCCTATTTACACTCAACAGTATAATTCTAAAAACATTATAAATTACAAGTAATAAATAAAATACTAAACTCGCTCTCGTGTAAAACCAATTTTATGAAACTCGTGAATAGTTGTGGTATCTGACTCGCTTTCGCTCGTCAGATACCAGAACTATTCACTCGTTTCATAAAATTGGTATTACACGGGAGCTCGTTTAGTATTCTATATATCATAATTATAATGTCAATCCTCAATTCTGTGCTTGAAAATCGCTTTCCATCCCACAAACATTACCGAAGCATTGCAAGTTTACCTGGAATGTGCGCATTAATATATAGTACGTCAGCTTGTAAGTGATGTGCTGTTGATACTTGCTATACACTAAAGTTCGTCTCTGCATGTAGACATCTTCGTCGGTAATAAATAGTTAATCTCACCCGAGTGTCTTTTGATATCAAATATATGAGTGTTGAGTGTTGATATATTTGATATCAAAAGACACGAGGGTGTGATTTTATTTATCATCCAACGTCAACTTTTTAAGTTTGTTGACAGCTTCACAGTAGCAGAGCCATGAGTGATGTCATTTGATTGTGACGTCACAATGGTCTGCAAAGCATTGTGATGCAATTTCATTACAGCGTAGATATGGCTCGGGAAATACCGGGACTTAGACACTCGTGTCGCAAACAGTACGATATGAACACTCATATAATAGTCTCTATATATGACGTCATTCATTGTTCATGACGTCACAGATAATTGCCATTTAAAGGGTTCACTTTTCATACGTTTTTCATTCTTAAAGTATCAATGATTTGTTTGTTTGTTTGTTGTTTAACGCCGCACTCAGCAATATTCCAGCTATATGACGGCGGTTATAGTATCAATGAAAAGCTACGTAGATTAACCTACTCGAAACTCGGAATTGCGGAATTTATTACACCAGTTGGTATTACACATTGTTCCAAACCCCAAAGCGCGCGCTCATGTATTGCCGGAACTAGTTCACTAACAACTATTAAAAACTTTCAACATCGCTTTCACCCACTCGTACTACACGGGAGCTCGTTTAGTATTCTCAGAGACCATAAAATAAAATATTATTCTAGGTATTCTATATATCTGCCCTGAGTTAATGAATGGTGTATGTCCCGAGCCTGTGATATTTCCTTATTGGTTCGTTCGAGTGTTCTATAACGTATCACACAGGGTATACGGGAGTTTACGAGCCGAAATCTACCGATATTGTTACATCGGTTTTAGAAATGAACCATGTGCTCGGGAATGTAAGCCGTTGGGAGTTAGCTCCCTTCCCAAACATCTTGGCGATGTAAAAACTAGAAGCTCACATGATAGATCTATTTCGCAATATTTGTAAGCTTTGAAATGGCGCTTGAGGACATTTTTGCGAGAGGCATTCTCTTGAAATATCTACTGCCAGTTGTCATTGTCATAGTTGTCATTGCATTTTCCAGAAAGAAACTGCACCAACTTCGCATGCGACTAATCGCATGGATTGGAAATAGGTTTTTGAAGAAAATGCACAAAAAGATTCGAAATGAGAAAGCAAGTGTGTTTTCTGAATTGAAATCACAAGCAAGCAAAGCAAAACGTCCTTTGCAGCTTTTAGAAATCGGTTCAGGAAGTGGAATGAACTTCAAGAACTTTCCAAAAGGCTCAGAAATAATTTGCTTGGACCCAAATCCTTACAACAAAACTTACTTACAAGAGAATCTTCATCTTCGGAATCCGGATGTAAGCATCAAGAAGTTTGTGGTGGGATTCGCGGAAAGTATGCCTGAGGTAGAAGATAGCAGCTGTGATGCTGTTGTCTGTACCTTGGTGCTGTGCACTGTCAGGGATGTCAAGGCCGTTTTAGGAGAAGTCCTAAGAATATTAAAACCAGTAAGTACTGAACTGATGTATTCTGTACTATGTTTGTTACTATGTTTGTTTGTCATCAATATTTCAGCTATGTGATGGCAGTCTGTAAATAATCGAGTCTGGACCAGACAATCCAGTGATTGACATCATGAGCATCCATCTATGCAATTGGGATACGATAACATGCATAAACCAAGTTAGTGAGCCTGACCACCCAATCCCGTTTGTCGCCTCTTACGACAAGCATGGGTTCCTGAAGACCTATTCTACCCCAGATCTCGGTACTATGTGGTAAACATGATTTTACTGGACACCTATCTACCATATTCTACTTGATGTTTCTCATATAGGCACACAGCAGCATATTACGCCTACTATGTTAACAAATGTCAAAAAGGTTAAAGATATGCAGATAAAAATTACCCCGCTTGCATTTGAATGGTTGAATATGATTGAACCTGGAAAATAATTATCAAAGCAATTCAAAAACATTGAAAATTGGAAAAAGTACATCATGATGATTATAACACGTTAATGAAAACATTGCCATTCTAGTGTTCTATTCTTAAAGAGAGTTTTGGTATTTTCAGTATACAAACCTTCCCAAATAGGGCTCAAATGGCATGCATCTATGATTATGAATGTTTAATGCGTGGGATTATTGCAATATTTTTGTGTGACAAAGTTGCAACTGCAAATATTATATATTTTGCCAAGGTAGTGTACCAAAGTAGGCATATTATAAACGGCCATGTAGGTGTGTTCGTAGAAGTTGCAATACCCTAAACAATTCCAGAACTTATTCTATTTCCGGCATGAAAGATTGACCGAGAAGTTAACCCTGCAGTTCATAGATAATAAAGATAATGAACCAATTAACCCATACATCGATAAACGCAAACACTTCAAAACTCCACTCAGTGGAAGCAAACAATTATGTTTTCAAATTGGTATTTGCCATTTGCAATATACCGTGTTCTCTCAATTAAATCAAGGAAATACGGTCGTGCATTCAGGGATTTATGAAAACCTGTTCAGAGGCCGATATTCGGCCCCAAATCTGCAGGAAACATCTGTAAAAATTCCCAAATTGGAATTACAAATTTTATGATTAATGTTATATGGTAATAACTAATCTTATGGCTTTGTAGAGGTGACTTGTATTTCACTGACCAGTTTGAGCAAAACAACAATTTTTCCCCAAAGTGCTTGTCAAGGAGTCTTGAATAGATCCCTGGCATTGCATTCTCACGAAGGATCATCCGAAAGCGTTGAGTTTTCACCAGATTCACGACCCATTTACTGGAATACATTGCACATGGTTTATATGAATGCTTTAATAGCAAGATGTGTGTTTTTAGATCGCCAGGACAAGATTCAGCATGAGCTTTTATCATTACTTGATTCTGCTATCTCATTATCTGCTATCTGATTGGCCAGTTGCCATATTGTAAAAATCTCAACAAGACAGCTGACCGGCCTGTACCAATATCATGTTGTCATTAATATACATTACTAAACAAGTCCCCTTTAAACCATTTTTATTGCAGCAGGGTGCTTTTCCATCCTTTAACACTCAAAGAGGGACTACAGAGCTCCAGATAACTTTTTGAGCAATTGAGTTTTTACTCAAAGGTTTCTATTTTAATTGTGTTATTACATTTTTCATTGGGTTACCAATAATTTTTCACACTGGCTGTCAACAGTGGAGTCACGGACAGGTTGACCAATGGTTGATAGCATGAGAACCGATCACTGACATGCAATCATCCAAGTTACCAAGCCTGACCACCTAATGTAGGTAAGTCGCCACCTACAAAGATCCTGGTTGGAATAGGTCTTCAGCAACCCATGCTTGCCATAACAGCTGACTGTGCTTGTTGTGAGAGGTGACTTAAGGGATCAGGTGGCCAGGCTCACTGACTTGGTTGATGCATGTCATCGTATCCCAATAACGTAGATGTTGTTCATGATTTATCAATCACTGGATTGTCTGGTCCAAACTCGATTATTTCCAGACCGCCGTCATAGAGCTGACTAGAGTTTAGTTTCATCTTCACCAAGCAACAAAGTGGAGACGTTGTTTCCTGGGTCCACACAGGGCGTCCAGACTGAAAGTACAAGTTGCTTTGCGAAATGACACCACCTAACCACTGATCTATATTTGATTTCAGAATGGAATCTTCTACTTTGTTGAACATGTGGCAGCCAGGAAGGGCTTGTTCAAGAGGAAGCTGCAGAATTTGATCAACCCGCTGTGGAAGAAGATGGCGGACGGATGCAACGTGAACAGGGAGACGTGGAATGACATCCGTCAAGCTGGTTTCTCAAAAGTTGACCTCACAGATTTTGATGTAAACATGTTTAAAACTCACACTCCAGGTATCTATGGAAAGGCTGTCAAATAAAGTGGAAAATGAATACGTATGATATCTGTTATATCAGCTGGTTTACTGCCAACACTCAATGACAAGGCATCTTTAGTTTAGTTTTCAAATTTTGAATCTAGAACTTTGTCAAAATATTTTGCAAAGCATTTTCTGAAATGGAAATCATCTGTTTCAAACAAATGTCACAAAGCTCTATAAAACTGCTTTCTGATAGGCTAATGTTGACTTCTTGCTGGTCATTTCATTGGCCAGTCAAAGTTTATGAAAGGTTGTTCTTAGATTGTTAAGTCGCAATTGAAAATACTATAGCAGAAAAACTCAAAGAATTCAGTTTATTTCTAACACTGGTTTGAATATTTGTTCCACAGTAGATCATTGATGTGTTTCAGAAAAGTTTTTGCCAGGACATTTTTGTTATCAGAGTTTGAAATTACATTCAACGGGATCAGGTGGTCAGACACGCTGACTTGGTTGATGCATGTCATCGTATCCCAATTGCATGGATCGATGCTCATGATGTCAATCACTGTATTGTCTGGTCCAGACTCGATTATTTACAGACCGCTGTTATATAGCTTGGATATTGCTGAGTGTGGCGTTAAACAACAAACAAAGAAACATTCATGTGTGTCTTACAACATGTCCTGAGCCAGCTCCAGTTTTGTTACAAACATCACGTCTCCAGCATGAAGATCTCTCATGGGGGTCACAAATACCGTCCATATGGTCATTAGGTGCAGCCAATCCCAATTGACTTGTGTTGTGAAGATTCACCAAGGTTGTGAGATATATCGGGAACTGAAACATGACGATACTATAGACGATTATCTTCCCGAGGCAAGAGTGTCCACTAGCCTTTTTATCAAAGTCATGTTTTTCCACCCTTGCCACATCAAGCCCACTTTCCTGTGCTAGATATGATTGGACTATCACACATATCTAGTCCTTGTTGATCTAATATATATGATTTCAACCTATCGGGATTTGGGGTTTTGCAAACTTGGCTATTGAACGGTTTCCACTGTAAAACTGTTGGTTACTTTAGAAATTGAACCGAGCCTGTGTCCAGGCTAATTGGTGATTGATAGCAAGAGCCCATGATGTGATCAATCCTCATTAGTCGACGCTTACAACAAGCATATGGTGCAGGCACCATTGTCTCATCCTGAAGTGCAAAGAACCGAAGAAAAAAAAAACTTTCCAGGGGTAATTGTAACAAACTACCTCTATGGTTATAGACAACTCATCGAACTTTTTTCTTGAAGTTTTTGTCTCATTTGAATTATTTTACTGTTAACAGCTGTTGAATTTATGATTTTTTGCATCAAAATGTTGATAGAAGTTGATGAAATCCAATGAAGGACTCTTGTTGTGCGGAACAGTCATTTAGTAAAGATCAATGTTAATGGTGTGTTTAACCAAAGATGATGTATACTATAAGTTGCTGTTATGTGTGATATTGTACTTATTTTATGATGACATATTATATATATATATTTTATTTACAAATTTTCATGTTAATTATGCTAAAATTCAGGTCCATGTACCAAAAATGGTATCATGAAATAAAGAGGAAAACAAAAATGATAGCATCTGGTCTTTCCTGTTGTGTTCAGACTCTGTGTTCAGACTCAACGATATTTTAGTATTTGTGATTAAATGATCTGTCTTGTTTTTAAAAAAATCTTTAGTTTAAAAAAACCCTTTTCCCGTGAGGTCGAGTGATAACCAAATATGGGATAATAGTCTCGATCCAAATGTTACAACGCGTACACTTGAGCAGACTCATGAATATAACTCATGAATATTTATTAGACCGTTCACTACGTTAACAGACCGTTATTATAACAGAAACAAACGTATGTTTTCCATGTAAATCTAACATGATATTATTTGTTATTAATTGTCCGGTGAATTAAACAATTTAAATTGAAACAATTCATAATTCATCATATTATGAATACTTAAACTTGTAATGTGTGTGAAAAGTCGTACTCAAATACGCTATTTGAAGGGGGCGTGGCCTAAATGCAAATGTCCGATTGGGATTTTAAATTTTCCGGACCCCTGGTTCAGAGTGAGTGAGTTGGTTGTTGTTGGACTCTTCACACTGCTCAGCACTCAGTACCACATTGTGATACAGGACCTGTGAAGATGGGTCTTAAGCAACCCATGCTTGCTGTCAAAGGTGACTATGCTTATAGTAAGAGGCCACTAACAGGATCTGGTGGTCAGGTTCGTTGATTTGGTTGATGCATGTCATCATATCACAATTGCGTTGATCAATGCTCATGATGTCAATCACTGGATTGTCTGGTCCAGACTCATTAATTTACAGGCTGCCGTCATATAGCTGGAATATTGCTGAGTGCAGTGTTAAAAAAACTGTGATACAGCTCGAATATTGATGCCATTCACTCAATCCCACAACTGGCGAATCCTGACATGGCTCAGCATAGCCAATTCTTACAAGACAGAACATCAAGTGATGTCTAGTCAACCTAGTGATAGGACAATCTTGACATTTGCCCAGATTTTTGTGGACGCACACACTCTCGGGACCCTAGCACTTTCAGCATGCCTCTGTGTGGTGTAGAAGTATTGTGTGATATAAATGGTTGAAATATTAGTATTGTTTTAGGTCCCCAGCGACCTAGTGGGTGGCTGAAAAGTTCTGGACCTTATTAGATGGAGCTACCTGCTGGTTACTCATTATGTTTCAGCATTCCCTCCACAGACCACACATTCTCAGAAAACTTCCCCTGGTGTAAAACGTCCTCCAAAGCAGAAATGACTTAGTCATTTGCCTAATGGTTGCCAGACAGCAGCTAGTTGTGGGATTGAGTGAATGTCATCAATATTTCAGCTGTATCACAGTTTGTTTGCTGTTTGAAGCCACACTCGGCAATATTCCAGCTATATGACGGCGGCCTGAAAAACAATCAAGTCTGGACTAGACAATCCGGGGGTTGACATCATGAGAATCGATCCATTGGGACACGATGACATGCATCAACCAAGTCAGTGAGCGTTAAACAACACACAAACTAAACAGCAGATTATCCTAATATTGGCCATTGATGGTCTGACCTTTCCAGACTGACAGACAACCCAAGCCGTCACCTTGGCACCTGATAGAAGGGACTTTGTTTCTGAGGAGATATTATATGTTTCTTCTGTTTTGACTGTTGTTTAGTCTCTGGCTGATAGTGGTGAACCCAAGACTCATGGTTACAAACCGATCAAGAAAAGTACCTTGATCTGCTTCAATAAGAAACAAGATACAGTGATTACAGGAAACAATATAAGACATGTTCTTTACAGTTTTCATTCCGACAAAACTGGTGAAGAGAAAAAAATATAACAACTGAAATAATAAAATGTACATGGGAAGCTAAAACATATTTACAGTAGAATAGTTACAAAGATATTACAGGGGAGAATCATTTATCTTAATTACATGTAGACCATTTGCATATTGGACCTGACCAGTTCAGGAGAAAGCTGCAGAAATCTATATGATTAAAGTGGCCTCATAAAATATATATTACCGTATTCAACGTAATAAGCGCCCTGCTCTAATAAGCGCCCACGGCGATATTTGCTAATATATTGGCTAGTGAACAATCCCAATTAGCACCCCTTCCGATTGATCAATGTACACAAGACTTATTTATTCGTGAAAAATACGCACTCGTGTCTTATATGCACCCTTAATCATGGGCAATTAAATTCTGGAAAATACATATGTCGTGTATAATATGCACAGACTTTTCTTTTGTATCATTTTCAGGCTGTCAGCATAAACCACGAAATTTACGATCTTTCAACACTTTTTTTTCTCACCAAAATTATATTCTAATAAGAGCCCCCTAATTTTAATTTTGATAGCGCCCTGGGCGCTTATTACGTCGCATACGGTAATCTTGAATCATGTGCAGCCTGTGACCATAGCAAGTATTGTACTTAATACATGCAAACTGTTAAAGGTGTACTTTACACCCTTCGTTGATGGGGTCTGCACTTTTAGCCTCCACTCGTATGTAAGAGGCGACTAAATGGCTATGGTGGTAAGGCTTGGTTGATTCTCGTGATGTCAGTCACTGGATTATCTGATCCAGACAGCGTGAAACTAAGGTCCAAAACTGCCGTCGTTTTTGCCAGCGTGTACGAATACGATCTGCGACTGCGATTTTAAGCATCAAGTGTTATTATGTTAAAGTCACTGAACAGCGTCAATGTGATTGCGATTTGTGATGGTTTGCGATTTGCTCTGGGTTGTGATTTTATCAAACAAGAGGGCTTGTAAATCGCATCATATATCGCAGCAGTCAATCAAAATATACAAAAAAATGGTTTTCAAGACATGTGATTACAGTCATGTAACTTGAATAGTCCTTGCATTTTTTAAAGCAAATGTAAGGTGCAAAAATGGCAAACTTTATATAAACGCATACGCGTGTTGTTTTTTTCAATCGCAGACATGTATCGCGGAATAAAATAGTTCCTCAAAACCAGTGGTGACATGGGTTTATGTATGCTCAACATGCTCAACAGGGACAACTTTTGTAGTTTCTGTAAACAAATGTACTCAAATAATATCCTCATTAGATGAGAAAGGTCTGTTAAGAACTACCTCAGTAAGTCAGTCACAATAACAGCGCGTCCTAATATATTTACATCAAGTCCAAGACGTCAAAATGGCCGACGATAAATGTGACGGGCGAGATTTCCGAAGTTTTTAATGAACCAGTGGCTATTACAAGTGTTAGTCATCACTGGTTAATTGGACGATCACTGAAAGGTGATTGTTGAGATACTAGTATGTCAAATAGATACTAAGGAACATTCATATATTGCTGTAGACATCACTTTAAATAATCAGACAAGGTTCGAGTCGATACTACGATAGTTTAAATGTGCTTTTTTTTGTTTTGTTCTCTAAGATGGGTTGTAGCGAGGATGTCCTTGAACGGACATGACTTATCCCAATGTATGCTAAAACGCTAAGTTCTGATGAGAAACAACGCTTCTGTATTTATTCGTGCTTGGGAATTCCAAGGGGATCCCCTAAGAATGTGGAAGTAGTCCGTCAGTGTTGACGTCATTTCAAGAACACGGTCTCGTGAAAAACGTATGAACGTCAAATTGTGTCGTTCATACACTTATGCAGTCAAAGTGACCGACCTCTCGTCCAATGGAAAAGCCGTATATCGTGTAAACTTCAAATTAAAAAATATTCAGTGTTAACCAACATTAATGGCAGTGAGATTAGTGATATCATTTGATTGTGACGTCATAGTAACAATGACGTCACAATGGTCTGCAAAACATTGTGATGTAATTTCATTGCAGATACAATCGATATCTCCCGTGGATGCCAGTTTGGGATGATTAAAATCTGACATATATATATATGTCATCTTTGTCGTTACACTAGTACCTAACACTCACGCACTCACATATTAGCTTACGCTTACAAATATTGTGCACAACATTGTAATGGGAAAACTACATGATTTGTTAACATTTTCTCACAAACTTTATGTGTAATAGATAAAACAGCAACTCGTGATTATTAATATTAATTGAAATAAGGTTTACACTTATCATATGTCCTAAACGTTTGGTTGACAATACTTTTATTTTATCTTTTCCGACTATTTTTGAAAAGTGATGATTGTACAACATGTCCAAAGCCTCATATGAAAGCACAGGGATCTAAATATCCCCTACACCGACATCTTCATCGTCCGGTTTATACGTACTTCCGGTTATGGAGTCATGGCAATATGACAACAAACTGTCGTGATCAGGAATAGCAGACATGTAGTTTGTGACTCTGTCCCGCAAAGCTCAGCATACAGATTACAATGAAATACAGCTGATGTAAGATACTGACAGCGGATTGTTGTGTCAGTGGTAAGTAATAGGTTTCTGGGTCGCTGGTAGCTAGGCCTCTACTTGTACTCGACAAGAAACTCAACATCTAGTCCGAGTTATATAAGTTTGTTGTGGTATTTAAATTGCCTCACAACGAGGCCAAGGACGTCTACGTTTTGTTTACATATGACGCAAACCATTGCTTATTTGATGAATAAAAACGTAGATCCAACTATATATTTTACATTTATCATTCAACCTTCAGTATATTTTTTATGAATAGTAATATTTTCTATGAAAGTAAGACGAGAGTTAAAATGGAGTTGTTTGTTTTGCTGTCATTTGGCTGAGCATGTTCCTAGCAAAATATTACCAAAATAGTTTTACCCTACTATGCAGCATGTTCCCGAGGCAAGGGAGTTAACTGACTTTAAAAGTCTAGTTTCCACCCTTTTATTGTGAAAGCAAACATTCCAGCATAAGCCTTAGCCCAGTCTGATTGTGTCCACAGGAACACAGGAACAGCAATGGGGGTGGCATCCTCGTCCTTACAGTCCCTGCTTGTCAACCAGAGAGGCAGTGAGAAGTGTTACCCATGTGTGCCCTTCAGACCCTGTCCCCCTGGCGTCCACACTCTCACAGAACAAGGCCTGATGGTGTCCTTCAAGGCTCTACCTCCAGTTCTAGGTAGGTACAAACACACCACTATTTGTATGCAGCATGTAGTGTGGTCCGGGCCCCGTTCCTCAAAGTGATCTAAGCGCTACGACTGTCGGGAGTCTTTGTTTAAGTATGGGAGTTACGATCGTCTTAGCGCTAAGATAGCCTGATGGAACGGGACCCAGGTGTTGATGCTGGTGCAGATGGAAAACACCACCATGTCAGTGACAACTTGGGTTTAAATGATCCATAAATTAATATTCTTACCAAATCATCATTAATAAGATCAATATTTATATAGTATCAACTGTTCAGATAGTTCATTAATACATGAAACTTTATATAAATAACTTCTTTTATTCTTAAAAACTCCATAAAAAGTGTCATATATTCACGTTCTTCCAACTTCTAAAGCCTAGCAAAGACTTCAACAATTTCATTGATGATTAATTATTTGCAATATGAAACCAAGGAGAGTCATTTCTGAATTATTTGAAAGATCATTTTAGAAATTTTATGTTTTCTTATTGCATAATAATTCCATTATGTACAACAAAAACATGTTTGATTTCTTGTAGCCTGCATATTTGTTTCCCGACAATCCATAAACCAAACAAATAAAAACAAGTTGACTTCTCTCAATGTTGTCTACAATTCAGCAAGAGGCACCGAGACCGCTGATACCATCTGGTGGACCAGTGCCCAGTTCCTGCCCTACAGCGACCGCCACCTGGCCGTCACCACCACCCCCTACACATTCCGCGTCAACCGCCCCTGGCTGGTCGCCACGAAGATGCCGGCAGGAAAGATTTTCTTGTACGACATAGGCAGAAAACCCTTAGGTTTGTATGATGTCTTCATTGATTTTCATCAGGTGTTAAAACCTTATACCTAGCTATGCTAGATACCGTATTCAATGTAATAAGCACCCGGGGCGCTCTCAAAATTGGAAATATGGGAAATCTTATTAGAATATTATTTTGCGGTAAAAAACAGTTGAACGATAAAATTTGTTGTTTAGGCTGACAGCATGAAATGTTTATATACAACAGATATATTTTTCCAGAATTTAATTGCCCTTAATTAAGGGTGCATATAACACACGAGTGCGAATAAGTCTTGTGTACATTGATCATTTGGAAGGGTTGCTAATTGGGATTGTTCACTAGCCTATATATTAGCAAATATCGCCGTTGGCGTTATTATTACGTCGAATACGGTAACCATAATTTCTGTTCTGCTCCCTATAACTGATTTTGATGTTGACTTGTCACTACATGGAACTGCAGGCTGTTCCATAGTGCTTTGCTGATAGATTCCCGATTCGGAACATACCGCATGATGAACCCTGCCATAAATGAAACGTAATCCCACGAAAACTGCACACGATTCACTTCCTATTACATTTGTCTTCAAGTATGTGTACTTATATTTTCAATCATACAATATTCTCCGTACTTATCAGGGTTGGAATTATCGAGAGCATACAGATTTGTGGCTGCCATCGCTTTTTGCCCTTGGTAGATACAAATATCTTTACCGTCCCTATAAGTAAATATATTGTTCCATAATCTAAAATATAAGTACTTGTATTTGAAGGCAAGTATCTTAGGAAGTGAGTCATGTTCCATTGGTTGTTAGATCACAATTCATGCACTTTTCTGAAACATAAAGTATGAAAAAAATTTGGATCGAGGATCTATTTGGAAAACACTGTGGGCGACAGAGAGCTCTGTTTAGCGATAAACTGATGTCAAAATTATTTACGGGGAGCTGCACAGATTTACGGTTACCGCTGCTACCTCATGCCCACATACAATATTTACAAGTCAGTTAAAACAATTCTTCACTGTTATTTGATTGTTAACCAGTGATCTGTGCATTCAGTATAATCATAAAATCCTTTCATTTTGTGGAGATTGAGTGATATATGTGCCCTATTCCCAACATTATTGTTAATCCAAATGATTGTTTGATTTTGCTCCATTCAGTAAAATGTTTACATTCAAGTTTAGATTTTAACCTGACCTTAGATTATTTGAATGTTTCAGGCTGTGTACACTTCAAGGGAATATCCAGCACTACACAGCCAACAATTCAACCTCACCCACTCGGAGAGTATATTGCATACATTCCAAGCTCTGCAGGGGTCAAGGTCATTGGTTTCAACAATGAACATGTATATGAACAACCTGCATCTTTTGTTGGAGGGAGCTGTAAATATTTTGCCATTGCACCTAATGGGATTAATCTTGCAACTATTTTCCGAGGTCAAAACTTTTATTTCATCCAATTAAATCTTTTCAACAATTTCGGAGTAAGCCGACCAGAAGACCTGAAGTGCCACCTGCTTTGCCCGGGCTTTGTTGGCGACCGACTTTTCAATGACAAGGTGGAGTGTAGATGGTCCGCAGACAGCCGATTCCTCGCTGTGGGTTCATATTGTTCTGGTTCAGGAAAACTGTTTGTTCTGGATAAGAACAGTCTAAAGAACATCTGTACTGTGTATCCCGATCTACTGGAACATTCGATCAGTTCCGCATCCAGCTTTGAATTTGATCCTCGACCCAATTACTGGAGGCTTGCTGTGGCAACTACCAATGAATGTATCCATATTGTTGATGTAAATAAGTGTGAAATTTTACAAACGATTAATGAAGGTAGTGCTCGAATGCCAATAAACTGTATTCAGTACAATAATCAAGGGACAATGCTTGCAGTTGGGTACGAGACTGTCGAGATCAAGATCTTTGATCCGGATACAGAGGAACTGCTGCATGTGATCGATGTAAAGGATGGGGATGAGAAGCTACAAGCTAATGTGCCGTGTCACACAAGCCTGGCGATCATGAGGTTGAGTTTTAACTGGAGCGGGACTCTGTTGGCGTCGAGCGTCTGTGACGGCATGGTTCGCGTGTGGACTGTGCCAGGCATGTTCAGTCTACAGCGGTTCTGCAAACTTCAGATTCTCAGTTTGGTGCCAGTCAGGAAAGTTAAAACACTGAAACTACCCGAAAAAATCAAACACTTTTTGTTGTCACCCTAAAATATCTGCTTGTTTCTTCACCACTTACCAGTGTTTGTGACAGATATGATGTGGATGTAAGGTCTGTTAACCCTTAAGGCCAAGTATGTGTCAAAATACATAACTGTGATCATTGCGAGGTTACAGTTACCTGCTCTTCGAGGTTCAACCTCATCATCCTTTATTATCATCATTCAAGTATCTAGTGCAATGTTGGGCATTGCCAGCACCTGACCACAGAGACAAAAGCTTTTGTAGTACTGTCAGGAACTTTATTCAAACGGTTTATGTTCTACCAATCGTGCAAGTTTTTCAGAGTCCATTGGAGGATGAAAATCAAATAGGACACAACCACATTTTTTGTTTTTCAAATTGTCTTTGTAAGGATTTCAGAGGAAAAAAATTGAAAATGAAACATGTCAGAGTCAATTTTACGTATTTCTAAATTAATAAATATAAACATATATGTGAGGTTTGACTGACTGGTACGTCAGTTTGTCAGCTAATGTATTGCTATGGTTATGAAACCTGACTTCATAAAATAGGTCATCATGTACTTGGATTTGATCTGTCACAAAACCGTGATTTCACCATATTTTCGTGTATTTAAAGGGCAAGTAAAGTCAACATAAAATACTTTGCAGACTTTAATACTTTAGGGCATAGTTCATTACAAACGCTTGACCAAAAATACATTTGAAAAATCGAAATAGCGTAAAACAGACAATAAAAAAAACGACAGGATAAATCGTCCCCCTAACAAAAAATTCATCCATTGCAGGGACCCTGCAGGGTTAAAACGGGTTCCTGGTTTTTGAGGCGCTGTGCAATTTCAAAGATCATGACGATCAGGCTGACGCACAGTCTGCCTGCTTCTGCCTCGGGTTTTGTGATACACAACATCTTTTGTCTGCTCATCCATTTGATTACCGTGTCCTCAACTTATGCCACCTTAGTAACAACACTAAAGATGCCTTATGTTGTTTACACCAAGGATTAATTCCTGACAGGCATTTGTTGTGTGGGATAGCTGGTGTTTAATTACCCAAACAGGCAAGCATTATTCACAATGTCAAGATCAAGGGTCATTTAACACATTCAACAATGTATGTAATGTTGTTATTTTGTGAGGATTAACAGAAATAGCAGGAACAGTATATCTATATTGGCTAAGAATCACAAGATAGACAAACGCACCCAACATATCAGCCAATAGAAACAGCTGCGACATTTGCTTACGGCCACGCCCCTAAATAGGTTCTTTTTTTGGAAACTGATTACGGAGCGTGTGATTTCAGCACTTTCACTTGGACATTTAAATACTTTCTACAAATATCATGAATTTCTCTCTCTGGGAAATGACTTAATGTACCTAGGAACACTGATATTCAAACTAAATCTCCATCATTTCTTTCACTTTACTTGCCCTTCAAGTCATAAATACATGAAGATGTCCATCAAAAATCAAAACAGGAACTGACCATTTTGCCTTTATATACATCTGTGACAAGTACAGAAAACTATGTATTCTGACATCTATTTGGTGCAAAACCGAGGGTTAATCCATAATTGTTTCCTTTATTGACAGGCTAGATTACAGACAATCTGAGGGATTAATGTCAGCCATGGGACTCTGTCTAATCTGACATGTTCCAATGGTGCTGAGCTGTGTCGTATTACACACAGTCTACTGTAGTTAAAACATCTCAAATATCACTTCTTTGCCGACACTGGTTATTTGCATGCAGCTATTTCCTGTATTACAACTCACTAACAAGGGATCACTTTTGTTTGTTGTTTAATGCTGCATTCAGTAAGTTTACCATAAATACCACACTCACACTCCGAGTCCTTGTTTTAGCCCCTTAATGCCAAGCGCCTGGCAGGGAAACAACAAGCACCAGAGATTGAAATCATTGGATACGACATGCATCAACCAAGTCAGCAAGCCTGATAACCATTCCGTTAGTCGCCTTTACAGCAAACAAGGGTTTGCTTAAGACCTTTTCCAACCCGCAACTTCATGGGTGCTCAGCTGTCAGCTGGCTGATTGTCTCACCGTGTTAGGTTTCGGATGCAAAAGAGACATTCGCAGTTTTCTCGGTAATCACGAGAACAACTATAAAACATCTCACTCTGTAAAACAAGCCATCATCTGAATATCAGTGTCTGTATGTCGCCACACTAGTAGTCAGCGATAAACATGGCCGTCCGAAAACGTATGATGTCCGAAAAAATATGATCCATACTGTAATTGTTTCTATGGTGCTCACGCTACCTACCACTGCTACCCTGCTCCTGCCTTGACATGACTCAATATTGGTGACACACGGCCCACACGAGCTTTCAAACCCTTTTAAGTTCAGGGTTTGAGAACCAGAGTTCAGGAGGCGTGGGCAAGTCTTTTCCAAATAGATTTCTATTGTTACCAAACCGGCGTGACGAGCGAACACTTTGCCACTAGATCTAGCTAGACCCACCGCCCTCTCAGAAAGGAAATTCTTTACCTCGGGTAGATTTATGTACAGCATACGACAGAGACCGCTGTGAAGGAGCTTGTTCGGTAAAGTTCAAAGGGAGACAACTCAACCAATGGCTTCATGCACTCGCCTGTTTTGCAGTTAGTGGAATATATGCTGCGTGGACACGGATAAGGTTTCATGGGCCACGCACTGACGATTTCAGTTTCATTCGGGTCCACCCCACCCGGATTATTCCGCTACCAACATACCACATCGATACGACACATTGGATTTGAAAAGCCTTGCCGTTGATGGTCAAAGGGAAGGAACTGTAAATCCTGTTTACTATTTGCTGAACAGATTTAACTCCCTTGAATGCAAGGGACATAACTCTTGATTGTTGTAAGCGGTTAGCTCCCTTAGATTGACGGCAGTGTGTGAAGTTTTAAAGCAGACACTGTGCGGAGTTAAGACAAGGGAGTCAACTCTTGTAAACCACGATTATTTCCCTTTGACCATAAACAAACCACTACCTATTAATTAACACGTGGTCCTTTGCAATGTTTCTTTCTGTGCCAAGTCAATTTTTAAAAGAAAAAGATTCGCTTAGAGGAGGAAGAATGTTCAAACGCGCACGTTGTGTTTTAATTCAACTACCTGAACTAGCATATCAGAGTTTCCAATCAGATTTAGTTTTGAAGTTCAGGGCTTGAGAGCCAGGTTCCAGGGACCGCCGGTCGAAGGTGGAAACCCGTGTTAGGTTCACGGTTGCGAACCCCTTCAGAAGCTAGTAGTTTTCCACCTCACAAGAACTAACTATATCTAGACATGCAGAACGGAAAATCAACCTCGTAAACTCTGGCACTTTATTTGACGGTTTATCAAGATTTATCTTATAGGTAATAGGCCCACGTTACGTTTAAAACTAACCTAAGCCTACTTGACGTGATACACTATAGGGACCTTGGATTTGTGGCACACGATGTAGTAGAGACTATAGTCAAAATAGGCACACGTCAAAATGGTCACAATTAACAGAAGTCAAGATGGCCACACATATTTCTTTGTCTTAGGCTCTTCATCGTGTTCTGTAGATAGTTTTATATATCTATTTATATTTTGCTGGGCAAAAGAAAGTATACACTTGAAAATTGAAAAACAGAACAGTCACCGTCATCAGCATCGAATAACAATTTCTCGTTTGTTGGATTATAAGCTCCTGTCAAACAATATACTTTATTTTCATTTTTATACTTTATGTTAACTTAATGTTAGACATAAACCGAAAACCAAACTCAGAAAACTCATTCAAAATCAATATTTGAAACTTGATACACTGTCATCTGTCGTCGAGCAAGAAGATATAGCTGATCTGATCTGCTGATTAGCAGTTCGACTCGCTGGTGACAAGATGGAGATACCCATCCCTCCTTGTTACTGTACGTGCCGCTTGTCCGATGAATACATTGCTTACAGGAGTCACCTCAAGAGCATGCTGATTCTTAAGAACAGGTTCGCTACACATTACATAATTAGCAGGGTTGGATTAATGAAATAAATAGAGCAAATTCCATTGGATTAAATAAATATATAAATAAAAAAATAAAATAAATAAAAAGAACACTTAAATAGGAACTATACCCAAACATTATTTATGTTTATTATTTATATTTTTTCATGTCGCCATTGTGACTTGTTTTGTGCCTGCGACAATCATTCTAATGCCGCCTTGCATATAACTGAGTAATGTATATTTTTCATACATCACCATTCTTTAAATCTACATTAATTGCGCTCTTTTCCGGGCGTTCAATTTTCAAGAACGTCCATTGAATGCCTTAAGGAAACTATTGGCAATTAAGCCTATATAGAAACAGAGACAGTCTATTTTATGGTCTCTGATAGTATCTTAGTCTTGTAAAAAAATAGTTTATAGACGTTTTATTTGATCTGAGAGGGTCATGTAAAAAAGTGGTCATTACAATTGATTAAATATGAAAACATATATTCGTGTTATTGTCATGATCACAAACCATTTTGACAAGTGTGCGTCTACGTGGATAGTCGTGTTATAAAGACAAAGCACAAGGTAGCACAAGCAAATACATTTGAAGGAAGATCTTAATTGTCATGGAAGAAATATGTCGGCACCAAGCTCCCTTAGCCCGACAGAAGAATGCAATTTCTACATTTTGATTAGACAAGGTGACAAGGTTCCAAACACATTTCTCAGAAAAATCACGTTTACGCTTAAATGTTGGAATGGACCTTACAAATTATTATTTTTCTGGACTCGTCCGGTGAATTTAGCTCAGGTAAGACTCCAAATAATGTATTTTGTAAAAGCATTCAATGTAATGATGATGTCTGTTTCTCCTGTATTGCATAATATTCGCAATTACGTCTAACGTATACAATCAAAACTATCACGCCAAAGCATCGCAGCAAGAGGTCGTAACCTTATTTCGTTTTCATTAATAATTTCGCCATTTACATCACATGAGGAAATGTCTTAATAAACTGGCAACACTATTGGAAAGCGCACCGACCCCATTCATTTTCAGTAGACAGGAACCCAGTCCATATTATTGTTTACTTCGTGATCACACGTGGACGAAATGCAGCCTGCAGATCGACTGTTTTACTCTATCCCTAAGTCTGACCGAGAGTCTGGCGATGTGACCGGAGGGTTTGGCAGTTCCCTTAACAGTGCTAAACTTTTGGAAACAGTCAGAAACAGTGTGATCGGGAGGAACAAAGTATTTAGCGGTCCGTTTGGCCTACGTGAAGGTAAGTTCGTGACACCAAGCTTGAGGAGGTGGTTTACTGTTCGTCACATTGATCATCTCCGATGCAAATGTTCATAGAATTTGTCCATCCATTTTCGATTGTGTCAAATTAAAGGATTGGTTTGGGTCATTGTCAACCGAATAAAACAAGTGTGAACAGGTGAATCATTCATAAGCTAAATGTTGCATCAGTCATTATAATTAATTATGCCTCTAATACAGCTGATTTATCAAGCTCCTCACAGCGATAGTCCGTTCGCGGAGAGTGTAACGAAGGTGTCACGCCCTGGGAAGGAGGGAATGTATTAGAACTTATGGCAGAAACAAACCCGTAACAAAACGGATCCAAGCGAAAATGACACACCATTAGTGGAAATGCCACTTCGATATATAACTAACGCGAGACAAACGATTTACTGATTAAAACGCACAGATATCCATATGTGATTCTTCAGTGGTTTTGTTGGAGACAGCCGCCAAAAGGACATTTTCAGTATTTTGTCAACTTCTTCCATATCATTATCAAATTGGAAAAAAAATATCATTATCATATTTTGGATAACAATCGTCCGGTGTCCTAGAAAATCAGCTGATCTGAAACTGTGCAACTTCACACACACTTCACAATTAAACCTGTCATGATGGCGGGGATTTGGCTACAATGAATGAATTATAACATTTTAGTCCAATTTTGAAAAAAAATAAGAGGCGGGATGCATCTTTTGTGTCATTTCTTGAAACAACTGTTCAAACGTTGTATGTTATAAGTAAAGAAAGAAACACACATAGCAGTAATCACTATAGGTACATGGGGAGCAGTAATCACTATAGGTACATGGGGAGCAGTAATCACTATAGGTACATGGGGAGCAGTAATCACTATAGGTACATGGGGAGCAGTAATCACTATAGGTACATGGGGAGCAGTAATCACTATAGGTACATGGGGAGCAGTAATCACTATAGGTACATGGGGAGCAGTAATCACTATAGGTACATGGGGAACAGTAATCACTATAGGTACATGGGGAGCAGTAATCACTATAGGTACATGGGGAGCAGTAATCACTATAGGTACATGGGGAGCAGTAATCACTATAGGTACATGGGGAGCAGTAATCACTATAGGTACATGGGGACAGTCAAGAGATGTAACGGGGGATGGTGTTTGGTAGTGAGGCAATTTGTTGAAAGTCTAGTATATTTTCTTGGTGGCTTTGTCTGAAGTACTCACACTGACCAATGAAGGTATGCTGAAACCACAGTTAGATAAGCATGCACTTTAACCATTAATTTAAACTACCTAACCTCAGTTTACAGGCTGTATATCTGGAATATTGATGACTGCATCAAGCAAAAGACAGGATGTTGCACGTTGTAGAAACAGAAAGGATGGTTACCCACTGGGGACCCTCTATCACCAGTGGTTTCAGTGACGAATGTTAGTCACTGTGTGGGAACAGTCCATGTCCAACATTTTAATGTCTGTAGGCTGCAAAGTGTGCATTTTTCTTTTCAGTCACCTATCTGGACTACATCGCATCAGGGAGGTACGTATAAAAAACTGCAAATCTTCAGCCCTGTGGCGGTTCCTGGTTATTGTGTGAGAGCCCAGATGGTGTGGGACGTTGCACATTATATCAACCGCTGGTTTGTCTGGTCCATGATTATTTACAGGCCTGTGTCATATAACTGAAATATTGCAGAACCAATAAAACTATCAAATTTAATCATCAACAAGGTTTAAAAAGTTGATGTTGATGCAAGGTAGGAGCGATACGAGCATCATGTTCAGATACTAGACAGGAAGTTTGGTACCTATCAATGTTACAGATCTGGTATAGAATTTCAGATCAAATTTGTGGGTTTGACACCTGAAATGGGCCATCTTCAAATTAAAATAAAACATAAGATATTGTTAAAAACTCAGTGTTTTTGAACTCACCAGAGCTCTTGCAGTCAGAAAAAAGAAAGAACTGTGTGAAGCTGAATCACCAACTTGGCATGTGTCTTGTTCCAGAGCTTTGTCTTTCATAGAGGACTACATCAGGAGTGAGGTTCTCCCGGAGTACGGCAACACACACACTACCACCAGCGTCACGTCACTCCAGACTACCCTCTACAGGCATGAGGCCAGGTGAGGCAGGCACGGGTTCTCATACATTCACTGGAGTCTGTCTAGATTTTCCTTAGGTTGAATCGCCATCTCATTGGCACTCCTTTTCTCTTTAAAAGGAGCTGTTTGTTTCAGTAAAAACTTTATATTTTCAGAGACTAAGTGATAGTCTAATATTCACCCATGAAGCTGTGTATACGACTAGGAGAAAGGAGGTGAAATATAGTTACATTTCGAACGTCATGTGTTTCAGGCTACCTTGCCCATCACTGCAGCTGTCTCATGTAAATATCTTCTCAGAAACTACAGGACTAATGTTGCTAAATTTTATGTGCTTGTTCCACCAATGATGACACCTAACTGTTACAGTAGGCTCTGCCATATTGAAAAACAGTAGATGACAGTGACTGGGCGATCTTTTTTCAAATGTTAAAATTTGTTCTTTGAGTAGTTGGTTTACAGTGAAGTGTATATGTTTCGTTTTCGAATTATTGTAAATATTGACCAGATATACCTTTGGACTTGACCTTTCCTTTAGATTCTTTCATGATGCATTCTTGCATCTCCGGATGCAACTGGAGCTGAAATTTTGGATGCATGTTTCTTCTGATGTTGAGACAATATTTTGTTCATTTATTAATACATTGATATTGGGATATTCAATGACGTCCCTATCTTACTCTTTCAGGGACATCATCCGTAATGCTGTTCATGCGAGTGAACATGACTCTGTGATATTTGTCGGCAGTGGTTGTACCGGGGCTGTGCATAAACTCATCCATGCACTGAACCTCCAGAAACCTCCTGTGAGTTTACTTGTGATCCCGAGGTCAGCCTTGCTGCCTGCTGTTTATGATAGGGACATGAACTGGAGCCCGCCCCCGTGGCCTAGTGGGTGTCATGAAATTATATTATTGTTTACATGCTCATATAACATGCACACTTATAATAAGATATCGATACAAGCCAGTGTCGTCTCGAATCTTATCTCAAACAGTTGTAGAGCGTCTGCCCGGGGAGCAGAAGGTCGGGTATTCGATATCCGGCTGCATCACACCAAAAGACGTTAAAAGATGGTACTTGTTGTTACCCTGCCTGGTGCTTGTCATTAGGCAGATAAAACAAGGACTGGTCGGCTTGGAGTCAATATACTGTTTCTGAGTGGGGTTTTCATGTTAGACTGTGGCATGGTTTCTCAGTGGGCTAGCACTATAAAAACAGTGTTAGTCCGGACAAGTACAAGCAGCCACATACACACATGCACATGCATGCACATTCTATGTAAGTGCAATAATCAGAAGAAACTTTTAATATTTAGCACTTTTAGAATTTTGTATTGTTTATGTTTCCATGACAACAAGTTGGATTTAAGTTTTAATATAGGGTGGGTTCACTTATGGAGTATAACAAATATACTGTTAAATATTTCCTTGCCAAACATTGCATGGATATATATAAAGCACATACTGAACTGGTGCCATTTGATATTAAGGAGTTTTAGAAATGTTTATTTTAGAATTTCCATTGCAGCTATTTTGACATGGGCTAAGAGAAATGTTGGGTCAATTGCCTGGTTTGCGACCATAACATGTTAAAATGGGCAGGGGATATAGATGACTTCGTCAACTATATGCTTGTTGGATATTTGATCAGTGTTAAATACGAAAATAATTCAGTTAACAGGGAAATTTATGTGTTTCTCAAGTTTCTGTACTTTGAAATATCTCTAACTTTACTATTGGCTATCATTGTCAATATTGACGATGCTGGTGCCGATACCTGACTGACGAGATGTACCTGTCCTCCAGGTGGTGTTTGTGGGCCCCTACGAGCATCACTCCATCCTCCTGCCCTGGAAGGAGACCGGCGCCGAGGTAAGGCCATACCTTCAAGTCTCTTAACAGTTTGTTACAGGTGCATTTGAGCAATTGTTTGAATTTTTTGTTTATGCTTGTGTCTTTATTCTTAAACTATTTTAATTAGTAATTCTGAGTGTAGATTCATTTAGTATTCTGGTCAATAAGACCAGTGCTACCAAAAAATCACTCATCCTACTGAAAATTTGCAGAACCACAATAACTTCATTAAATAAATTTACACTGCAAGTTTGAAGTCCAATTTCATAGACATTTTTTTGTTTTCCTCTGTCCAGTGGGATTACTTCAGCCTCCGATAACTGGTCCTGATATGGAAGCATAGTTGTTGAACCCTATAAGGGAAGTTCATATTGAAAGTTGTTCACCAAGCAGTACCACTGTAGTTTCCACGCATGTCTGTACTATGCCTTGTGTTTCCCGACAGGTTGTGAGAATAAAACTGACAGGTTCGGGACTGGTTGACTGCAGGCATCTGGAGAACCAGCTCAAGGTAACGTGCCATTGGAACGTGCTCACATTGTCACGGCATCATTCCCCTGATTCAGACCTCCAGATTAGCTGCTTAATTGTGGAAAAAATTAAAATAAAACAACATCACCCAATTTATTTTGATTAGCTTGCGGTCAAATACGCATGAATACTTTCTAAAGCCCAATCTAATAACATTCTGGGTAATTTCCAAATGTATCCCTTTCAACTAGTTTCAACTTCTTAAAAAATCTTAATTTACTGATACATGTATAATGCGTGTTTGTTTGTTGTGTTAACACCACACTCAGCAGTATTCCAGATATATATGATGGCAGTCTGTAAGTTATCAAGTCTGGACCAAACAATCCAGTGATTGACATCGTTAGCTACGCTCAATGCAATTGGGATGCGATGACATGCATCAACCAAGTCAACGAGTCTGACCACCCGATCCTGTTAGTCTCCTCTTGTGACAAGCATAGTCGCCTTTTACAGCAAACATTGGTTCCTGAAGACCTATTCTACCCTGGATCTCAGTACTATGTGGTAGACATGATTTTTAATGGACGCCTATCTGCCATATTTTATTTGATACTTCTCATATAGGTACACACGACATCATTAGGCCTACTAATTGAACAAATGTAGAAAAGGTTCAAATACGCAGATAAAAATTACTCCGCTTGCATTTGAATGGTTGAAAATGATTGAACCTAGAAAATAATTATCAAAGCAATTCAAAAACATTGAAAATTGGAAAAAATTCACGGAAATACTGGGATGGCATGCGGCAAACTCATCAGTGAAATCAATTGAGGACATATTTTTACAGACATATTTTTCATTTACTTTGGTAACTCAAGACGTGTGAGAGGCAAGCTCTGAGCCTGACCACCCAATCCTGTTAGTTGCCTCTTACGACAAGCATAGTTGTCTTTTATGGCAAGCATAGGTTGCTTAAGACCTATTCTACCCCGGATCTTCACAGGTCCATACAATGCACCTACACAATGTCATACACATGTATACATGAACAGTTAATTATGCATTATGCGTGCTCGCTGATTGTTAATGAGACCTGTTTACTAGTATCAGGGTTGTGAGATGTGCGACATGTCACACACTTGGGGCAGCACACACACAAATACCAATTAGGAGTCATCTGAAACTGTATTTTAAGTAGAATAATTTAAAAGTGATTGATTATTGTTCAGTCATTGATGTAGGTATACCCAATTGACTGGACCCAAGGGAGTAAAACAATATTGCATATCCCAAGAAAACTCTCACTACCCAATGTGAAGGATAGCATGTACTTGACACGTAGTGTCTGAGAAAAGTTAGCTTGGCGCCAAGTGAAGATCTGGGTTAGAATTGGTCTAACAGGGTTGGGTGGGCAGTCTCGCTGATATTGTTGATGTATATTATTGTATCCCAAATGCATCGATCGATGCTCGTGATGTAAATCACCGCTTGAGATTCTGGTCCAGATTTACAGATGGCCGTCATATTGCAGAGTGCAGCGTTAAACAACAAACAAGGCATGAACATGAAAAGTATCTTCTGACAAGGGTGGTTTGGGTAGGGACATGAGTATGATGGTTATGACAGTGCATAGTATTGTGCAGACAATGATTTAAAACCCTATTTCCTTTCAGTGTCATGGGAAGGAAAACATTGTTGTTGAAATAATTAAATAGAAATTGTGCCTTGACTTTCCCTTTATCATGTTGTGTAAAGAGCCTGTCACACACTACCGATGTACCTCGCCGGGACTGAACCGAAGCAAAAAATTAACAACAGCTAGAAAATCAGTGGAGCTCCGGTGAGAAAGCACTTGAAATATAAAAATTGAGCGTAGCAATACCGATGTAGTACCGGTGTTCCCGTTGTGTTACTGTTGTCCTACCGATGTAAGAGCCGATGTGCTACCGAATACCACTCTCTGCCACTTTTCTATACTGATGTACTACCGTTGACCGGAGCGATAGCGAAGTGATACCGTTGCGCTGCCGATGTGACGATGAAGCTCTGGTATCACATCGGCGGTGCATCGGTACTACGTTGGTGGTATTCGGTAGTACTCTGGTGTCACATCGGTACCAGTACGGTACACATTGGGCCACTGGAGAGTCGCCGATCCATTACGGTGCTCTACCGACATTAATGAAGTCATACCGGAGTATTGCCATTGTACTACCGTTGTAGTCCCGTTGCTTGCTCCGGCATGCAAAAAAATGTCTACTGTCGCCTGCTGTTGCTAAATTTTTCGCTGATGTCCTGACGATGCACTATTGTTCTTAGCGATGTGTTACTGTTGCGCTGCTGTATTAGTACCAATCCCCGAAAATCGCCAAATTTGTGCTCCGGTATAGCTCCGTCGACCCAAATCGGCAAGGTGTGACAGGCCCTTGAGGGAATCAATAAAAAATTACTCATATTAGGCGTGTGATATTTCTGTCTGAAATTCTGTATTTTCTATCTCTGTGATCTCCCACTCCAGGGCCATGGACGTCTTTGTGTATTTAGTCAGCCGTCAATCGCAGGCCTGACAGTTTGTTAATGCCTTATCCTGATTCAACTACAGAAATGGAAGAGCAAAGGGAGACAACTCATTGGCTGTTTCTCCGCAGCATCCAACATCACAGGCATCTTGACGGATGTCAACCGAATCACCATCTGCCTACACAAGCACGGAGCGCTTGCATTCTGGGACTACGCCACGGCGGCACCGTACGTCCGGATAGACATGAACCCAATAGTTCCAGGGTCAGTAGACTGTTCAGTTTTCTGCTGTATTTTATAAACTGGAGGCAGCTGTGCTCATTTGGGTGGGTTGAATATGTATGAGTGGCTGTATCAGTGACTCCCTGAAGTGTTTAGCTATTGGCAGTTGCCAAGTGTCGTATGAATTCTAGCCAGACAAATTGTTTTGGTATGTCTGGTGTCACCTTCACATATCTTATTGATGATTAGACCGCCTCAGTGTTTTAGTGGTAGAGCATCTGCCCAGAGAGCGGAAGGTCTGGGGTTTGATCCTTGGCTGCGTCATACCAAAAGACGTTAAAAGATGGTACTTGTTGTTACCCTGCCTGGTGCTTGGCATTAAGGGGCTAAAACAAGGACTGGTCAGCTCGTAGTCAGTAAACTGTGTCTGAGTGGGGTATTCATGTTAAACTGCGGCATGGTATCTCAGTACACTAGCACTATAAATAATCATCAGTCCGGACTAGTACAATCAGCCACACACACACGTGCATGCACATCGCTATACAAGTGCATCTTAGATGGAACGTTAAACCCCATTTCACCTCACCTTATTGACGATTATCCTGATTTGTTATGTGATCTGACTAAAATGAGGATGCCATGGTCACAGTGTGACTGAACTGATTGCTGCCATTGTTGATCTTTGCCAGTGTCCAATATAGCTGCCTGAATGCTGTCCCGTGGCTAGTAACATTTCTGTCAGGATAGGTAAAATTTATTCCTGAAGAAAATGAATTTTTAAACTGATAATGACAGTTTAAATCAGACATTGATATAGGACTCAACTTAACTGAGAGCAAGAGCTACCTTTGTCATAAACCTGTAAATGTTAAAGGTACATGGTGAAGTAAATCCGAAAAAAGTGATATCAACTCTTGTATGAATTTACAAATGTGGCCTTGTTTGTTAGTCACAAGCCTGTCTGGGTTGTTGGGAGTGAAAACTATACCACACACTGATCGGTGCATCAACCACTGGTTTGTTGGTGCCAGACTTGATTGTTTACAGGCTGTTGCGATATTGGTGGAATATTGCTGACTGGTATAAAACAAGAGACATGAAGAGACATATGTATCCCTGTAGACTCAGTCGTTAGTCACCTTATCATGCTTATGTTTAGATTTCTGTCTTTATGCATTTTCAATGCAGGAGTGACCAGCCTTACGTGTACAAGGATGCAGTGTTTATTTCCCCCCACAAGTTTGTAGGAGGGGCTGCCACACCTGGTGAGAAGAGAGATGGACATTTATTTGTTATAGTGATTGAAACATAGAATTTTTGAAATTTTGTTATGAAACATAGAATTTTTAAAATTTGGTTATGAAACATAGAATTTTTGAAATTTGGTTATGAAACATAGAATTTATGAAATTTATGTTTTGTTCAGTCTTTGTCTGCTGTAGCAGATTTTGGTTGTTGGTTGTGTACTTGGTTGATAATCTCTCATGTTTATGATTGATAAGACAGCGTTAATGGTGCAAGAGCTTAGATCAGATGTGAATTTGCGTCAAATACAAAGAATATATCACCATAACCCAATTAATTTTGAGTTGCGTATAAATTCAAATGAAAAAGTTAAAAACAATTAATAATGTAGAATGTCTTTATGGATCTGTATATATATTTATTGAATGTAGGCATCACACATACATGAACACTGCTGCAGCGAATAAAGGAAAAAGTGTAGCGTCCCGCTTAATTGTAACTTAGACATGTATCACTGTTGTACACTTGATTTCACCTGAAACAGCGTTCCGTAAAAGTTCACTCATTGGTTTAAAAATACCCAATAGACTGAACCCAATGAATTTATAATATATTCCATACCCAGGAAAAATTGATACAAAATATAATTACCCAAAGTGAATGATAACATGTGAGTGAATACTATATACTTTATGGCTAACAGAATTAACTGGACCTCTCTGTGTTGTGTTGTGTAGGTGTGCTGATCGCCAAGAAAAGCTTGTTCCAGAGTGTGGCCCCCGAGGGTGGGGGAGGGGGCTCTGTCTTCTATGTAAGTATGTACAGACATGGTGCATACAGACATTGAGAAGTACATGAATTACAAGTCTGTTTGGATAAATCATTATTTCGAAATATGTGCTTGAGAACTTCGTGATTTAAAAAAAAAGGTATACTTTATTCTATAAATGTATTTGATCAGTGTCCAGCGATCTTTGCATTTAGTGACAGAAAATGAAGGAAAACCCTTTCAATTCATTGTGATATAATGAGTATCATTATAAGTATTGCTCCTTTGTGAAAATCTGTTATGGATAAACTGTAAGTGAACAACCAATACCTGATGTGGGTGACATGTGGTGTGATGCAGGTGAGGCGAGACAGTCACCGCTACCTGCAGGAGCCGGAGATGAGGGAGGAGGGGGGGACACCGCCCATCGTCGAATCCGTCAGAGCTGGCCTCGTGTTCCAGCTGAAGGAGGCAGTCACACCTGAAGTCATCATGCAGCGAGAGCAGGAGCTGTGCAGGTGGGTGGTGGTGTGGAGGGGGGAGGGACACCATGCAGCGAGAGCAGGAGCTGTGCAGGTGGGTGGTGGTGTGGAGGGGGGAGGGACACCATGCAGCGAGAGCAGGAGCTGTGCAGGTGGGTGGTGGTGTGGAGGGGGGAGGGACACCATGCAGCGAGAGCAGTCGCTGTGCAGGTGGGTGGTGGTGTGGAGGGGGGAGGGACACCATGCAGCGAGAGCAGGAGCTGTGCAGGTGGGTGGTGGTGTGGAGGGGGAGGGACACCATGCAGCGAGAGCAGGAGCTGTGCAGGTGGGTGGTGGTGTGGAGGGGGGAGTGACACCATGCAGCGAGAGCAGGAGCTGTGCAGGTGGGTGGTGGTGTGGAGGGGGAGGGACACCATGCAGCGAGAGCAGGAGCTGTGCAGGTGGGTGGTGGTGTGGAGGGGGGAGGGACACCATGCAGCGAGAGCAGGAGCTGTGCAGGTGGGTGGTGGTGTGGAGGGGGGAGGGACACCATGCAGCGAGAGCAGGAGCTGTGCAGGTGGGTGGTGGTGTGGAGGGGGGAGGGACACCATGCAGCGAGAGCAGGAGCTGTGCATGTGGGTGGTGGTGTGGAGGGGGAGGGACACCATGCAGCGAGAGCAGGAGCTGTGCAGGTGGGTGGTGGTGTGGAGGGGGGAGGGACACCATGCAGCGAGAGCAGGAGCTGTGCAGGTGGGTGGTGGTGTGGAGGGGGGAGGGACACCATGCAGCGAGAGCAGGAGCTGTGCAGGTGGGTGGTGGTGTGGAGGGGGGAGGGACACCATGCAGCGAGAGCAGGAGCTGTGCAGGTGGGTGGTGGTGTGGAGGGGGAGGGACACCATGCAGCGAGAGCAGGAGCTGTGCAGGTGGGTGGTGGTGTGGAGGGGGAGGGACACCATGCAGCGAGAGCAGGAGCTGTGCAGGTGGGTGGTGGTGTGGAGGGGGGAGGGACACCATGCAGGGAGAGCAGGAGCTGTGCATGTGGGTGGTGGTGTGGAGGGGGGAGGGACACCATGCAGCGAGAGCAGGAGCTGTGCAGGTGGGTGGAGGAGGGAGGGACACCATGCAGCGAGAGCAGGAGCTGTGCAGGTGGGTGGTGGTGTGGAGGGGGGAGTGACACCATGCAGCGAGAGCAGGAGCTGTGCAGGTGGGTGGTGGTGTGGAGGGGGGAGTGACACCATGCAGCGAGAGCAGGAGCTGTGCAGGTGGGTGGTGGTGTGGAGGGGGGAGGGACACCAAGGGGCAGATGGTAGAGTTTGCCCGAGTTTATATCGTTGGATCCAACTAAATTGTGATTGTTACTTGACAGATTGAAAATCATCAATGTTTCCTGATTTGCTGATAATAGAATGGTAGGGGCTTGTGTTGCATTAATGTGCTGAACAATGGCCCTGATTTGTTGTCTAAAGTGTTTGTGTGTGTTAATGATTAAATAAGCAGTTTGTTAAGTTATTATTTCTGATGTGTGTATTTATGTGATTGACTTCAATATGTTTTTATGTTTATGGAGTTATAAAAATAAAAACAAGCATTCACACTTTGCCTAAAACCGCTGCGCACACCAAATTTTATGTTTATACCTCCATAAACTAAATTTTTTTGAAATTGTTAGTAAATAACAAACACCTTACAAGCTGATACAAATCTTTAACACAAAGTCTCTGTGGGAATTGAGCATAGGAAATCCTTGGTTCTCAAAGCTTGACTGGGTGGATTCATAACTGGGTGGTAATTATGTATACCCTGGTTGACGTTGTCACATCTGGCCCTGATGGTGTGTCCTCTGGCCCGATGGTGTGTCATCTGGCCCTGATGGTGTGTCATCTGGCCCTGATGGAGTGTCATCTGGCCCTGATGGTGTGTCATCTGGCCCTGATGGTGTGTCCTCTGGCCCGATGGTGTGTCATCTGGCTCTGGCCCTGATGGAGTGTCATCTGGCCCTGATGGAGTGTCATCTGGCCCTGATGGTGTGTCATCTGGCCCTGATGGTGTGTCCTCTGGCCCGATGGTGTGTCATCTGGCTCTGGCCCTGATGGAGTGTCATCTGGCCCTGATGGTGTGTCATCTGGCCAGATGGTGTGTCATCTGGCCCTGATGGTGTGTCATCTGGCCCTGATGGTGTGTCCTCTGGCCCGATGGTGTGTCATCTGGCCCTGATGGTGTGTCATCTGGCCCTGATGGTGTGTCCTCTGGCCCGATGGTGTGTCCTCTGGCCCTGATGGTGTGTCATCTGGCCCTGATGGTGTGTCCTCTGGCCCGATGGTGTGTCATCTGGCTCTGGCCCTGATGGAGTGTCATCTGGCCCTGATGGAGTGTCATCTGGCCCTGATGGTGTGTCATCTGGCCCTGATGGTGTGTCCTCTGGCCCGATGGTGTGTCATCTGGCTCTGGCCCTGATGGAGTGTCATCTGGCCCTGATGGTGTGTCATCTGGCCAGATGGTGTGTCATCTGGCCCTGATGGTGTGTCATCTGGCGCTGATGGTGTGTCATCTGGCCCTGATGGTGTGTCATCTGGCCCTGATGGTATGTCATCTGGCCCGATGGTGTGTCATCTGGCCCGATGGTGTGTCATCTGGCCCTGATGGTATGTCATCTGGCCCGATGGTGTGTCATCTGGCCCTGATGGTGTGTCATCTGGCCTGATGGTGTGTCATCTGGCCCGATGGTGTGTCATCTGGCCCTGATGGTGTGTCATCTGGCCCGATGGTGTCATCTGGCCCTGATGGTGTGTCATCTGGCCCTGATGGTGTGTCATCTGGCCCGATGGTGTGTCATCTGGCCCTGATGGTGTGTCATCTGGCCCGATGGTGTGTCATCTGGCCCTGATGGTGTGTCATCTGGCCCTGATGGTGTGTCATCTGGCCCTGATGGTGTGTCATCTGGCTCTGGCCCTGATAGTGTGTCATCTGGCCCTGATGGTGTGTCATCTGGCCCCGATGGTGTGTCATCTGGCCCGATGGTGTGTCATCTGGCCCGATGGTGTGTCATCTGGCCCTGATGGTGTGTCATCTGGCCCTGAAGGTGTGTCATCTGGCCCTGGTATCTGACCTGGCCCTGATGGTGTCTCATGTTGGCGTGATGGTGTCTCATTTGGTGCTGATGGTGTCTGATCTTGCCCTGATGGTGTCTCATGTTGCCCTGATGGTGTCTCATGTTGCCCTGATGGTGTCTCATGTTGCCCTGATGGTGTCTCATCTTGCCCTGGCGGTCTCATCTGGCCCTGGTGGTGTGTCATCTGGCCCTGATGGTGTCTCATCTTGCCCTGATGGTGTCTCATCTTGCCCTAATGGAGTGGATTTGCTTTTCCCTTTCCAGACTCGAATATTTACAGGATATTGATGGCTTCGTTGTAAAGCAACATTCACTCACCCACTAACATTCATCTGTTATTTCAAGGTTGTTTATCTGTTTCCATATTCTAGGCTGGCTGTGGAATCCCTCTCATCATGTGACAACCTCATCATCCTTGGTAACCAGGATGCCCCTAGACTCCCCATCTTCTCCTTCCTCATCTACAATCCCACCACCGGCAGGTTCCTCCATCACAACTTCGTCAGCACCATCCTCAATGATGTGTTTGGCATCCAGGCTCGTGGAGGATGTGCTTGTGCAGGACCCTATGCTATGGTAGGTCTCGAGTGAATCGGGGACACTGACTCGAGGGTATGGTGAATTAGTTGGGGGGTGTCAAAATGGGACCCTACGCTATGGTAGGTACAGTCTGTATCAGAGAACATTGACTCTGGGGTATGGGTATTTAGTTGGTTTAAAGCTTCTCTGAACAGTAATTCTGTTATACCAAGATTTTTTATCTTAATCTGAGAGGCCATAGACGTTTTTCACTCTAGGTCATGTCACAATTATGGGTATGGTCCAGGGTGTTGGTTGGTCGAGGTGCTGGTTACGTTCTGTTATTGACGAAGATCAATCTAATTGTAAATGTCCCTGAGACAGATCTTTTGTGAAACATGTGTTGACATGCTGACTATAGCTGCTCTACATCAATGTGATTCTGTCAACTGTTCACCAGGATCTACTTGGTCTGGACGAAGTTACGGCGGAGAAAATAGAGAAACTTTTGGTGGAAGACAGGTAACAGTTTTATTTATTACAGACAGCATTCACGATATAATTAGAAGATACTGCAACTACACTGGGATCCCAACTACCTCAAGCTTGTCTGTGATCAGGGATCTATTTAGCCCTATTCGGGCCCCAAATCTGAAGCAACTGTCAGTAAAAATTCCCAAATTTGAATAAAATATTGCCAATTTTTTATTATGGTAATAACTGATGTTATGGCATTTGCAGAGGTGACTTGCATTTCACTAACAACATGGCCAATTTAAAAGAAGAAGCAATAATGTTCAATGTTACCTTGATGTAGTGTATGAAATATCAAATTACACCTGAATTTTAGAAAATAAGGACTTTTAAGAATGTCCCAATTTTGTACAAAATGATGCTTTGTCCCATTATGTCTGCCAAGGGCACTTAGTTTGTAATCCTAGATAAATCCTTGGTGACTGTTGCCACTCGTCTGAAGCTACTGAAAAGAATATCAAGAAATGTTTTGACAGGTTGATTTCAAACATTTTCAGCACAGATTGCTTCTGATTGATTCTTCACTTTTAAAAGATGGGAAAATGTGTGTGTAGCCCGAAAACACGTTTGCTTTCTGTGAATGTGGACTTTTATATTTGGAAAATTGTCTGCAACAGCTGTCTGCGTCTGCCTTACTGAATATAAACACCGGTAGTACGCAATGGTTCACTGATATTGAGATATGGACTTCTTTTGTTCATCAGTCGCCTGGACAGAACACATCTGAGGAGATACCGGGAGTACTCACACAGAGAGATACTGAGGTAGGATATGGTTGGAGTGTCAGTGAGTGAGTGAGTGAGTGAGTATGGTTTTACACTGCTTTAACAATACTCCGGCAATATCGGGAGTACTCACACACAGAGATACTGAGGTAGGATATGGTTGGAGTGAGTGAGTGAGCGAGTGAGTGTGTGAGTGAGTGAGTATAGTTTTACATTGCTTTAACAATACTCTGGCAACATCGGGAGTACTCACACAGAAAGATACTGAGGTAGGAGGTAGTGAGTGGGTGAGTGGGTGAGTGGGTGAGTGGGTGAGTGAGTATGGTTTTACGCCACTTCAACAATATTCCAGTAAATTGGGTTTCACACATTGTACCCATGTGGTAAAAGTTTAGGACATTTTTTGACAAGTGTTGATATATTTTATCATCCAAAATCATTCTTCCAACTTTTTCAGTTTGTAAACTGTAATAAGCAGTATCTTGAGTGTAAAAATTAAGGCTAACTAGCTTCACTAGTAGAGAGATTAGTGAGTGATTTTATTAGATTCTGGCATGAAAAACGAGGAAATAAAATGGTCTGCAAAGCATTGTAGTGCAATTTCAATGCAGCAGTATCTCCCAGGAGAGATTGCTTGATCCCACCCAAGCAATATCTCCTGTGGAGGTCAGTTTTGGATGATAAATACAGTATATTGACTTTGTAAATATATTCTCTTTCCATAATAATCCACAAGTTGCATTCAAAGAAAATGTTGAAAATGTTGGTTTTTTATGTAAAGATTTGGCTGCAGCTTAGTCATTTGTTTTAATGAAATTGTTTGTAACATGACGGACTGAAAGTAATGTCACCTAGAGAGATCTATAGCCAAGCCTCTAAGGGTAATAGAACAGTTTAGCTTATGTTCATTTAGGGTAGAACTATTTGTCTGTGAAATGTAGCAAAGCCTGTACACCCAAGTAGACTGGCTGGACAGTGTGACCATGGTAGGTGATGATGACATGAATGTCACTTGATGTTGTGTGTTTACCATGAGATATGTAAACACACCTTAATGTCATCGTCACATCTGTTCATGGTGTATCACAAGTAGATTTGTTCTTCAGAGAGTGATTTATGAGATGTACTCTAAAATCTTGTTCTGTAACCTGCAATAGTATTGCAACATTGGAGATTTTGGCTCACTTCAATGACAACTAAACATGGTTTAGAAAATCAGCTTAGCAAAGTTTTCTGCCAGATGTGATCAATCTGATTTTGTTATGTATAGATTGTCATTGCCATCTTTCCAAAAAACAGGATCACAAGATTGTGCACAGACCGCAGTTAATTTGTTCAACATTTGACCTCACTGTCTAACTTCTTATTACAGAGAGAGGCTTGAATTTGCTGAAGATTAACTGTTCGTCATGATTAGCATTAGCTCCAACTCTTCATAAATTCCTGTACTGTTTTAGGAAGTGTAATGAAAGCACACACTGGGATAGGGATATTTGTAGTACTGACAAATCTGTGTGTGATAGGGAGTCCGTCAATTCTTGTGCTCCAGGGGCGTTTTTTGGTTTATATTATATTAAATAGGAATTGGACACTTGAGGCCTTGAAAACGTTATGTCCAGTATCACGACAAGTAGCATTTAAGTATTGTGAAGCAGTTCAATATTTGATGTGTCCGTGTGTACCCAGACCTGGCTTCACCCGACTCAACCTGCCCTACTTCCTGGATGATGCATGCCTGGACTTTGTGATGGAGGCCGTCAAGATGGTGGCCGACCATGCCTGGAAACTGCTGCCTCAGGTAAGTCTAGCCAGACAGATGGACGGACGGAGAGACTGACGGACAGACAGAAAACAGACAGAGATAAAGAAAGATGAATGGAAGGACATGGATGATAGAATGAGACAGACAGAAAACTGAGCTATTGAGAGATGGCTGAAGGATGGACAGAAAGACAGGCCAATGTTGAAAGGTACGGGATCACTGAGCGGGTTATTTTGAAAAATGTTGAAAAATAAATCACAAAATTGACATTTATCGTCTGGCATTGTGTGAGAATATAAGACTTTATCAGAATCAACTACAATGGAATCTGTTGAAGATCAATTCATTGAGATGGTTTGTGTAACGATCTGATTGTTACAAAGTTATTGCAGTGATTAACTAGATGAGGGGGAGGCGGCAGTGTCTCTGTGGAGGACAGTAGTGAGTGAATCAAAGATCACACAATGGAGCTTGGAACTTGTGGACATTTTTGGACACTACTGTTGGAGCTAGTGGCTTTAATGTCCTAGAGTTCATCCATGTCTGAATGTATTACCCAGTAGCTTTTTTCTTTTACATTAAGCTTTGAGCTGTTGTCTAACTGAAATACCATTCAAACTCACTCCTTTGTTCTGGTATGATGATGTGAGTGAGTGAGTTGGGTTTTAATGCTGCTTTTAACATTATTCCAGTCATATCACGGCGTGTCAGCTTAATGTGGGCGGAAAGCCCAAAGTGATGCATGCCCCAGACCTTTACCACTTCCGTGAAACCCACGAGCACGGGTATGGTGCTAACAAACCTAGAAACATAATCGGGGCGAACCGGGATTCGAACCCACAATCATAGGTTTCTGGCGTGCCCAAGGGACGCAACTCTGCACAGCGAATCGCAGCGCCTTCGATGACTGGGCCACCCGTGCCCCATATGATGATGTGGTTGGGATGTGTTTCAGTACATCTTCAACCCCGAGACTGGTGAGTGGAGACAGAAGAACTTCCAGGTGTTCCGAGACCGCAGATGGCTGGGACACATCTCTTACGTGACAGGGGAGATGAAATACAAGGTGCCGCCCCCTGTTGTGAAGGGACCACTGCCGTCAGGATACGAGGTACGAAGTTATAGTGATAAGGAGTTAGTTGGAGGAAGGTGAAGTACAAGGTGGCGCCCCCTGTTGTGAAAGGACCACTGCCGTCAGGATACGAGGTACGAAGTTATAGTGATAAGGAGTTAGTTGGAGGAAGGTGAAGTACAAGGTGGCGCCCCCTGTTGTGAAGGGACCACTGCCGTCAGGATACGAGGTACTAGGTTAAAGTGATCGGGAGTTGGTTGGAGGAAGGTGAAGTACAAGGTGGCGCCCCCTGTTGTGAAGGGGCCACTGCCGTCAGGATACGAGGTACAAAGTTATAGTGATAGGGAGTTGGTTGGAGGAAGGTGAAGTACAAGGTGGCGCCCCCTGTTGTGAAGGGGCCACTGCCGTCAGGATACGAGGTACAAAGTTATAGTGATAGGGAGTTGGTTGGAGGAAGGTGAAGTACAAGGTGGCGCCCCCTGTGGTGAAGGGGCCACTGCCGTCAGGATACGAGGTACAAAGTTATAGTGATAGGGAGTTGGTTGGAGGAAGGTGAAGTACAAGGTGGCGCCCCCTGTTGTGAAGGGGCCACTGCCGTCAGGATACGAGGTACAAAGTTATAGTGATAGGGAGTTGGTTGGAGGAAGGTGAAGTACAAGGTGGCGCCCCCTGTGGTGAAGGGGCCACTGCCGTCAGGATACGAGGTACTTACTTATGAGTTAGTGAAACGATGATGTAATAGTGTCACTTCCTTTAGCAAAAGATAGGAGGTTTGAGGTAGTTATCACCCAAAGAGAGATTGGTGTTATTGAATTAGAATCTGTAATATTTTTGTGGTTAAATGATGCTGTGTTCTATAGTTGCTCTGCTCTCATATAGGCTTTCACCATTGTAGGACTGTCTTGACAAGGCCAGAGCTGTTTTCAAGCAAGCAGAAAAGGTAATGTGTTTTTACTCTCAGAAATAAACAGTCAAAGCTGTCCATGTGTATTCCATCATAAAGCTGATAAGCTGAGAATATCAGAACCATTGGTCCAAACAATCATAAATCATTGAAAAATTATGTTTTGAAACAAATAACTGTTTAGAAAATGATACTTGTCAGTTCACAAAAACCTACGTCTCTCTTATATTGTGTCAGAAAATAAGAATCACAGAAGTAAGGTAATATTCTCATTGAAATGATAACATTTCTTTTCACACAAGGATAAGTCCTTAAGAAGTGGTTATCGTTGATGTTTCCACAGCCCCGCGTACAGCTGCCTGACCAGACACTTCTGTTTGATGACCAGTCACGTCCATACAGATGGTTCATGCTACCTAGTGAAGCTCTGGACTGTGTCCATGGCAACAGGGTCACACAGGTCGCACCCTCTGACCTGCCTTTTCTACCTCCACCACTGAAGAGCAGACTTGGATTGACCAATGGCAGGGAGGAACCTAACAGTGATGAACTAGAAGATGATGAAAATATTTTAGGGTGTGAAGATCAAAGCAATAATAATTCTGAGATTATTCCGGCATTTTCTGAAGGAATGGTTGAATGTTTAGAGAGGGGATTTGAAGATGGAGCACCTGTGAATAAGATTCAGTTGACGGATAATGAACCTCAGTCATCAGCAGAAAATATTTCTGGAGCAACTTCAACATCAGACTCTGTTGCAACAGGAAGCCTAATAGAAGAATCTGCTGCTGAAGTTGATAAGGAAACTCTATCTTTGATGGTCCCAAGTACACAGGGGGATAGCTCGCTTCCAGCCATGAGTTCCAGTAAGTCTGGAGAGACCAGTGATACAGAAAAGAATCAAGGTGAAAATAAACAGTTGAATCATTCTTTCCAATCACCGTCGATTGCCAGCCAGCAAGAAAGTGTAAATGCCGCCTGTGAAGACATTGGAGGAAGTGGTCAGCAACAGGGGTCAGTGGAGGGGTCAGTTTGTCCCTTGGTCTGTCCGCGTCCACAGAAGCCAGCCCCTGCTGGTGGCGCTGAGGGAGCAGAACTACCCAAGTGTAAATGGTTCTCTCCCCCTAAAACAATATTCAAGGCAACAGTGAAGGTGAGGTGTTACTGTGTTGTTTGTTTGTTGTTTAATGCTGCTCTCAGCAATATTCCAGCTATCTGACAGTGACCTGTACATAATGGAGTCTGGACCAGACAATCCAGTGATTGATATTGTGAACAATGATCCACAATATCGGGGTATGATGACATGCAATCAATCAAGTCACATTGGAACCTCCAGATTGATTTAGTCACCTCTTACGACAAGCATAGGTCAAACTAACCCCCAAACCCCATGGGGTGATGACTCATATTGTGACCATCAACTGTTAAATATTTATGTAGACATGTTTTTGTTTCCCTATATATGTGTTCCTGTTAGAAAGAGGTAGAAAGGTTCTTATGATGTGTATACATTCCTTGATCAAGAACATGTGATGTGTTTGGGTGAAAAGTAATTTAATAAATGTCATTTTAATACTATAAGTAATATTCTATCAGTATTATGTAATGACGATCATACCATACTCATAACCAAGTTTAAGATGTTTGACGACACCAACATCCAAAAGTTCTTTTGGACATGATTGTGAAGTTTTCACAAATGTCATAGCACAAAGAAACTGTTTTACTGCAAACGTGTTTGGTGACTGTTTTGCTTGGGTTGGTTCCTGTGTAGGCAGTGGAGGAACACAACATGATCCACGATGGCGACCGTCTGCTTGTGTGTCTGTCGGGAGGCAAGGACTCGCTGTCGCTGCTGCACACCATCAGACAGTACCAGTTCTACTGCAAGGGGCAGGTACAGTGGTTGTTAGTTCTGTGATAACAGACAGACAGATTAACATTGTTGCTCTGTCCTAGCATTGAACACATGCTTCCATTCACTGGCATAGCGAGTGATTTTATTGTATCCAATCATACAAAGCATACCCCAACTACAAGATCTATATCACCCAGCGGCTATTGCTACCAGTATGGACATATACGGTGTGTCAAGACATTCACACTGTTGTGATTTAAGTAAATTCTGCAATAGTTTGGAGTACTTATTGTAACAGGTAAATTGCAAAGACTTTAGCATGTTTAGAGGATATCATAATAGCAGATTGTGAACTAGGGCAGGGGAGGTAAGATAAGAAATTTTTTTTAATTCAGCCTTGAAGATTGTTAATGTTTGGGATTATATCCAGAGTATTTTAGTTATATATATCACAGCCTTTAATATAATTAAAGATAATTACCACTTTTGTTTTGTTTGTTTGTTTGTTTAATGCCGCACTCAGTAATATTCCAGCTATATGATGGCGGTCTGTAAATAATCGATTCTGGACCAGACAATCTATTGATTGACATCATCAGACTCGATCTACACATTTGGGATACGATGATGTGCATCAACCAAGTAAGCGAGCCTGACCATCCGATCCCGTTAGCTTAGTCACTTTTTACGACAAGCATGGATTGCTGAAGACCTATTCTACCCCGGATCTTCACGGTGCTCTGGTGAAACCCATAAGCATGGATGTGGCTCTGATACCTAGAATCATAATAGGGCCATTCTGAGAATCATACCAATGGTCTAAGGATTTTGATACACCTAGGGATGCAACTCTGCATGCTGCAGACAACTAGGCCTCACATGCCAACTGATGTGGCATGGAAACAATTTTATGGAAATGTAACCAGTTTAAACAATGACAGATTATCAGGAAATTGGCCTGAAGTAGATGCATACTTTTCAGGGAGTCCACTTTGATTTTGGCGCTGTGACAGTTGATCCCCAGACCCCAGCGTACGATCCCAGCCCCCTGAAACAATACCTCAAGGTGCTGGGGGTGCCATATTTCTACGAGTCACAATGTGAGTTGGACTTCATATCTAGACACACTCCCAGAGAACTGTCAGGCACCTTCCAGGTAGCTACTTATGTGGCAGATATTTGCTGATGGCTGTCATAAATTTAGCTAAAAATCTTGAAATAAGTTTCATCATACATGTTCTCAGGGCACCGCCAGCATCATCATAAAGTCTGCCGCAAGTTTTGTTTTTATATCAGTTTTGAGAAAAAATCCTAATACTTACCAGTTTGAAGAAGCCCCCAAAACCACCGCCCGCACACACTATATTTTCTAAAATCATTGCCTGAGAACCAGTTCTTTTAGTTTTTTAAGCCTAAGAAACAATAATTCCGAATGTTTTATTCAAGTCTTCTGTGTCTGCAAACCTTGTTAAATATTTGACCATAAGTTCCTATACTACAGTAACCATTCTTGAGCCCATTGTTTCAGACCTTTCCTGTTCTAGCACTTCATGAATCAAGTAGATCAAGCTGCTTCCAAGGATGTATTTTACAACACTTCCATTGCAGAAGCTCATACGATGGCTTGTAGTGACACAGATGTTCTTGGTATTCCAGGTATCCTGGAGACGGCCGAGAACCTGCCCGACGGCTGTGCATCTATCTGCAGCTTCTGCAGCCGCATGAAGCGTGGCCGCATCTACGCCGCCGCCCGTAGGGAAGGATACAACGTGCTGGCTCTCGGACAGCATCTGGATGACCTGGCAGAGAGGTATTACTTAAGGATGTGAACACGGATACTTGCTAATCCTTTTCCAAAGTATGTGTTGTAGCCAGTGTTGCAATACACTGATGCTATTATTGTTTAATTATTATCATGATTATTGCTTTCCTTCTGGTGAATTGTGTGTCATCGTGACCAACAAGGTAGATCACTGCTACCACTTATTCACCTGCTCCACACTGGATTAATAGTTACAAGCCAATTTGAGATCTTTGAAGATTTCCGTGTAAAGCAACATTCACTCAGTCACTTGCGCACCGGTCCATGAATCATTGTGCAGTCTCACCGGTCCATGAATCATGCTGCAGTCTCAACAGTCCATGAATCAGGCTGCAGTCTCACCGGTCCATGAATCATGCTGCAGTCTCACCGGTCCAGGAATCAGGCTGCAGTCTCACCGGTCCATGAATCAGGCTGCAGTCTCACCGGTCCATGAATCAGGCTGCAGTCTCACCGGTCCATGAATCAGGCTGCAGTCTCACCGGTCCATGAATCAGGCTGCAGTCTCACCGGTCCATGAATCAGGCTGCAGTCTCACCGGTCCATGAATCAGGCTGCAGTCTCACCGGTCCATGAATCATGCTGCAGTCTCACCCGTCCAGGAATCATGCTGCAGTCTCACCGGTCCATGAATCAGGATGCAGTCTCACCGGTCCATGAATCATTGTGCAGTCTCACCGGTCCAGGAATCATGCTGCAGTCTCACCGGTCCATGAATCAGGATGCAGTCTCACCGGTCCATGAATCAGGCTGCAGTCTCACTGGTCCATGAATCATGCTGCAGTCACACTTGTTCATGAATCATGCTGCAGTCGCACTGGTTCATGAATCATGCTGCAGTCTCACTGGTCCATGAATCATGCTGCAGTCTCACCGGTCCATGAATCTTGCTGCAGTCTCACTGGTTCATGAATCATGCTGCAGTCTCACCGGTCCATGAATCATGCTGCAGTCTCAATGGTTCATGAATCTTGCTGCAGTCTCACTGGTTCATGAATCATGCTGCAGTCTCACTGGTTCATGAATCATGCTGCAGTCTCACTGGTCCATGAATCAGGCTGCAGTTGCACTGGTTCATGAATCATGCTGCAGTCGCACTGGTTCATGAATCATGCTGCAGTCTCACTGGTTCATGAATCAGGCTGCAGTCTCACCGGTCGCTGAATCTTGCTGCAGTCTCACCGGTTCATGAATCATGCTGCAGTCTAACTGGTTCATGAATCATGCTGCAGTCGCACTGGTTCATGAATCAGGCTGCAGTCTCACCGGTCCATGAATCATGCTGCAGTCTCACTGGTTCATGAATCATGCTGCAGTCTCACTGGTTCATGAATCATGCTGCAGTCTCACTGGTTCATGAATCATGCTGCAGTCTCACTGGTTCATGAATCATGCTGCAGTCGACTGGTTCATGAATCATGCTGCAGTCGCACTTGTTCATGAATCATGCTGCAGTCGCACTTGTTCATGAATCATGCTGCAGTCGCACTTGTTCATGAATCATGCTGCAGTCGCACTGGTTCATGAATCATGCTGCAGTCTCACTGGCCCATGAATCATGGTGCAGTCTCACTGATTGCTTAAATTAGCTGCTACTTCCCTTTGGTCTGTTTCAGTTTCCTGATGTCCTTTTTTCACAACGGTGTGATCAGAACAATGAAGGCACACTACACTGTCCAGTAAGTTCCCAGATTTTGACAAGCCCCTGCTCCAAATGTAGAAACAACAAGTAACTCATTAAACTTGTAAAAATTACAGGTGTTTCGGTGGCATTTGATTGGGTAACCAAGCAATTTTTGTGTAAATCTGCTACGCTATGTTAATGCCTTCACTGAAAAACATTTATGTCAGATCTTACGAATGTTGATGTCATCATTAATTAAACAAATTGCTTTCTTGCATGTTAGAACCAGCCTATGTTTATGCTATGTTCTTCTTGCAGAGATGGGGATTTGAGGGTTATCAGACCTTTTGTGTTTGTACGAGAGAAGGAGCTTCGCAACTTTGCTGAAAAGGTAGAAACAAGTAGGGAATCCTGTTGTTGCTTGTGTAGCGGCCATAAAATTTCCGAGTCCCGTGGTGGGATTCGAACCACGGACCTTCTGATCCGAGGTCAGACGCCTTGTCCACATGACCAAAGAGGTTAACCCCGTCAGCAAGCTGACAAGGTAAGGATGTCATCTGTGGGATGACTCCACGTCCTGCTACATACTTCCCCGTCAACAGAAGGCACGTCCCGGGCCGCATAGTAGGGTACTGAGGCTTATTTTGCTCAAATTTAATATGAACGTGCTCAGCCCCACGTTGTGCGCCAATGTAGCGGCCATAAAATTTTCGAGTCCCGTGGTGGGATTCGAACCACGGACCTTCTGATCCGAGGTCAGACGCCTTGTCCACATGACCAAAGAGTAAGGTGTAATGGTAAGGATGTCATCTGTGGGATGACTCCATGTCCTGCTACACTTGTTAACTTGTTGTCAATGGATAGAGATGTCACTGAGATGTGTTCAAATCCAGACAGGTAAGCCTTTAACAGAAAGACATCCATCATCTGCTGATACCTATTGTGTTAATAATGCTCAGGTAGACAATTATTACGTCTTCTAGTCTAAAATTCAAAGACTGTGCTGGTTTGGTAGGTGGCCTTGTGGTTCAGGTGATGCATTCAGCGCCAGAGACCTTGGTCTATTCCCAACCTGGAAATGACTCACAGACATTCTTGGTGTTTCTTGTTGAAAAACGTGAAAAGTGGCAAAAACAACTCCTCACACCTTTGAGATGAGGTGATGAAGAATGGAGTTGAGTATTGCATTCAAGATTATTAATCTAATATTGCAATGTGCATGCGTGTGCGTGTGTGAGATTGATGGGTTTGGTTAAACAGCATTTGGAGAGATGGTCTGTTGTTTTGGCTTGATGATAGTCAGTAAATTTCCCCAGATCATTGGTGGTTGGGGTTTGCCCCAATTATGTTTCTAGGTTTGTCAGCACCATACCCGTGCTCGTGGGTTTAACTGAAGTGGTAAACGTCTGAGACCTGCATCACTTCAGGCTTTCCTCCCACATTAAGCTGACACGCCGTGATATAACTGGAATAATCTTAAAAGCAGCGTTAAACCCAACTCACTCACTCACCATTGGTGGTTGGTTAACCATTTATATACATGAATTGAAATTAGCGAATCTGTAATGTTCAACTACCCTTTATAAATCTATGAAATGCTTATCACAGCCTCTCTCATTAGATATCTCTTCAAGACTTAATTGTCGTATTAGTGTTTAAATGTTATGTAGATTAACATATTTTTTTCTTGAAAAATACACAGGGTATTTGTGACAGATGAATAATTGGTTATTATTAACGATGAAAGGATAAGACTAACTCCAAACACTAATGATGCTGCAGGCGTGAAGATATATGGAACTATGCACCGTTCCACAAATTGTTCTTAGGAGTACCATGATTGTAACTCTTGTACTTAGACAGACTTCATCTTCCTGAGGAAAGGGTGTTACCTGACTATAAATGTCCAGTTTCCACCTTTGCCAAACTAGGTTGGAATTTCCAGGCTCGATCGTAGCACCACCAGTTGCTATTAGGAGTTATGTCCCTTCTATTGACCAATCAGATTCCATCACTCATATCACTTGCATTTGCTTCAAAGAGTGCCCAGTCAAGACAATTTGATTGATAATCAAGATCTAGTGCAGACGCCTAGTTGAGAGTACACATGCTTTGCAAATCTTTCAGTCGATCGATATCTGCACATTGAAATCAATGTTGTTTACAAACTGGATGTCTACTACGATACGCAATTTTGATTGGATATGTTAGTCCAGCTAAATCATAACTCCCGAATTCCAGCCTAGATAGGCAACATTGGAAACTGGACTTTTATAGTCAGTTAACTCCCTTGCCTCGGGAAGATGGATAGACTTATGATAATCATTGCGCTAAGACAGCTTTGTGGGACGGCATTGCAAAACCTGGTCTGTATCCCCTCTTGCATGTAAACAGAATTTACGATGTACAGTCTTTTTTTCCTATTACAGAACAAGCTACCTGTGATAGCAGAAAACTGTCCTGCGTGCTTCGAGGCTCCTAAGGTATGCAACTATTATGAAGATGTTGGGATGTAATCTTTCAGGATTTAACATGTGATAAAAATGTGCAGGTTGAGATGACCATTCTCCAGTAGCACTGGCAGGGTAACTTAGGGGACAAGTCTTGTAAGGGTTAGCATAGAAACATTGAGATATTTAGGAAGATCTCCAGAGAATCACGGTGGTCCCAGCGCTGAGGACTTTGTGACTATCAAAATATAGGATGGTGTTATTACTTGCAAGTCTGGTTGAAAGGTTGATAGCAATAAGGAAATGAATAGAAGAGTGCAAGGTCATATAGTTTCTGTACAGAAAATGGATGTGTTGAGAGTCATCCTGTTCATTTGATGTTTAAAATTTAACACAAAACAACTCACTGACTATCCTGAAGCAGAAATATTTCTAATATCCTGGGTTTCTGAGATGTGCTGTGATGGGGGAGGGACAACATTGGATTTATAAATTTACAATTTTTTCAGCTTCAGACTTTTGTGGACCCCTTTTGTACTCAAAGTTGATGGTAATGCAGATAGTGAGAGAATATATGGATGTCAACTTCTTTCACACGATGAAGGAGTAAGCATATACTCTGAAACGTTGTGTTCCTCATAACAAAGAAGTTGACATCCATATATATACTCTTCCTTATGTGTATCACTTCTAAATGCCTTTCAAAGACCCAATGCAGACAATGTTTCTGGTGGTGTATGAATGCCAGAGGATCTTCTCCCAAGAGGAGTGCGTCATGTGTTTTTTTGTCCCAGGAACGTCATCGGACGAAGCAGCTGCTAGCCTCTCAGGAGCTGCTGTTCCCACACCTGTACAACAGCATCATGGCCGCCATGAAGCCGGTGATGGCCATCAGCAGGACTGGCCACAGCTTTACCCAGGCTGCAGCCAAGGAGGGGGACGAAGAGGAGGAGGACATTGATGCAGTGTGATGTCAAACAATATAGAATTGATTAATTTAAGTCAAATTTTGTAACCACTGAACTGGCTTGAATGGTGGAGCAGTTTTAGACACCGGATTTCGTATAAGAAGACACATCATTTTGTTGTCTTGGGTATATAGGTCCCCAGTAACCAGGTCTTGTGCATTAGTATCTCAAGTCGGACAGGCCACCATGATATAGCAGTAACATTTGTGACTGAAGGGTTACAGATGATTCACTCAGTCATGACACAGTAAAACGATACACTTTCACCTTGCAGACTTGTATTCATAAGCAGATATACATCTATGTACATCAACGATAGCAGGTTTTATTTCTGATGTTTTGAAAGTCAATAGATAATTCATTGCAGATTAAACATAATTAGTTCAGGAAATGAAATATCTTTTTGTTATGTTTCACATGAAATATGAAATGACTTACTTTGATGTCTACTTATAGTGATTCGGGGGCAAGGGTGGCCCAATCGTCTGATGCGCTGTGATTTGCTGTGCAGAGTCCCTTGGGCACGCCAGAAACCTATGATTGTGGGTTCGAATCCTGGTTTGCCTGATTATGTTTCTAGGTTTGTCAGCACCATGCCTGTACTCATGGGTTTTACCGAAGTGGTACACGTCTGGGGCCTGCATCACTTCTGGCTTTCCTCCCACATTAAGCTGACACGCCGTGATATAACTGGAAAACTGTTAAAAAAGCGGCCTTAAACCCAACTCACTATCATGGTGATTCTGACCCCCCAGTACTTGTACCATAATTCCAGGTTCCTGCAACTCTTCTGCTGGTGGAGATTGTATTATTTATTGATTGTATACACTGATTCTGTATCACCCAGTTGTGCATTAAAGTATCCATGGAATGATGGAATGTCCTTTGTTTTTCGACATTCATACACACATGAATTATTTGCTACCAACCATTGGCCTCCTTGGCCCAATCTAGAGAACTTACAGACAGGTGCAAAACAACGACAACACTCAGTGTCTAGTAGGACTATTCTTGTTGATGATCTCATCGATATGTAAATAATCTTCCATTATATTTAAAATTTCCAGAATAGGGTTGACTAAGTAGAAAACAACTCCTTAATGAAATGTATGAAATAAAAAAACCACATTGTTTTATTTTGTTTGATTTGTTATATTTTACATTATACAAAACATGAGCATATGGTCGACTCTCTTCAGGCAAGGCCAAGACTTTACTTTTAGTGATTTTCTTGGTCATAATTCAAAGACCAATTCAAGAAGGCTACATTTTAGAAAATTAAAATATTGTACGGGTCAATTTTGTGAAAAAGCTCTCTAGATAATAGAGTTATGACAAAAATTTAAAAAAATAGAAATTAATGTTTTTCATCCACAAAACGGAAAAGGATTTAAACTTGACCTGACTGACCACGGCACTTTGTTATTGATTTTGCTTCCCTCAGTGTTGGATGAACACCCATGAATGCGTTAAATATCACTTCAACATGAGAGGTTGACAAATCTGGTAAACGTACTCAAAAGAAGTTAAAGAACACACAATTCTGTTATGTTACTAAAGCTACTACAGTAATATGTAAGGTCTTCTTTAACTTCTTTTGAGTAGTATATATAATCAAAGGCAAAAGCAACTGATCATATTATGTTCTTTTTCTCCTATAATAATCGTCATGATAATTGTGATGCAGTTTGTTCAGAGAATAACCTCCAAGCTACAAGGAATTAAGTCTTACCTGTCCCAGGTGAATTGATCCATTGGTCCCAAGCCTTGGCAAAGGACTTCACGAAGTAAGTCATAATAATGCTCAGGGATAATTACTGACAAATTATTTCATAATGTATTTGTCTGTGCCTAGTAATATACACCTCACAGACTGCTTGTGAAGACAAGCCAGTGCATCTACCTGAGGCAAGGGAGTTAACTGTCTGTTTCATTACAATACAGATCTTGATTATTGATCATAACATCTTGACTGTACACTTCCATTTTGTTTGAAGCAAATGCAAGTGATATGAGATGTGGAATCTGATTGGTAAAGAGGAGGAACATAGAAGGGACATAACTCGTAATAGCCACCGGTGTACATCACTGTACATCTCTAAAGGGGCTGTACATCTCCAAAGGGGCTGTAGATCTCTAAAGGGTCTTTAGATCTCCAAAGGGGCTGTAGATTTCTAAAGGGGCTGTAGATCTCTAAAAGGGGCTGGATATCTCCAAAGGGGTTGTAGATCTCTAAAGGGGCTGTGGATCTCTAAAGGGTCTTTAGATCTCAAAAGGAGCTGTAGATCTCTAAAGGGGCTGTAGATATCTAAAGGGGCTGTAGATATCTAAAGGGGCTGGAGATCTCTAAAAGGGGCTGGATATCTTCAAAGGGGTTGTAGATCTCTAAAGGGGCTGATTTGATTTTATATATAGAATGATTATGGTGTGCCTTTTAGCCCAATTAAATCTTAACATTAAATTTTCAAAGAAAATGAAGTGAGAAGTTTGGAGTAATGCACTCCTAAGAAAAAATATAAGATAATAATAATATGATAAAAAGATATAGTTACTTCTGCCTTTGCTTATATAATTCAACATTATGATGATGATCACTTTCCGATGACATCCTTCAACAATAAAACATCCTTCAGAATGTCGGGCAGGTCGAGGTGCCTCACTACCTCCAGGATAGATCGGGGCTGGTTCCGGATAATGTCCCGAATCTTAAAACAAGCAAGCTCCTGTAAGCCTCTGGCATTACTCTCCACCTGTCGAAGTCTGTTCAACGTTGACTTACTGAAGTCAGGACTGTTGGACACTTCAAGCAGCAGCTCTGATTGAGGACAATATCCTGCACCAACTAACAGATCCAACATCTTTCCTACTTTATCAAGGTCATCTAAGTTTAATCGTGTCATCATTGTCACAGGGATTTTAACAGAAGCATTCCTTTTTATAAAGAACTTCAGAAGGTTCATATTCTCGTGTTTCCATGCTGCCGATACTTCACTATATGCTGGAGAGGTTCCCGGCCTGGCGCCGGCTTTGTACAGAAGGACCACCATCTTCAGCCCTCGATACACTGCCATATGTAGAACAGGCCTCCCTTTGCCACTCAGTATATTCACAGAAGCACCTGCCCTCAGGAACGCTATCACACTTCCCATGGATCCCATCATCACAGCATAGTGAAGAGGAGTCATTCCTGAATTATCTTTCTGATCAATGCGAGCCCCATTGGACAACAGAAACTTGATCTTTTGGGGCTTACAGGTCACTTGTTTGGCAACTAAATGCAGAGCTGTCGCACCGCTCAGATCACATACGTTTACATCGACACCAATTTCAAGCAATTTCTCCATGATGTCAAACTCGTGGTTCAGGGAAGCTTCTAAGAAAGGATGAATAAGCGTATCTAAAGGGAAGCCTTCACCTAGTAGGAAGTTGAAAATACTCAAACTCCCAATCCTGGCTGCAAGATTCAAAGGCCAGAAGTTACCAGTTTCGTTTTTTGCTGCCGGTGAAATATTTCTGTTCGAGAACCAGTCCGCAATGCCAGGACCATCAGCCATCATGATCAGTGCCTTCAAGTTACCCCAGTCTAAATCGGAAGTTTTATCAAATTGTTCATCACTATCTTGCACGTCATCCTTGCTTGGGTTATAAGGCTTAGTTAGCTGGACCAGGCAAACATCATTGTCTTCCTCATCTTCCTCATCAATATCATCGTCTTCATCACTTCCTGCTTCTATTACGTTTCTATCTTCACCTGCGTAACTTTCATCGCCAACATCTTTGGACAGATCAATACAAATGTCCGACATGTAGCTTTCATCTGATCTAGCATCCTCTTCAACATCAGTATAGTAGCTATCGGTGTCGTCAAAGTCCTCATCATAGTCGTCGTCGAAGTCGGAACCTGACTCGTCTGCATTATCCATAGCTATCAAGTCCTGAAATGTCAAGATATTTCATATTGAAACTGAATGCATTCCCTGTACTTTATGTGTTGTTGTTCTCTGCCAGTCAGCAATATTGCAGCTGTACCATGGCAACGTGTAATCAAGTGTGGACCAGGGACTAGGAACTAAGCAAGATCAGTGCCCAACGACTATTTCCCACACCTGTCGGGGAAGGAAGGGATGATTTAATTATTTTGTTTACTTCTTTAGTAGGAAACAAAGTTATAAAAGCAAACCTGAATACAATTACCGAATGACCTCTTTTGGCCACACCTTCTGCTGCTCAAGGTATAAAAATAGAAAAGTTAGAAAAGTTACTTATTAACAGTACATAAAAATGAAAACGGTATAAGGGATAGGGGCATTCTTAGCGGTGAGAGGTATTGTAAGAGGCCAAACATTGAACCAAATTTCCAACATTTGTTGGCTCCTCCAGCAGCATGTTGGCTGTTTGTCTGTTGTTTTCCTCTGCACTTAGCAATATTCCAGCTATATGACTGTGGCCTGTGAATAATCAGGTCTAAGCAACCCAGTGATTGATATTATGAGCAACAGTCCACGCCTTCAGGGCACATTGACACACCAGCAACCAAGTCACCAAACCTGACCACCTGATCAATGAAGTCGGTTCTTATGACCAGCAAAGGTTGCAGGGACCAATTCTGACCTGGAATCCCCACAAATAAGCATTGGAGTAATAAGTATTACTCGTGAGTTCTTTTGGCCATATCTCAGGAATAACAAGGCAGGGTCACCCAGTGTGGACTTCACACATTGTAGCCAAGTGAACACTGTAACATGCTTACTGAACTGCCCCATGTTGAGTTCAAGTTCATGAAAAACACAACTCGCATGTCGTTTTTTATCCTTACACACACTATGTATAATCGACATCACCACCATCACCATCAATGAACTGTAGTCCAAACCAGTAAAATTATATGCAAAATGATCATTAAAATACCATTACAACTGTAACATTGTTTCAAATGCAAGTTTATTATCAATACAACAACACTTGCCAATAACAACAATTCATTTATGCATCTGTCTAATAAATCTCCATAGCTCAGTCCACAAATCTCCCTCCCCAAACTTCTACAAATGTGCAATGAAATATTTATCTTAAGAACAGTTGTTTCCCTTTGATGAGGCTGTTACTGAAATGCAGATAAACAAATTGATCATAACTTCACACATGTAGTGCTAACAAACATTCCAAGCAGCATGTTTCTGTTACCATGGTTATTTTATTTTTCCTACCTAAACCCAACTGACCAAGCATATAAAAGATCAATTTCAATTGTTGCTTTTTAATTCTGAAAACAGTTTATATGTTAATTTTAGCCACACAATAAAAAAATAAGCTTTAGAAGAACCACCATAGCTAGTTTGTAATCAGGATGTCACGATTCACCAATATATCAATGCATCAATTCATATTTTAATCCAAGTTCTACTGAAAATAGTATTGATTGGAATGAGACATTATTTTTTGAAAATATGACCAGATATTCAGGAGGTTTCAAGCTTGTGTTTGTGGCCTAGGAAACGTAAAAATTCACTCATAAATTCTGTGAAATAAGTATCATCACACATATCGTATTGTGAACAAAGTATTTGCGATACGTATCGATTCTGGGAGTAATCTTATCGTGACATCAATAGTTTGTATGTGATATCTTAGTCAGAGTCTGTCTTTGCATTTTCTTTTTCCATTTCAGAGTTAGCTTGCAGTCTGCAAAATGTCTTGTATTCAGCTTCATGCATTCCACCAAACTGTTTAGCAAACTGATTATCACTCGTGGCTATAATATCTTTAAGGATAGGATTGTTGCTTCTCAGGTGCTTGTCCTCCGTGAAGAACCCAGTCCGCAGCAGGAACACATGGCGATTTCTCACATGTTCCAGGGAGTAGCTGAACAAACCAGCAGTCACCATTTGTCTCTGGGATACCTTCATTTCACTAAAAACATAATTAAACTTTCCAAGGATGTCATCCCAGTTGTCCAGTAACACATCTGGTGTTTGGCGCAAAATCCACAAAACATCGTCCTTTTTGAAATATTGTTTCATCAAGGTCACCCTGTCCAGGATGAATTTACTATCAAGGCCAAGTAACCTTGGCTCCTTCACAATCACCTCCTGAAGATGCGTATCGCTGACACCAGCTCTCAGAAGAGTATCATACAGGTTCTTCACAAGCTGTTGCTGCAGCAGGGAAAGGTCAGGAACTGTCATCAGCATCTTAAAGATGTCTGACACTTGAAACCCGTAGTGTTTCAGCAGATGTAGGACTTGTTTCAGCCTCCTGGAGCTGATGAGTCCCGGCTTCTGCATCAGCAGTTCCTTCACCTGTTCCATGTTGAAGTCCTCAGACAGGAGGAGATGGATGACTCTCTCCACATTCCGTAGGGGGATGGACAGACACATCTTGTCCACCTTAACAGCTTCCACTAGGACAGCCCGGGCCAGACTCTGTACCTCTTCCACGGCCACATCAGTTTGATCACGCTTCAATGAAGATTGACTGCGAGGTGACAAACCTTCTTCATCAGATCTCATCCTAGGTTCTTCTTCCGATTGTGTCTTCATTACATCATGTTTACCATGTGCTCTGTTCTCAGCTGAGTAGCATCTTCTAGAGTCAATACTGTTTGAAACTGATGCTGCTTTAAGTACTAAGTGTCTGCTTGACCTCTGCACCTTCAGCACTTGTGATGTACATAGTGTATCTAAAACATTTGGCCTGAACAGTTTTCCTTCTCTATTTAGTATATTGTACACATGGTCGGATGAACCTGTTGTTCTACAAGCATGATAAAGTCTGAGCTCATTGCTGCTGGCTGAGTCTGGCCAGGGGACAAGTACAGTCCTGATTCTACCACTGACTGGTACCCCGGCAAACAATTTGGACAGACAAGAGTATCTGTGACAACATCCCAAACCGTATCTCATGGCTGTCACTTGAACCAGTCTTGAATATCTTGTTCTGTAAACAAGAGTAAAATGTGTCAGTACTGGGCATTCTGTAACTTTTTCATCTTGGAACTACATCCAAACTCGTGTTTGTTATTTTTCTTATCTCAGCTGATTGTGTCTATTTCACAATCAGTATTTGTCAGTTACCTGTGATGACACACCATTTGCTTGAAATGAAATGAATTGGGACTTGCTTCGATAATTTTATTGATTTTATTCTTTTTTTCTTCAATATGAATAATAGTGCTGCAACGAATATGCTATGAGATACATACGATTTGTATCACGAATATAGCGTAGGGAATACAAATATTTATTCACGAATACAATAACAAGTCAGCAGTTGATGTATTATTTGTTATAGTCAGGGAAAAATAAGAACATAAATTATTTGACATGGTTGGTTAATTATTAATATATTATACATTCATATACTGCCCTTATCCATGTACGAGGGGTGTTCAATAAGTCTTGCAACTTCAATATAAGACCAAGTCGCAGAATATCTTTTGCACTTTTATTTTTCAATATGATCTCCATTCAACTCAATAGACTTATTCCATTTGTCCTTCAAGCTTTTAATTCCACTTTTATAGAAATCCGCAGATTGGCCCTCTAACCACGCCTCTGTGGCAGCCTTTATGTCCTTGTCATCCAGGAAGCGTCTTCCACATAGGGCAGACTTCATTTGTGGAAACAGGAAATAGTCACTCAGGGCTAAGTCTGGTCTGTAGGGTGGGTGATTTAACTGTACAGCCCATCGCCGTTGGATGAACACGGTGGAGGAAGAGCAACAGCTGGGGTGTACATGTGGCTATGAAGCTATTCCAGGATTGCTCATGCCTGTGTTCAGGGACACACATAATTCCTGTGGCACCAATGCCCGCCTCGCACAAATTTGTGGCTGATGTGGCACAGACACGGGTTTGAATATGTTTGGGGTAAGCAGGTGGCATGAGAGATGGTTGACATCACCCTGCCATATTTTACCCAGGAAATAGTAGAAAATTAATCGACATGGCTAAAGAATTTATTTCACCAATTGATGATGATGTGGATGTGCCATCTTGATTGACAGTAATGACAGAACAATGTTACCAAGGAAACGTTAGACAACAGAATTTTTTTTTGAACAGTTTTCATGATGTCAGCCCATTATTACTCAACTCAAAAAGTGTGTTTATCACAGGATAAAGTACAGTCAGCACCTTTGATGTTTCAACAAAAAATATAAATAGATAAATAAATAAAAATCAAATAAGTGAAATAAAACGACACACTACGATACAAATAAAAATAAGTCACATTAAACAAATAATTAAATAAATTATTATTTGAATGGAGACATATACAGAAAACAGGGGCTTCTTTCTTAAAAAAAGATAAGATTTGGGGATAAAGTTGTTGACATCAGTTGATAGGTAAAATAGACAAAACATACATAAGTTGTAACTCTTCACAGATAGCCGGCTGACTAGGAAGCCCTATACCTTCCAGCTCCCTAAGTGTTGGAGTATGAGAGTTACGATCATCGTTGGCGGGACATATGACCATGCAGGCCTACATACGAGTCCATGATATGACCCAGTAAAGCAGATGACAAATCTAGATCATGTAGATGTAGGAACAAAACTAGACTAGGCTCTAGCAGTAGGTGTTAAAACTCATACTTCACGAGTGATTAATTGATCTGCTATCTGTGATTCTGAAATAAATGGATATTAGTCAGTCAGTGAAGAAGTAAAACTTGACACCTAGACGAACAAAGGTTTTGATCAAGATAACGGAGTTTATGAATGCTTCAATTACTTTTCTGACTTTTCATTAAATGTGCCAAACAGGGAACTACACATAAGCAGTCTCTGTCAATCCCCTTCCCGGCAAGATTCAGTCTTAATACTGACGTGAGCGAAATGGCATGAGCTTAGGCAACGTGTATCATGTGTATCTTCTCTGTCCAAATTGTTTGTAACTGGCGGGAGACTTTGAAATTTATTACATGCTTTTCGCGTCTGGTTACAAGCACATCGACGTAACGTTAGTCTGAAAGTTTAACAAAAAATTAAACGAACTGACCTGATGAAGTTTAGGAGAACGTAGCCGATAGGCTGTTTGTTTTTTTATCAACCTGATTCCAGTACACTTCGACGTGAGATGCAGCTGAAACTTACGCAGTTGCTTCCCTTTGAACAATAAGCTCCTTTCCATCACATGCCACCTGTGGTGATGTGAGGAGCTAGCAAGGGATGCCATCCAAAACCGACCAACACCAAAACGGACCAAAATAATTCTGACGAAACGCCCCAGTCTTCGGCGAGTGAGTGAGCGAGTCTAACGCCACTTTTAACAGTATTTCAGTCATATAACGACATGTTTGCTTAATGTGGGAAGAAACCCCGAAGTGATGCAAGTCTCAGAAATTTATCATTTAATAAAACCCACAAGCACGGGCATGATACTGACAAACCTAGAAACATGAACGGAGCGAACTGGTAAACCAACAATCATTGGTTTGGGGCGTACCCAAGGGACGCAGGTGCGGCCAAGAGAGCATAGAAGACCAGTGCAATGTCAAGATAAGCTTCTATGGATTCAAGTTTTATACTGATTATGTTTGTTGTCTCGGATCTGAATCGTTACCACCTATTACTGCCTGTCATTAACATTGTAGATTATTAAAGGTACAAAGGATGTATTTTGGTAAGAACTCAAAGTATTGAACCTTTTCTGTAGAGGTATTTTCAAATCTAGACGACTTATGATTTGTATTGACGTCATCCGTGAAGATCCAGGGTAGAATAGTTTTTCAGCAACCCAGCCTTGCTGTAAATGGCGACTATCATTTTCGTAAGAGGCAAGTAACAGGATCGGGTGGTCAGGCTCGCTGATTTGGTTCATTCACGTCATCGTATCCCAGTTGCGGGGATCGATGCTCATGATGTCAATCACCGGGTGTCTTAACATGTACTCTACTATTTCAATACCGGTTGGAACTTGTCCACAATTCGTTCATTATTATCATTCAACTATTACTAGAAACTAATATCGCTCACTATTGTGGAAATTTCAAGTTATTTCCGAGTAACCCCTGATTTTTTTCAAGAGTATATATACATATTGGGCATTGGAACATTGGGCGTGATCACTTCCGAAGCTTTCAGAAAATATTTATATGATCTCCATATCATTCGGCAAGCAATTCCAGATTCTGGTGTCGTCATACGTCAGTGAATTTAGCACGAACTTAGAAGTTGATACCCGGAGAATCTACGCTGAAAGTTACTGCCTAAAGAAGTAGCTCGCTTGCTTTAAACTGTTTAATGTGTACACGCTGATGAAGATTTGAAGATTCACCGCGTTATGTCCTTTAAATGATGTAAATGAAGATAGCGCCAGCCATGTCGAGACTCTATTGTGGCAGCAAATCTAAGGACTCGTTCCCGAAGTTTTGTAGTGCTGTACCTGTTACAAAAATGTCCAAATGAGGGAACGGTAGTTGGAATTTGAATGTCTGAAACATTTGTAGTTACCAATCTTACCCTGCCTATTGAAGTGTTGGCTCACTTGTCGAAGAACTGTATGTTGTTTTGCAGCCTTCATGAACAGATCGGCAATGTGAATGTTGAACGTCATCATGCTGACAGTATCTACACCAAGCAATTGTTGCATCACCAAATGTAACGTTATTTATTGCAGATTTACCTTTCCTCCTAAGCCTAAATGCATGAATCTTCTCTGGCTTGGCCTTGATTGTTTGTCCTGATAAGTATACAGTCTTCCTGGATGACATTTGTGACTTTCTCAGGCTCAGTGTTCAATAATGATACAAATTAATGAAGATTCACACAGAGAGTAAAAGATACCACTAATAAAAATATTAAATAAGATATGTCCTAAAATGGTACCCAGTAGTCTTTGGATGGGTGCCACCGTTCGGGCAGGATACGCTCACCTTTTCGCGAACACATGGTATCATCACTATTTTATAGTGATTCATAAACACATGATGATAATACATTCTGTATCGTACAATCGACCCTGCTTTTGGCAGAAATTCTTTTATGAATTTAGCAAGGATTTTGTCACTTTTGGTAAAAAGCATATGCTACAAGCCAAAATTGGGAATGCATCAAATTTGTTTGTCACTGATGCGTCAAATTTGGAATTGTCGTAACATAAAACCTTTTTGAAAGTTTTACTGAGGCTTTGACTTTGTAAGCCTGATGAAACAACTTCATCAGACTGACCTGACGCATATCACAACATTCAGTACACATTAGGGACTGTTCAGGTACAAGGGGCTAATGTCAGGAATTTCTTGTGCACCGGAAATGTATCAAACTGTTTTACATTTCCCCCATTCCTATGGTCCTCTATGTTTGCTGTGGAGTTAAACCTGGTAATCGTTAGTGCTTTTTCATTACAACATTGCATTTTGAACCATATCTGCACGTGTATTTTTATGTGTACCCTCCCAAACGTGATTGGTGATTTTTCACTGCTTCACGTGGATCTTCCAAACCAACGGGTTGTATTTATGACCTTAAAGGGGCACTGATCTAACGCAATTCCCCGGGACTGGTTGTTGCCTTTGTTATTGTTTTTTCCCAGTGAGTACCCGGATGTATAGCAGAAATCTAGACTAGTTCGCGACCTCTGCTGCGCAATTCGCAAGCGCATCAGTCACTTTTATGGGTAGTAATAAGGGCGTATGGTCACATTGATCAACAAAATGAAATACAGTTTTCGAGATAATAAGGAAATGTAGGTATCTTTGTGGGTAGCATCGGTAATGGTGACAAAGTTTTGACAAGTCACTTGCTTGGTAATTTTGCGATTTTCGTTAACACTATTTTGACTTGCAACACAAAGTAAATATTTCACCTGAGCATTGCTTTTTTTATAGTGTGTATATATTTTTACTGTCAAAATGTGTAACATTTTCAAATTAATTTAAAGTCTAAATATTGAGTTATTTTACAAAGTGACTGAAAAACATTTCCATCTGTATTATTATGATAACGAATTCCAAACATTTTGATGTTTAATGTCATCACCAAGAGACTGAAAATGTTACCTTGAAAAGTACATGTCTATGTTGTTTGGCTTCTAATCCTACATAATAATCTGTTGTGATGTTTGTGGCCTACAATCTGGACAGATTTTTTAGTCAAAATGACTGAAATATTTACACATTTTATAAATTGCCTGAGAGAATCACATTTTACAAATTGACGGTAATATATACACGCTTACAAAGGAAAAGACCTGTGAAAACAACGTCTATCGCGCATTGAAGAATTTCCCAACCAAGACGTAGAGAAACAAGACCGAATCGGTTCAAATGAAGGAAAACAAAATGCAAATACCATAATTGCAACCTACCAAATTTATGTGTATAAATTTTAGGAGCTTCCTTGTTCGAGGAATGTATCCGTGAATATCCACACAAAGGAACAATATCCCACTCGTCTGCAGCTGTACAAAGAAACTTATTTGATGTCACGTGTCTCTGTAACAATCAAATATTATAAAAGATATATATCGTTTCGGGATATTATAACCCGTGTTCGTTTCTCAACTGATCACTTGGATTGTTTCAGGTGTTTCACATAGGTGTCAAGCCTCAAGGGTCGGCTGAGAAAGCCCACGTGACAACTATTTTCATAACGTCCACGGTTCCGACAAATCCATTGAGTGATAGATAACAATGAGCAATCAATCAACGTATTATCAGTTAACCCTTTGAACAAAGTATGTTGTTTTTACATCGGCACTTCACGCCATGATATGAGTGTATTCCCTTTGTTTTAGTAAACCTAGACATGTAAACACTCACTTTTGACATATCCACTGTGCAAGTGATTAATCAATCAACGTATTTTCTGTTAATCCTTTGATGTCTAGGAACGATCTGTTGATTTACAAAAAAAGAGTAAATCAACTGATCATTCACCTCTTGCTGGTCTGCCACGTGCATATTACATAACACACATTTCACCTCACTTCAAACCTGGATTTAGATTGAATAATTATCCCAGACACAATAAATGCCAAATGGGAACCTTTGTCAGGTAATCTAAGTGGTGCTACCAATAATTGTACCTGTAATAAATTCATTAACTGAACATCAAGTGAATGACGACAAATACACAAGTGTAGGGTTATACGAGAAAACGTGGATGACAACAAGGGATTGGTAATCGTATTATCGACGCAATCCGAAATCCGAAAATGCTTTCACTGCATAGATACTTTTTTAATATTAAACTATAACAATCTGGGGTATTTCCAAATGATGACATCCGATGAGCTCCGCCGTTCTTTTTGTCTGTTTGTTTAGGCTGAAGAAATTAACTAACATGCGCCCTTTGTCGAAATCTTTATAGATCACAGTTAACCAATCAGTGTTTATTCAAACATTCGTAAAACAAATATTGCCTCCAGCCTCCAAGTTTATTTAGCTGTCCTTGCAGACGGTAGCCCAGTCTCTGGTCACGCTCAGTTGCGTTGCGTATCATCCGGGTACTCACGGGGAAAAAACAATAACAAAGGCAACAACCAGTCCCGGGAATTGTGTTAGATCAGTGCCCCTTTAAGTTAAGTCTGCAGTGTTTCGAGGACTGTTTTTAGCCTAGTAACATTATGATAACGTTTGTAACGTTTTGGTCAAATCCAATTTTCAAGTGTATTTGCAGAAATGCTTACTGACCCCTCCAAAATGTCTGCAAAAATATAACTTTGAGGTTATCTACAGGAATGAATTTCAAATGTTCTTAGCTGATATGCTAAGACGTGACTACCAGACACAAGACAGTGATGTTTCGGCTTGCGATGCCGTACTGCCAGATATCAACCAGAAGTTGAAACCACAATTGGCAAGGCATGGTTTTACTGACTAGGTGTTGATGGACAACGGCTCACCTCAAGTATTCAGTAGGTTTTCCAAACATTGTGAGTTTAAACAATAACATCTCCACGATACCCCCAATCTAATGGCAAAATGAGGTGCACTGTTCAAACTGCAAAGCGACTGCTGATGAAATCTCAGTGGGCTGAGAGTGAATCTCAATGTGCTTTGTTAGATTGGCAAAGTGTTCCAAAATGAAGCCAAACTTAACCCCAGCTTCCTACTACAAACAAACGTTTGGTGCCTAACATTGGCCAAAAGACTTTCTGGTAGAAAACTCAGCAGGCAATGTACAACAATCGATGTGCTGCTGTACTTAAGACCTAAGGAAGGAGACGTAATGTCAGTAAAACCTACAAACTATGATAAACAGTGGATAAAAGCTGTTATCCATTAGAAAGTTGATGTGTGATCATATTGTATTCACACTGAAGATGTCAGAAGCCTATGAAGAAACAGGTGACATCAAAGACCTTCACACGAGAGATCTCAGAACGATCGTCCGACAATTTTCACAAAGAAACTAAACCAAAAGCATGTTACTACGGACCTATGTCATGTCACCATACAATCAACAACTCAAACTGTCACTTAATCTAATTTTGGCGAATTTAGAACATCCAATGGCAGATCAGTGGTTCCAGGGCTGTGTGCCAAAGTTAAATTCAACTTGTTTAAGAAACTAAGATTGTGTGATTTTGACATCGACATCAGTTGTTTTTTCAGTATTACCAGAAAGAATAATATTTACTTTCAGTTATGACTTGTATTTTATCTTCCCATTCCTGTGATTTGGTCACATAGACTGTAAATCATAAATCAATATTGAAGTGACTAATGGCTCTCAGAACATACTGTGTTCGTTCAGCTGTAGCACTGTTAACACTAAGTACGAACACATGTTTTTATATAATTTTATGTGTACATGTAACTATCAGCTGTATGTTGCTAAAACTGATTAACGTTGAAAGAAAATGAAAGACAAAAATAGTAAAGACAAGAAAGCATTTATTTCTTATACCTGAAATTATAATTGCATGAACATATAAAATCTCATATAAAACTGCACTAAACATTTGTGAGATAAATAGCGAGATAATGATTGGTTGATAGCGTTTTATTTGAAATCTGTATGACACACAATGAAAACGCAATCTCAGTTTTTACTTGAAGGTCAAGAGATTGTATTTGTGAATATTTACTCGCATGTCAAAGAATGATGTTGTTGTCTTTGGTTATCTCATGCATAAATGCACAGAACAAGTTATATTGATTTTCTTAGCCATTACAAACAATCGAATATGCGTTTGCAAAGTGTTTCACTATAAAAATGAAAATGTTAAACTACTTTTGACCTTGCTCTGAAATGTTATTGATGCATATTTGGCTCATAGTTTTAAAGTTTCCAAAAAAGCCAACAACAACCCGGGAATATGCATGTTGAATCGCACAACAAGCTCTACAGATATGTCATTATATTTGTACACATCTGACATAAACAATAACTGAACAGTGCAAAGAATTCCATTTTGAGAGTTAAGTGGTTTGGTCAAAGGTAAAAGGTCAAATAAAGGCGCTAAAAATGGAACATGTATTGAGCCCCACTATAAGATCAAGTATGGAAATGTTCCACTGACATGTTTTCTCCTATTGTATCTAATTCCTGTATCCAATTACATCTCTGTATCACTGCCGTGATTTACGAGAATAAACATCATTCATTCATTCAAAAAACAAACTACACATATATCAAATTTCAAAACAAAGATGGCCATGTAAAGATTCATCATTCAGTATGGTAGAATTGCAACGGAACATATTTGTTGAGCCCAACAAAACATTTACCAACTGTACCAATTAGAATTGGATTGAAATTGACTGATTAATGGCCATAAATAGATCTTTCACCCGGACATATTGCAAATCAGACTTTCAGTCAGTTGAGCTACAAAACGGACTTGAGAAAACAAAAAACAAACAAAATATAAGGCCTACGATCTGCAAAGAATATCTTAACTGAAAAATGTGCAAAATTGTGCCCTGATGTTATAAGAATTCTACATATCAAAATATAAAGCCGTGAATAGTTTATCGTGAGTTAATCCATACTCATGTAGAGAAGCGTAATCACGTTAAAAGCAAAAGAATGAAACGAAATATTTCCAATACTAAGATTGAATACTCGGATGGAACCTCCGAAGTCATACTTTATTTTTTTAGGCTGTGATGCCGATGAAGATGTAATCATAGAGAAAAGAATATTTGTCGCCTTAAGAGCATATGCTCCGTTAGTTGTTTTAAATGTGCAGCATTGCTTAGAATTATGCTGAATACTAAAGGACACTGTTCCTGTATTCAGTGGTTGGTATTGAAAACTAAAGTTCTCGTGTGCATTTCACATGTTGGCGTAAACTCCGAGTGTCTCCAGTCGCCGCTGAGTAAACTCCAAACAAAGTCTCACGTCAGCCTGTAATCATAGGTTAAATGATATTATGACATAGGCAGGTTATAATATGAACTCGTGTGTGTGGTGTTTTTACCTTATTGATAATTGACTGTTGCCAATAACGTGCATATGTCGCAGTTCAGGGTGAATCAACTGTTTGTGGTCAAGGGTGTGAGTGTGTTATCTTCAGATCGACACGTGTTAGCAGAATGTATCAATAATTCTGAATAATGATACAATAGGAACATTTGCAAACATTTTCGCTGACATTTAATGACATGAATGACATGACTTAGTCGAGCTACACGCAGGCTACATAGTTACCTCTGTGAATGGTGGACCTCCCAGACGTGTGAACATTTGTCGCATGTTGTTGATGACGTCCACCCTACCGTCGTCCTGCAGTCTGCTGGCGATGTTCACAAGAAGCACCAGGAGTCGACACTCGCTCATACAGCTGAAATACACACAGTCATACTCAAGACATGTGATGTATTCGGTGACAGTGTAGTTGTATTGTTACAGAAAGGGCATGTCCCTGAGGTGATCGATCAAGTGTTTAGATGGTTCCGTATATACTTACTCAGAAATGATCATGCTGCAGACTCGTTCCGGATCATTGGTCCATGTCAGAAAGCTATCAATAAGCAAACCCAGTTCCGCGTCACGTGCACTTCCGGTGTTGTGGTAGTGTTGCATAACAGTGAACTCGCCACTATCCTGGATTATAAATGTTGAATGTGATTTTGTAAAAAGAATGCTTGTACGTTCTTACCTTTTCTAATTTTGACACAGATGATTTTAGGAGCAGGTCCCACCAGAATATTATTTTATCATAACAAGTAATGGATTAAGCTGGTAAAGTTAAACATCCACGTAATAGGGATGTCAGTGTTTAGATTAAATGCCCCCGGTTAGTTTCCAATTAAATGTCAAAGTGCAGGTTTATATCAGAATTGGATCATTAATTTTAATCACAGGGCGTACCTTTAATTTGACTTCAACTGTGTTCAGTAAGATGTTGTCAGACAATGGGGTAGATCTCGAAACAGTCACTTCGAACCTCTTGGTTGTCACTGAAGTTTCAGCTGTTGGCAGATAACACTGAAAGAGAATCATTTATGAGTTGGTCTGTTTTGTTTCTAGATACGATGTACCCTGTTACACTGTTATGTCATGGTTATAGAGTAAATAGAGGTGATCACGCGGGTGTGCTATGGGATGGTTAATATCCTGTATTATGTGGCGAGTTTATTTCTAATATACGATTATGCCACGCGTGATAACCGTTTTATCATATAATGTCATTCTTAAATATATATCCTGAAAAAAGTTTTTCATCCACTCTCACAGGCAGTAGTTAAACAAGAGCACGTTTTCCGGGATGGTACATTAACATATTCCATCACAAGGTCAGTGATTAGTTAATCGGATAATGACAACGGTCAATATAGTTCTAACTTGAAACTTCCAACTCCAAGTGCTTTTTACTTGTGGCGTAGCTACTATTATTTTTTAATGTCATCTATCCGCATCTATCTAGAGATATTGCCCTTTACTACTCTAGTTTATGCCATGTCCCGTCTGGTTTGTCATCAAGTTAACAAATGCAGTGAGGTTGCAAAATGGAACAAGGTAACATATTTTAGGCAAATCAAACTGTTTGAACTCTTAAAATCACTCCAAGCAAAAATGTGAAAATTAATTAATTAATTAATGTGTACAAAGTTCCTTAAACTCCAAGACCTCCGCTACGCCCTTGTTGGACACTGATTTTCGGTATCTTAGACTTGTATTTTGAGAACACTTATCAAGTAATGTGTCCAGAATTCCGATTGTCAATAACGATTCGATCAGCAATAGACAAGGGCGAAGCTATGATTGTTTGTAAACCATGAAGGTAGCAAATGCATGTGTCCCATCTTATATATTTGCAGATGTACCCGAAAATAACCTAAAGGACACCACTTTTATCCGTTGGCTTTATCTTACAGAGAAATATAGTTATCCTCATACGCTATACAAAAAAAATATGTGATGCATTTAATTCCTATATGACTCCCCCATCCCCACTCCCATCCCACCCAAACGAACGCAGTACAGATTAAATATTTCAAAGCTTATAATATGAAAAACACATGCACCAGTTATCTCATTTTAACCAACCTGATCATTTGTAGGGTACGTGAACAGACTTCGGCAGTCACTATTGTAAAGTGTCTCCCACACTTCCTCTTTGTTCGGATGTGACGTCATGATAACGAAACCATTCCGCGATGTATATGACTGGGAATATAGAAGAAAAGTGATGAATTTGAAGCGGAAATAACATTTCATTTGAACAGTAAATACGCACACACAATATTTTTATCACTGTTTTCTTCGTTTAAAATATATTCTGTGAAAAAGTAAGAACATATTTTGGATGCGATATGATTTACTTCTGGGCACGCCAATGACAGGTGTGTTGACAATAAGTTTGCCATATAGGGGAGTACATATACTTACTGGTACAGTCGTGAAGGGTGTATCGTCGGGTTGGTCTGGAAGCGAATCACATGCAGAATAAGAGGATACTAGTACAAGTTGCTTAGAACAGGATTTCAGTTATATCACGGTGTAACAGCTAGGTGTGGGAAGAAACATAATCAGGCCGAATCTCTGATTCAAACCCATCATCATAAGTTTTTCCATTAATTAAAAGAACTTTCTCAGAGCTATCAATGTCGCTAGTGAGTCCTTCGGAGAACATGGTACAAAGGGTGATGCTAAGTTAAAGACAACAAGTTTTAAACTGAGAACCTTGACCAATTACATACGTGAAGGTACATCAGTGAAACATGAAGGCTGCATTGTCTGTCCATAACTGTTGTGAAACTTGTATGTTTACTTTTAAAGTAGGTCACGATAACCTTTAAACAGGCATGACAAGGCGGTGGTCATGAATGTCCTTTAACAAACTACCACGAAACCATACTGAATACTATAGATTAAAAATCAAGTTAAGAGCTTTCTAATATACGTCACTTTATAATAGAGATGGCATTGCCTAGGTCCACCAAGAAGATCAAATATGACAAACCATGTGTGTTCAACGTCACAACAAAAATATCTTATACATTTTTTTTACTTAGTGAACATATAGTCATCAATTCTTATCAATTAGATGGATACCATTTATCATGACGTGAAATGATATAATTAGCTATATTTTAATGGAAGTATGCATACCATGAAATTCACTTTGTATGACCTGCAAAAGAATGAATAGGTTTTAGCATGTAGTAGTGATCTTACTGAATATTTAACGGTACTTGATACGTTATTTGCCTTTTCTAACGCATGTATGATATGTTATTTGTTATTGCAACATTTGAGGATTAACACAATTGATGTAACATTCAACCCCTGCCTTGATATGTTGTTGAACAGTCCTATTTCCAATAGCAAAGTCTGACACGTGATCCAGGTTCATCTCTCTGATAAGGTCACAATCCAATGACGTGTCACCCTCTGTCACCGCCCTCGCCACCGCCTGGTACACGAACAGGTACTGCTCCTGGGGGTTGTAGAGGTGTTTCAATAATAACTACAGTCAATACCTAAATGAGACAAATGGGCGTAACGCTGCTTTGAATTGTGGTTTAGTTACATGTGTCTAGCAATAAAAAAACCGTGAATCGTATCTTATGACAGAAACACAGATTCACAGAGAAAGAAATTAAGTTAATTAAAACAAAGTGTTGAATCTGCATTCCTTAAAGTTCCATTGAAACAATTTCTGATGATCCTTGTGTCAGAATATGTAGTAGAAAATAAGAAACCGCTACTGGATGTAATCACCTTTGTCTGAATCATGTTCTTCCTCTGCCCTCTCATGTTGGAGACGAAGCTGACGACGTCCACAACGCCCTCTGACACTGCCTGCTCCACAAGACTCTCAATAGCGATGTACGTCCCTGTGCGACCTATACCAGCACTGAGTACAAGAGACAGTAAATCAACTAAACCGTACGAAAAGTGGTAAGGTGGGTGAGTGAGTGAGTGAGTGAGTGAGTATGGTTTTACGCCGCTTTTAGCAATATTTCAGCAATATCACGGCGGGGGACACCAGAAATGGGCTTCACACATTGTACCCATGTCGGGAATCGAACCCGGGTCTTCGGCGTGACGAGCGAACGTTTTAACCACTAGGCTACCCGACCGCCCCAAATGTGGTAAGGAGAAGATTAATCGTCCCTTACTATTAGACAGGAACAATAGTTTCGTTGTCTGAAGTAAAATTCTGCTTCATCCACATCTTCTCAATCTATACAATAGCCTACGACTGATATGTTCCGTGAACTTTAGGGACAGTGAAGGTCGAATGAGTGTCTTTACAAAAAGGCTTTCAGCATTATTAAATATTGACACATGTAACATGTTAGATTAATCAGAGCAATGGACAAACACACGTGCATAAAAAATCGACAAACCCTTTCCGTAAGAAATATCTTGTAAGTCAATATAGTGTATTGCATCACACACAGATGTCTGGACGTAAGGGTCCATTTTTGATATGGCCTTTTCAGTTGCATAGACATATAAAGAGAAATAACAACAGATGCACCCCTTGTATATACTGGTGTAGTGCTTTCACCTGCAGTGGACTATGATCGGCTCTGTTTGTTGTCCAGATATGACCTTGACCCTCCACATGAAGTCCAGCAGGGCAGCAGTGTCCGGCACACCATGATCTGGCCAGCTGGTGAAGTGAAGGTGGTAGATATCCCGTTTCTCGCTTTCCTGAAATAAGTCAAAAGCGTCCCAAAGGGATATTGAAAGAATGTAATCTTATATCATACACGTTATAAAGTTTAGTTTACTCTGCTTAACTATGTTTAGCTGTCTAAATGATTTTTAAATGAATAATCATATAAATATAGCTATAAATGTAGTGACGGCCACTGTGGCCTAGTGGTTGTCGGGAGAGCGGAAGGTTTGGGATTTGATGCCCAGCGCTCAGCAATAAACTGTGTCTGAGCGGAGTATTTATGTTAAACTGTGGCATGGTATCCCAGTAGGCAAGCACTATAAAATCGACGTTAGTCTGCAATAGCACCAGAGCACACACGCACGCACGCACGCACGCACGCACGCACGCACGCACGCACGCACGCACGCACGCACGCACACCCATTTAACCTCACCTATATCCATATGGACACTCGTTTTGTATTAAAAATTCTCTACATGATAAAGAACTAAACTCGATGTTTGTATCTTAAGATTCTTTGCTTACATTTATTCAATGATTGTTACATGACACGTGGGTTGTTGTTCAATTCGTTTTAACAGTTCAAACAATAATTATTGACACATTATACTTTCGCTTTACTCATGTATGTGTCTCTGCGTTATTCCCTGTGTACCTGTACTCTAATGTTTATTTCTTTTTCTGTTCTGTATCACCTATTCCAAACCCGATTCCAATGTTTTCAAAATATAACTAATGCTAATGACCAAGGATGTACAGACTGATTCAGGTCCACCTTTTCATTCTCAACAGCCAACTTGGTGATGGTGTAGTTGGCTAGTCGTGTCTCTGTTTCCACTGTAACCATAACATCACCAAACTTCTCCCGTCCTTTCTCCGAAGGCCAATACTGCAGGCACTTCTTCTGTGAACCAATGTAAACAACGTACCAATGTGGGGAATCTGCTCAGCGCTGTGCTCTATTACATGATTAAATATTGTCTGTATAGAAATAGGTTATAAATAAGTAATGTGCGCTATTGAGATATTGTATTGAAGATTCGCCCCAGCACTTAAGTTCAAAGTTCACACAATCACATCTAAACATTTTTCCCCAACCACTCATGATTCAGTTCCTTCAGACAAATCTTGTCTTACCTTGCCGGCTTCCACCAACCCTGTTACCATGACAATAGAAGTGCACCCTTCTTGCCAAATCATCCTCCAGAAATCCTCGATAATGTTCGACTTGTAGGGACCTAGGAAAAGCGTTATAATTGTTACTTAAATATCATTCTGACAAGGACACAGCTACTGTACTGTACTACTATTTGACTACAAAAATATACCTTTTGGTTAGAGATATCAAAACTTATAAAGCTAATACCTGACACAGAATCTATACATCTAGACTGACACACGTTTATTGGAAAATGGTAATGTTGTTATCAATCGTGTTTATTCAATTGGCATGTGTACTACCTTGTGCTGCAATGTATCGATTGTCAGTTTTATATCCCTGAAAGAGAAATGATAAAACTGATGTTATTCATAATTAGAATATTTTGTATTAAGTTCACGTCTAACTTGAATGAGGAATGGACATTTACTTAGCATGGGCTGATGATACTACTGTATTATGGGAATCGGTATCTTAACATGGACCAGAACGAGAAAGCAACGTCATAACCATGTAATTTTAGTAATAATATCAAAACTCACATCTAGGTAGCTGGCGTTGATGTAGTCGCCTCTGCAGCCGTCACTGTCGTCGTGCAACACCACACGGTTGTAGTCATCTAGGAAATGGAACATTGCGTGTTATGGAAGCCATATTATATTTGATCAGTGGACAGGCAAGCACGTCTTGTCATACTCACATGGATAGTATCCCTTGAATCTGTTCTTCCCTTTGTTCCCTGCCTTCTGAGATTCTCCGTAGCTGTGGGTAAATCCGCCCGGCAAGCGCTAAAACATACAGAGTAACTACTCACAAACACCATCATTTTGGCAAAAGTGAAAAGAACTTGCTGAAAATATTGTTCACAAAATCCGTGATCTTGGCAAAACTGAAAAGAATTTGATGAAAACACTGTTCACGAAAACCGTCAACTGAAAAGAACCTATAAAACATTTCGTACCATAAAAATTATAAACATCTATGCATTTATCATGCATGGGATTATTTGTTATTTGTTTATTATTTTGACACAGAAACAAATGACCTGCACTTACTCGTGTATTATCGTTATCCTTGTCAACATTCTACACTGGTTTGAGGAAGAGGACTGATAATTGGACGTTCTGTAAAACACAACTTTACCTCGAATGCCTCTTGGGGATGATTTTCAATTTCACGTACTCTTGCCTCCAGATAAGACAATGGAATCACGTGACCAAGGTCGCCCAGGTTGTAATAGCTACATCCTGAGACACCCGGTGCTGCTTCTCCCTTCGGATGTATGTCAACATGGGCGTCGTAGTCTTCTTCCTCTTGGTTGGCCACACTCTGGGAATCAACTTCCTGAGGATGCTCTGGATGGCCGTGATCTTTGTCAACAATAGTCAGAGTTTGTTTTTTCTTGAGCACGGATTCATTCTCCTCAAAACCAACATTCATGTAAACGTCACCAGTTCCTGAAACAATGAACAGCAGAAGAGTAACTTCTTTCGCAAGATTATATGAAAGAACACATGTAACACCATAATAAACCATTTCAGCTATAATATTGACACGAACCTACCACGTTTGAAAGCTGTGTGTAAGCCAATCGGCGCCACCTCTTAAAACAAACATATGCTCTGAACGATGGTATATTATTTTCTTGTTCTGCATTACTACGACTGTAGAACAGTATCATCTGACTAAAATATATTAATCGAAAATCAAGCAAATATAGCTATAATGCATAAGCTAGATAATAAACATATCGTTACCTTGGAGCTTTCTATTCCTAGGGGACGTCTCACCAAATACTGGTCCATGAGGAGACCTATTCCCTCTGTTTCTTCTCCTCCTATAAGTTAAAGCACATGGTCACCAGTATGAAATTTACACTTAGATGAGCAAATTAGTTCAATGTTTCCTGGCGGATGAAACTGACCTGATGATGATGAGGAGGACCAGCACCAGGACCAACAGGACAAGGCCGGCCACAGCACCACCAACTGCCGCGACAGGCACAGCCGGGGATGTAGAAGCTTGGGTATAATACACACAAAATAAACGAAGGAACACAAATATATGTTAAGAAATCTACATTGTTTCTACTTGTAAAGCAGAGACAAATGCAAACATCATGTGATTAAAAATTATTCAAAGCAGGCGACAGACTAGGACATGCTTCAAAACAAGGTAATTTGGCCAAGAAGTTTAACTTAACTTTCAGGTATATCGAGGATCTGATATCGTTCAATAAACTCCAAAACGCAATTTCCCTTCCACTGATTTACCCACCTTAACTAGAAATAAAGGAGACCAGTAAGACTGCTTCACCTGTTTCATATTTATATTTATGGATAAAGACTCAGAGTGACAAAACACTTTCCATAAGATTGAATGACAAGAGGGATGACTTCAACTTTCCAATAGTCACTTTGCCTTCATGTCGAGCAATATTCCAGCAGCTCCAGCCTTTGGTGTTTACAGTTCAAAACTTTCGAGATACGATCGAGCATGCTCTTTGAACCAAGATTTCAAAGAGCGGCATACGACTATTGCTCAGAAGTTGTTTGATCAAGGTTACAACATTCAAGGCCTCAGTAAAGCTTTCACAAAGTTTTGTAGACACGCGGAGGACATTTCCAAATTTGACGCATCAGTGACAAAAATGATGTCTGATGCAGTTTCTTATTTTGACTTATACCATATGTTCTCGTGTTTTCAGATGAACAATTGATTCCCTTTGCATGTGATTGTGACGGGTGCCACGGGTTGGACAGGATACACTCTCCTTTTCGCGAACAACTTGTATCGTAACTGTTTTATAGTGATTCAGAAAACATGCTCATGGGTGTGGTCAGAGTCGTACAATCGACTCTGCTTTATGCAAAGATTTCTGTTGCATATAAAAAGGATTTTGTCGCTTTATTTATCAGGTGAACAATTGACATGATTTCGCATGAGTTTGTGATGGGCGCCACCGTTGGGCCAGGATACGCTCACCTTTTCGCGAACACCTGGTGTCATCACTATTTGATTGTGATTCATGGACATATGTGCGTGATATAGTCGGAATTGTGCAATCGACTCTGCTTTTGGCACAGACTTCTTATGAATATGGAAACGTGAGGGTTTTGTCGTAAGGGTTCTGATTCAGACCATTATTTACAGGCGGTCGTCATATAGCTTGAATGCTTCTGAGTGCAGCAAATGGAACCAGGTCATTCAAATAAAGTGCATATTAATATAATATCACTGCCTCTCATACTTCTGAAAATAATTATTTACAATTTAAAAACAGAACTCCTCCTGCCCATATTACCGTCCAGCCATTGCAACTGTCTACCTGTTGACATTACATAGTTACCTGTACAGTCCGCTCCTGTCCACCCCGTCTCACACCCAGTGTCACAGTGCCCTGTTGAGTTACAGGAAGAGTTCCCCTCACAGTGTCTGGATGCACAGGCCTCCTTACAGTTAGCTCCGTAATGTTCTACATCACAAGCTGTAACATTAAAGAATAGACAGCAAGGAATACGTAACGAATGAATATGATATGTATCTAACGAATAGAAAAATAGAAAATGAAAAAAAATGCTATTGTTTCAAACAGGCACAGCTTCTAGAGTACATCGTATTTCTCCCACAGGCTTATGACATATCAGTGAGAAGGACACTCTAGTTTAAACAATATTTTTCACAAGCCAATTAAAACCAATTCATACTTTACTTTAGAAGTAACACCGTTACAGGTCACTGTGTCAGCATATTTGTAGCATTGATGGTATTCAATAATTTGGAATGATTTTTTAGTATTATGTGAGGAAACAACATGTTAGTTTGCTAATTAACTAGTCACATATGTTTTATACAATCAAAGATATGAACAGAGAATATTCATATCGTCTTTGTAGTTGCTATATCGCTGGAAAAGTGCCGATTCGACAGTCAATGTTAACTCCCTCATAAAGGATAGTCGCTTTTGATATGTACTGCAGTGTTAAACTCAAAATGTAAAACAACGATAATCACCTTCACTGCAGTCTTCACCAATCCACCCTGGCTCACACCCGGAAACACATGTCCCTCTAATGTGATCACAAGGCGAGTCTCCTGCACACTTCCTGTCAGTACAATAGTTGCTGCAGTTCTGTCCATAGCTTCCACTTGAGCATGCTGAGGAGAAAACACAAAGTTACAAACACATTACAAAATGTCATTGCCAAATTGTCTGAATATCACTTGTCTTAATTCAAATCCTAAATGTTATTTAACACTGGAATAAAAGTAAATGTGTCAATGCCATCGCCAAGGTTTCATAAAACAGGATAACACTAGAGATAATATTTTTCTAAGTAGTTATTGTTTAAAGTAAGACGAGTTCTATGGATGAACAACTTCTTTATTACAATCCATAGAACTCGTCTTACTTCATCACACCAACTTCTAAATGCCACTCAAAGAAGTTAGTTTTTGTTTAAATGTATGAACAATCTGTCCCATTAATCTCAAACGAAAGTAACCCATGCTTGCCGTAAAAGGCGACTATACTTGTCGTAAGAGGCGACTAACGGGATTGGGCGGTTAGGCTCGCCGACGGTTAGGCTCGCCGACTTGGTTTATGCATGTCATTGTATCCAAATTACGAAGATCGATGCGCGTGATGCCAATCACTGGATTGTCTGGACCAGACACGATTATTAACAGACCGCCATCATATAGCTGGAATATTGCTGAATGTGGCGTAAAGAAAAAACAAAAAACAACTAATTAACTAGTCACATATGTTTTACACTATCAAATATATGAACAGAGAATATTCATATCGTCTTTGTAGTTGCTATATCGCTGGAAAAGTGCCGATTCGACAGTCAATGTTAACTCCCTCATAAAGGATAGTCACTTTTGATATATACTGCAGTGTTAAACTCAAATGTAAAACAACGATAATCACCTTCTCTGCAGTCTTCACCAATCCACGCTGGCTCACACCCAGAAACACATGTCCCTCGTACGTGATCACATGGCGAGTCTCCTGTACACTTCCTGTCAGTACAAGAGTTGTTGCAGTTCTGTCCATAGCTGCCATTGAGCATGCTGTGGAGAAAACACAAAGTTACAATCACATTACAAAAAGTCATTGCTAATTTGTCTTATTTGCCATCGCCAAGGTTTGTTAAAATAGGACAACACTAGAGATAATATTTTTTCTAAGTAGTTATTGTTTAAATGTATGAACAATCTGTCCCATTAATCTCAAACGAAAGCAACCCATGCTTGCCGTAAAAAGGCGACTATACTTGTAAGAGGCGACTAACGGGATTGGGTGGTCAGGCTCGCCGACGCCGACTTGGTTTATGCATGTCATCGATCCCAATTACGTAGATCGATGCGCGTGATGCCAATCACTGGATTGTCTGGACCAGACCCGATTATTAACAGACCGCCATCATACAGCTGGAATATTACTGAATGTGACGTATGGAAAGAAAAACAACAAACAACCAAACTTAATTACCATTGAGAATATTCAAAGTCGATAAGTTAGGGACCGCAGAGACTTCCTATTCCATATAATACACTTAATATTCAAGTGATCTAAAATGCACATCACTAATGTACTGACAGATCCAACCTGATATACAAAGCTTATCCGTCCAAATGTCATATCAAATAGCATTTAACCATCGTATCATTAGCTGATGCCTGCTGATGGCTTTCATTTTGAGGTTTGTTTGTTACAACGTAACGACTATCCTTTATGAGTGAGTTAACATTGGCTGTCGCATCGGCACTTTTCCAGCGATATAGCAACTACAAAGACGATATGAATATTCTCTAACGACAAGCTTAGTCGCCTCCTTACGGCATGTATGGGCTGCTGAAGACCTAATCTAACCCCGGATCTCAACGGGTCCAGTGGTGATTAAGCGGTTTCAATGCTTGTCCCAGCTGACAACAAATCCCAATAGTTTGCGCTCACCCACTTATTCGAGTTTCTAAGCGATAGTATTCCCGAATGGCCCATACTAAAAAAATGACTTACCATATGGATATCATTCAGTTAACGGACATAAACATAATGAATACTAGCTTACAAGTTTATTGTGGGTATATTAGCTGGAGACGTAACCATTTGATTATGTTTATGCTCTTAATGACTGATGGTGATAAAGTCGCTTTGCTATTGAAGTGTTCGCAGTGATTAAACTACGTTTGAACGAAACTGATCTTTTCCGAATAACTGTAACAGTTTATGCAGGTACATTTATACAGATAAAGTATTCCTCCCGTGACAAGATTAAAGGAGTCCGTGCTTGCCGTTTGGAAAGATGCGTGCCAACGTGAGAAGTTCCTAATAACAATTTCTGGTGACATATTGCTCATTGCAACGTTACACTACAAACAAATAAACAAACGTGTTCTTGCTCAACATAATGGTCGCAACCAAAAAATAAATCGATTTGACGTTTCGTGTAGGTTTCATTGAACAATAAACATTGTTTTGAGCAGGTAATAATAGGTTCTTGTTTTGAAGGTATACACTGTTAATTGTAATGAATGTTGGTTTAATAATCTAAATCCTAGTTCCAACCTTTTAATTTATGTAGAAACAGTCTGAGTACATCATTGAATAGTAAAGTTAAGTTTGGTCATTCACAAGTGTCGCTAGTTCGATCACAGAATTGATGCTTACCTTCTGTGCAGTCTTCACTCATCCACCCTGGCTCACACCCGGAAACACACGTCCCTCGTGCTTGATCACATGGCGAGTCTCCGGCACACTTCCTGTCAGTACAAGAGCTGCAATTCTGTCCATAGCTTCCAATGGAGCACACTGTTGAACAATCACAAAAACACATTACAAAAAGCCATTGCTATTTTATAAGATTATGACTTGCTTTAATTTTCAAGTCTTAAATGTTATTCAACACAGATAAAACAGTATAACATTGGAGGTAATGTTTTCTAAACTTTTATTGTTTAAATGAATGAACTAGCAATTTCCCATGAATCTCAATCGAAAGCCACCAGCAGACAGTAGCACATCATACAATGATTAAATAATATTTAACATAGTGTTTGGACATAGTTGTCATGAACACATTACAAAATAGTGAGTGGGTGATTTTGTTGTTTAACGCCGCACTCAGCAAGGTTCCAGCTATATGACGGCGGTCAATAAATAATCGAGTCTGGACCAGACAATGCAGTGATTGGCATCATTAGCATCGATCCACATTACAAAATAGAGCGCCTTCATGGTCTAGAGGTAGAGCGTCCGCCAGGAGAGTGGAAGGTTCGGGGTTTAATCCCCGGTCCCCATACCAAAAGATGTTAAAAGATGGTGCTTGTTGTTACCCTGTCTGACGCTCGGCATTAAGGGGGTAAAACAATGACTGGTCGGCTCAGAGTCAGTATACTGTGGCTGAGTGTGGAATTCATGTTAAACTGTCGCATGATATTTCAGTGGGCCAGCACCATAAATCGTGCACTAGTACACGCACGCACGCACGCACGCACACACATACAGACACACATCGCTATATTAGCGCAATAATCATCGCAATAAGACATCTTAAAGTGCCATAGGTAGGAATAACTTTGCAGAATTGGATAGATCGTAACATCGTTGATGCAAATCTGGTACAAAAAACATCGAAGCGGTGCGTAAATATGGTTAATTTCTGCTTTAGTCATGTCGATCAATTAAATTGACCACTTCCTAGAGTATCTGTATTGCTACTAAGCTTTTGTTTGTTTGTTGTTTGACGCCGCACTCAGTAATATTCCAGCTATATGAGGGCGGTCTGTAAATAATCGAGTCTGACCAGACAATCCAGTGTTTGACATCATAACATCGATCTACGCAATTAGGATACGATGACATTCATCAACCAAGTCAGCGAGCCTGACCACCCGATCCCGTTAGTCGCCTCACGACAAGCATGGGTTGCTGAAGACCAATTCTTCCCGGATCTTCACAGGTTATCTGCTAAGCTGCTATCATCAGATAGATAATATAGTGGATAGACACTGCAACCAAGTCATCATATCAGTCAATGAAAACCTTTGTTAGGCTTTAGTCCATGCCATACCATAAATCTCCACCTCACACAGATTTAGCAGTGTGCTGTGCCTGATTGTGAAGTATCTCCCTGTGCCGTCACACGTCACGTCGTACACGCTTTTGCTTGTTTCGACTGTGTCAATGGGGAAGGTGTAGCAGGTGACGCCGGGTGTGGAGCTGCTGGAGTTACTCAGGGAGAGTACAGCAGTCCTGATCAACTCAATATCTAAAAAAGGCAATGACAGAAATGACATACTGCCGGAGGGTGACAATTTTCTCTTGAACAATGACAAATAGCATATCAAATGATACTTATCATCTTGTTGTTGCTTAAACATGTGGGAACGTCAAACAAGACCACGTGACCACATTCAGTTTAAATGTGTTAGAAACATTTTAAGTTGTTTTTGATCGGCATGTACTAACATGCTTTTTGATGCCTCACCGTAATATCCCAATAAATCAAAAAACGCTGCCTGAACTGATACATACAATGTGTCCTGTGGTATATCCTGATGTCATGTATCCTGTACAGTTGTCCCAGGTGCACTGTCCAATTAGCTTGAGGGACTTTGGAATGAGAGTGAAAACAGGAGTTGTGGAACACATCCTGGTCCCGGTTCCCATCTACGGCTTTGTCTGCAGTCCAGCCTCTACTTGCGTAGTCAGTTGCGGACGAAGTTGCCGTCTTGTTGTAGGCAACGTTCCCTTAAATAAAAACATTTAATGAACTTTAACTTTGAATTTTGTATGAGGGAAAAGTAACTATTTAAACTTCCTAGGAATTTGATCTTGCTGGATCCACATGATGAGTGATAATTGAAACAAAATGTTAGAGTTACTGTTACAGACATGCGGAAATTGTGAATGGTTGAAGGATATATCCCAAAGGACACTGTTTCACACTTTTGCTAAAGAATTTAAAGATCCAATTTCAAACCACATAAACATCGAATTACACAATGTATGTGATCATCCAACCGTGTGGCTTTCAATAGATATAACCAGTGGTAAACTCTGAAGGGCTTAATATACAAACTACAGATGGGATGAGTGTGGTATTATCGAAGTGGAAGACAAAAAAATGGGATTCAAGGCTTTTTTCTGCACATTGCTCCGAGAGGATTCCCTATGTAGAACGGTTAACCCAGAAATCGGTTCATACAGAGCTTAATTTAAAAAAAAGTGTAAATAACCACACACAAGATCAGTGAATAATTAACATGAGTGAGTGAGTGAATATATATATGTGTGTGTGTGTGTGTGTGTGTGTGTGTGTGTGTGTGTGTGTGAGTATTTCAGCCAAATCGCGACGAAACAGTTATAATAATTATATTTAGATTTAATAAAAAGCTGTCAACGATGGACAGTAAGTTAACTAGAATATAACAGTTTCAGTTGTAAAACTATTTTAGAACAGTTAAAGCAATACATTTATAATCAACAATACAATATAAAAATGGGTTATAGATCACCAGCAACCAAAGTTAGGCCACCTTACTAGGGACCGAGGGGACTTACTCGTCCATTTGAACATCCACCTGTTCTTTTACTAAATGGAAACGTTGATCATTGATTCGTGTGGTAAGAAAACCCACCTCTCTGACAGGTTTGCCCATTCCCACCAAACCATCCAGGATCACATGTACCGTTGCAGATTCCAGTTGTCTGGTTACAGTGTGGAGTACAGTGACAAGAGTAGCTACACATGTCTCCAAATCTTCCTCCTTGGCAGGGGGTACCTGTATAATATACATGTACAACAAGCTTGGAACAAGTTAATATACAATATCAAACTAAATGTTTATAGTATGAAAGGTCATTGACTGACATAAATGAAGTGCATACTATCAGTTCACAAATAGGTTATCGTTTCATTTAAGTGCATTTCTACTCTTGAAGCCACACTTTCTAAGTCTTGATAATGTGTGGTTGCCATAAGGCGAACAAATTGTTCGAATTACACATATATTTGGTATGTTTTGCTTTCGAATGCCTTTTAAGGAAGGATTCAGACATGTTGAGTTTGGTTTAATTGTCAATTAAATTATTGAATTATATTAACAGTAGTATTTCTCCATTTGTCCAAGCCAATTAAAATACTTAGTGGTGACGTTTTCCATATGACGCCAAATTTGACGCTGCTCTTTTCAGATTTAAAGTTGGGATTATCAATAGTCCTAGGTTCTATTTTCTGATAAGACTTCTACATTTTCATAATTATAATAAGACTTTCAGGAGCCAACTCATAAATAAGAAGTTACAATATATTTGGCTCATCACACAGCCCTAGCTTTAGTCCAATTGAGCAATCGAACCACTCAGATAAACTACAGTTACCACCTTTACATCGAAATTCATAGTCTGAATCATATTCTACATTTTAACTGGTAGATCATACTTTTGGAGAACATAAGTTGTTTTTTATCAACAGAATCAAATGCATTTTTAAACATAGACGTAGGGAACGTTACGTTTACTTAAACTGTTTTTGTATACAAGCAGTCAATATGAACAAGTTATCCATTATTGCATGTCAAGGCCCGAAACCTGATTGTTCTGTACATATTTTGTTATCTTGTTTGGACCAAGATATAAATATATTGTGAACTACTGTTGTCAATATCTTTCAGAATACACTTTTGAAACTTATACCCCTGTAGTTATTACCATAATGTCTTGGGCCATTTATAAACTTGGCACTGATCATAAACTTTCAGTGTAAGAATACAATCATCTTCGTTCACACAAATCTACGTCCCAAAAATTTGCACTGATATGTATTTGATACTGACTCTTACAAATCATGCCCATGTATTTAACTTTCTTCCCAGATAATTGACTGTTATCAAGCGATCTCTCTAAGATATGTAGCCGTTCTTTGTTAAATGAAGCACATGTATATCTATTGATTGACTTGTATCTATTACGAAGTTCCTCAAAAATTATTTATGAAGGTGAATTTTAACACCTTCTGTACCTTCGGAGTGCTCTCCGGGACTCCTGTTTACTCTTATGACATTCTATAATATACGATTTTCTCGTGAAGCATCTCTAAGAAGACCTAACATTTCTCTTAAATATAGAGGCAGCTTTTAACAAGATTTGTAAATACTTCTAAATAAGATTCAATTTATCATATCAGTAGCACAGATCAGGTATATAGTAACAGTTCTAAAACAATTAGAATGCGCGTTGTCCTCTTTGGGTTTGACTGTGCATGCGGGCATGCGTTTTGAGGCAATGCATGGGAAGGATACAAAATCTCCTGCAATAAAAACATGACGGCCGGGTAAGGAGGCAGATGACACAACATAAAATTCCAGCCTATATAACAGTTTTCTACAAAATCATGTAGTAGTTATAGGTTCTGGTGGAACTTCCCGAAACACATAATGACAATACATGTACACTTACAATTAGATTTAGTGTCGAAATAACATTTTAATATTTTTTTCATATTCATTTTATGAGCATTGCCAGTCTGTTAATGGTCCTGTGCATTATAGTATATTATACAAAACTGATACCACAGTAGCTACAGATATCCATATATATAATCCATATATATATTTGCTTATCTCTCCAATGAATGATGCGTGGGTTGCTACCCATGAGAGTTGACACACTGGATCTGATCATCACCAACAGAGAACATTCTATCTTCTGTTGAGTTTATTGATCACAGGATATCAGACGACAGCAGCGTGTTTTGAGATCTGAATCTGAAGAGATTTGGAAATGCTGGATATGCCGATGACAACAAGGTCAAACTCAGTATCAGAACATCAGATATATGCAACTATCAAAGCCAAATGGAATAATGTATTATCAACATTCGGGGGATAACAGCGTCCTGAAACTCAACGACGACAAAACAGAGTACATGATCACTGGAACCAGGCATCACCTCAGTGAGGTAGATAGTATGCCACTTAGTGTAGGAGATTCCAGCGTCACCCCATCTCACAGAGGGAAGATTCTTGGTGTTATCTTCGCCAAGACCATGTCATCAGAGCAACAAGCTCTAAGCATCTCAAGAGCAGCTAACAGTCATCTGCCGAGTATGGGTAAAAGTCGGACGTATCTGGACATAGAAACCACGTAGCTATCGGCCCTCTCGTATGTATCATCAAGATTGGATAATTCCCTCCTGTTCAATCAGCCATCTCCAGAGAGTACAAAACAGAGCGGCAAGAATAATCACTAAGACCAATATACATTTCACCGGTTCTTAAGCAGCTGCACTGGCAACACGATTCTACAAACTTTTAAAACTCTAGTCCTCTCGTACAGAGCTGTTTCCGAGAGTGAGTCAGTGTACCTGGGGGACCTAACTGATCCTCACATACTGTCGAAAAGCCTGTGGTCTGAAGACAAACACCACCCGGATGTCACAGTCAAGTGACAGGGCATTCGCAATTTCACCTGCTTTTTGGAATGAAGACATCTTTTTTAAATACGAGCACTACTGACAGAAAAGGGAACTGAGGAAATGATAGTGAAGTTGTAATGACGATAAATGTCTCTAAAGAAATTCGGGAGTGTAGATCAAAATATGCCTTCTCTTCGAAAATAATCGGAGACAACCTTGGCAGCATGTGGTCTGGTATTGATATCTCGCAGTTAAACACTTCTGCTGATATTTCTAGTGAGTGGAACAAAGACAGGACGCAACTGTCGTACACACCATAGCACCACCGCCCTCAAACCGATCATGGTCAAAAAGTGTTGCCCTAACATACCACTCACGCCTTGCTTTTAGGGGGATGCATAGAGCCTGATTTAACGGTAGATTAGCCTTCCTGTTATAGCAAGGAATTCTCAATTGAAACCAGGAGCAGAAAGAATTCATTGCGTATTGCAAACAATATAATGAGATGATCTTGTCTCATCTTCGATCTTTCCGTCGTTTCTTTTAGGCCTGCCACTCTCTTGCCCTTTTATCTGTTCATTGAGATATTCACGGAGGCAGTTTTAAGCGTGTGCTTAGCTCAGTTGCATCAGTGATTGTGAGTTCCCCTGTTAGTGCATACATTTTGGCTTCTGTGTGCACGTGCATCCCGTCTGTTCATGCATGATGTGAAATTTTATTGCGATTAGAGCTTTCGTTCTGATGCAACGCGACAGTACTATACAACTCAACGAAAGCTACGTTCAAATAATTATTATTTTTGTCTGTAGGACAACACTGGTTAGAGTTGAGGAGAGTGATGCCCGGTCTGTGCTATTTTCGACAGGGGCGTACGGGTAGCCAAGTGGTTATAGGGCTCGCCCGTCACGCCGCAGACCCGGGTCTCAATTCCCCGCATGGGTACAATGTGTGGAGCCCATTTCTGACGTCTCCATTGATATTGCTGTAATATTGCGAAAAGCTGCGTACAATCATACGCACTATTTTCCCCAACGGACATATTGAAGTTTCTACATGAAAATAAATACGCCGATACCAATCATCATCATCATCATCATCATCATCATTTATTGTATTCAGGCCATAGGCCCATATGCATACAATAATATTATATTTATACAATTTTGTACAAGTATAAACATGCAGACTTATATATACAATTTTGTGAAAAATAAATCGCATCACAACACAACAAGAGGAGATTAAAGCATTTGATTAATAAAGGCAAATAACCTCAAGAATAATTAAACATCATTTGTACAAAGACGGTTGCAAAGTCTTAAACCATAATTATGTATAGGATAGTATTCTTTTGTTGCTCGTTAGATATTTCATCAAAACGGAGGAGCTTGATTAGTGTATTGATGTTTTGGGGTAAACCTTGGAAATATTTTGTTCTGAGCGATTCATAACATCGACAGATAAGCATAAAATGGTATTCGTTTTCAATAAATGTGGGACAAAAAGGACAAAAACGCATATTTTTTTAAATTGAGGAAAAACGACCCGTATTACATACTAAATTGTTCAAACCTAATCTAAAACGTGTAAAACACACTCTTATTTTTCTGTCTGTTATTTCTGTTAAGTACTGTTCTGGAGATAAGCAGGATTTAAATGTTTTATAAAGGTCGTATCTTGAACTATTTTCCAATGTAGCTCTCCATTCTTGGATAAACATATCAGATGCAACTTGTTTAAATACACTAAGAAATCTCCAACACCTTGGTAAATCCAAACATATCCAAATCCATGAAGAAATAAAAGTTGTCTGATTTTAGTGACCCATGTTATATAACCAACATTGTCGCGGTATTTCAGCATTTCATAACATTTACGTGGAATACGATCAGGTGACATTTCTGTAATCTTTAACCAATATTTTAGACCGCGTACATAGGAACAGATATATAAGGGATGTCTTCCACATTCACCATACACCATACAATTTGGGGTAGATTTGCCAACATTTAAGAATCGTTTACATGCAGTTAAGTGAATTTTTTCCAAGATGTGATATTTTTCGAGACCCCAAATCTCTGAACCATATAACAGAATTGGTTTAACTTGAGAATCAAAAAGTTTGAAGAAAACAGACGGGGAAGACACACCGAGTTTATCAAGAACAACAAATAAAGTAATGAGGGCTCTCTTAGCTCGTAGCGCAAGATCGTTGACGAGGTGATTTAGTTTCAGATTAAAAGGAAAAATGACACCAAGGTATTTATAAGTTTTTTCAACATTAATTTGTTGCCCATTTATATACCATTTTTCCCTGTATGCAAGAGGACCCCCCTTTCTAAAAACAACAATTTTCGTTTTATCTGT